CTCGTACCGTATGAATCATACGTGCAAGGCGTGCATGCGCAAACAACGATTCGCAATCATGGCATCCTGCGCTCCTTCACCTTGAACAATGAACCATGCAATTGGACGTTTTGGACACCCCCGCCGCCCACAGATACCCGGACAGAGGCCCCTGACCCTGACACCCCTCATCCTTGCAACCCCAGCATACACCCCCCCATAATCCGGACACCCTCCGCCGTGCAACCTTCCCCAACCCGGTTCACCGCTCCCAAACCACCACCTTGAAATCCCGTTAGGATGGCGGGCTGCTGCTGGCAGCTCCGGAACACCGCTTGTCACTGCAGCTCAAGCGTGAGGAGTTCTGGTCACAAGGGGCAGAGGGCGCAGCTGAGCGTGCCGTACTGGATTCCGTACTGCAGCTGCCGTACCTCGACTTGCTGGACGAGAGCGATGAGCTGCTGCATCACAGGTACGTAGGTGCTTCTGAATTGCCTGAAAGCATCCTACCAGCAACCTAAAATGGTCATACTAGTCCAAACCTTTTCAGCCGTATTACTATATCCTAAGGAGTTTTCTTCTCCACCATATATGTCGCCGCCATTAGGTTCCAGCTGGTCTACGCGTGCGGCATGCCCATCGCGCTTCCCGCCATTCGGGAACGTGCGGGCGCCGTACAAGCCCTGCTGCGCCTGCTGTCTCGGCTACTAGCCGACAGTGCGACGACACCTGACGACCTGCGGCAGCTGCTGCTGGCCTCGGGCGCCGGGGTGCTCGAGCCCACCCCGCACAGCAGCCCGGGCGCCTTCTGCGGGCTGCGGCTGCTGTCTGGGGGGGCTCTGGCGGCGGCCGTGCCCCGCCTGCGCCGGCGGTTGGCGGAGGAGCTCGCGGCGGCTCCTCCATACGATATGAACTGGATCCGGAACCACCCGCTCAAGGTACGACAACTGGCTCCCGCCCGCTGCTAAACGTCATGCTAGTTCGCCTGCTTTCTTCCTTCTCCATGAAAACTCTGGGAGGAAACGCCTACCTCCTTGATGCCCCCTGCTGCCTCGCGCCTACCCAACAGGAGCGGCTACTGCGTTGCATGCTGGACGAGTCGCAGGCGGTGGAGGAGGTGCTGGGGGCGGAGGGGCTGTCGCAGCTGGCGTCCAGCCAGCTGGAGCAGCTGCTGGCGCTGCGGGGGCTGCTGGCGTGCAACCTGCTGCAGCACTGCCTGCAGAAGCGACACCGCGTGGAGTACGGCGTAGCAAGGTGGGCGGACAAGTGATGAGAGGATAATAACCGTACCAGCTGTTCCTCCTGCAAAGGCAAGACCGGTAGTTCATACCGTACCCGACCTATCGCCCGCGACCGTGTAAAACAATCAGCTATGCCTCTGCCTCCAGCGTCCCTTTACCGTGCCCGGCCCTGACTCCCCATAAATACTCGATTTGCATCCTTGCCTCCAATTTGGAGCCACAGGCCCTCGAAGACACAGCAGCAGCAGGCAGCCACTGCTGCTGCAGGCGGCCGGGGTCGCACGCGTATGGCCGTGCCATTCCGTGCGGCCCACACGCCCTCAGAGCGCAGCGAGTTCGCACAGCCGGACGTGGCGCTGCTGCTGACGAACTTGTCGTACTACTACGACGGCCTGACGTCGCAAGAGTTCCAGACGGCCCTCCGCAAGCTGCTGTGCATGGGGAAGAGTGCGCAGCATGACTTCTACAGCGAGTGGCTGCAGCTGTCCCGGGCCAGCATACCCCAGGGTGCGTTTGGTGGCACGTTTAAATGGCACTGTTGTGCTTTCGTACATCTTGGGTGTAACATGTTGCCTTGTCAGCTCTCATGGGTAACGCATACGCTTGCCACCTCAACAGCTGCATGTGACTACTACAACCACCAGCAACCTGCAACCCTATTCTTTACTAACCACATAAACGTTGTAAAGTGCTTCACCCTTCTGCACCCATCCATCCGCAGCCGACTTGCTTGAGATGGATTCCGTGGCCAAGCTGGACCCCAGCAACCCGCAGCAGATGGCGCTCATGCACCGCTACCTCAGCCACAACATGGCAGTTGTGGACTTCTGGCTCAACCACTGCGTCTACCCCGTCGAGACGCGGCAGTTCCCGCAGCGCCTAGCGACCAGCGCCTGGCACCTGGCGGACAACGCGGCTGGCGCGGTGGTGGGCTTCTCCGGCACCAACGACAACCACCGGCTGCTGCCGCTGCAAGTGCACCAGGCGCAGCTGGAAGATGACTCGCTGCGCGCCACCAACGGCAAGATGCTGGCCATCATTCTGGAGCACACGCTGGGTTACACGACGCTGCCGCAAAAGGTGCGGGCACAGGTATGCAATGCTGCTGGGAAAAGGGTAGGTACGGCAGATCCCAGGTTGCACCCCCTCGCAACCGATGAACTTACACGTTCAGCCAATCATGGTTGTCTAACAACCCACTGGCTGCTTCCCCTGACCCAGGGGGCGGCGGGCGGCAGCAGCTCGCGCCAGCAGCAGCCCGTGTGGCGGGTGCTGCTGGACACGGCGCTGCAGCTGGGGGCGGATGCGCTGCTGGACTGCGGGGCGCTGCTGGCGGGGGCGAGCAACAGGTGAGGTGGGGGGCCCAGCATGTGGCTATCCGGTCTGCTGCCCTTGCTTATCCTGCCCTATGTCGTACTCGTATGTTGTTATGTACGGTGCCCTGAAGAGCTTCTGAACGCGGCTTCGAGCAAGTGACCTGGAAAGAGGGGAGACCGGCAAAGGGGAAGGTCAACGACTGGTTTCGCCTCCTCCCGGTGCACGCACATGCATGCAGGGAGGCCGCCAACTACGTGAGACTGCAACTGGGCGGCATGCGCTTCCAGGGCGTGTGCTACTTTGACGAGGGGCTGCGCAGCTGGACGATACTCGACCTGAGGGGCCGCAGCGACCCGCGCCACAGCTCGCCCATAGCCGAGCGAGACACCTTTGTCATCTTCGACGACGCACGCTGCCGTGGCGCTGACCTGCAGCTGCGGCGGGACGCAGTGGGGCTGCTCACGCTGGGCCCCGGCGTGTGCAAGGACAAGGTCATGCAGGCGGCAGGCAGGCTGCGGCAGCTGGGCCGCGGACAGAAGCTGCGGTTTGTCGCCACCGCCGACATCACAGCCAAAATCTCACTCCTGCAGCCGCAGCAGCAGCAGCATGGAGGTGACTCCTCCTCCACATCTGCTAGTACCGGTGGTGTTGCAGTCCGGCAGCAGCAGGAGCCGCAACAGCAGCCGGCGGCGCTTCAGGTGCTGCTGTGGGTGATGCGCAACACCGTGCAGGCCACACACGCCGGCGTGGCGCCCTGGGCGACCAACGGCATCCACTTCGCGGTCACCAAGGGGGCTCCGGAGCGGGCGATGCAGCCGGAGCCGCTGGAACTGCAGCAGTTTTACGGCGGCAGCAAGGCAGCTGTGCCGGTGGGTGCGTTTGTGGCGGCGGTTGCACGACAGCACATGCAGCGCTTGGTTGGCGGTGGGGCCACCGCAACAACGGACGCAGCAGGTGCTGCTGCCCCTGGTGCTGCGGCAGCGCTTGGTATCGTGAACGCCCCCGCATCCAACAATACCGGTAGCAGCAGCAGTAAGGCCCAACTGGCCGACGGCATGCAGACACTCGTGGAGCGGGTAACGCAGCTGAGCGGGCAGTACGGCAGCGGTTACATGGTAACCGCCGGCAGCGGCGCGGGCAGCGAGGAATGCGAGCGGGAATTGAATGAGGAAGAGGAGAAAGAGGAGGAGGTGGAACGTCAAGTACCGCAGATGGATCCGGCTCGTGAACGGGACTGGAACTACGCCGCTGCACTTTCTGCAACCTCGCCGCGCCAACTCAGGGATGCTCACGTGACGCTGTTAACGCTGCAAGAAGCAGCTCACTACCTGCAACCCAGAAGCATTGCCGGACTGCCCTGGTCGAGCCAGGTCTTCCGCACCGATAACTTCCTTCTCACCACCGCTTCCTGGTCCAAGGGAGCCGCCGTTCTTAATGAGTACCTCCGCCCGGTGGATGCGCTGCTGCTGTTCCCGAGCGACGAGGTGCTGCTGGTTTCTGAGCGGGAGGCGGACCAGCTGCTGGGCCTTATGTGGGAGCGACAGCAGCAGCAGCTGCAGCGAATCGGCGCCTCCTCCATGTTATCGGCCGACCCAGGACAGCAAGGACCGGTGCTTGTCAGCCTTTGCTACGCTCGACATGTGCTGGCGAAGGCTGGCGGAGGTGGAGGTCGTCATCCCATGCTGGCTGCTAGCGCGTGGGCGGCTACTGGTGCACGGGCGGTGTCGCATCTACAGGGCTGGAAGCAGCTCAGTGCTGGGCCGCTTGTCAGCGTGCAGCTGTTTAACGGGGAGGTCAGCTACGGCAGCAAGGAGCAGAAGGAGGAGCTCCGGGGGCTTGTACGGCAGCGAAGGGAGGAGGTGGAGGCGCTGGTGGACATGCGGGGCAAGGGGGTGACGCTGCCGCGAAGCGACCTGGAGCGGGCGTGTGAGGAGGTTTGAGAGATATGGCATGCCGCTTGTGCGCGGTGCTGGTGGTAGTTGTAAATGGGAGAGGACAGCTCACTAGGCGGTTACTCATTCGTTGTGTAGCAGTTGCTTCTGGTCTTTAGGTACCGTCGTAGGTAGGGAAGACGCTCCAATTACCGGCAGGTAGCTTGGGTCTGCATGACACCGTGACGTCCCTACGTCTGTCGATTGTTGCTTCTAAGAGGCGCCTCTCCTCCTGCCACGGAGGTAGAACTGCTCGCATTTGCTGGCCGTTGGAGGCGATGTAGGCATGTACACCAATACACATGCAAAGTTGACAAACGAAGTTGAGTGACGATCTGTGTAGCATCTTATCGTCGTTTAGCGCCTATATACGTTCTGCCACTTCTGGGGAAGTAAGCGCGGTCGATAACGGTAGGTTTCATAAGCTGAAGTACACCTGCTGCAGTCGGTCACCTGGTAATTGTTTGCAATGAAGTATGAATCTTCAAATGCAAGGCTTGCTGGATAAAGTTGCACTGCTGCGAGGATACATTGTAACCTTGGTGTACAGCACGCTGTGCATGCTTTGCTGTAACAGCTCAAAAAGTTTGCTTGCGGCAGATTGTTAATTCCTACAAAAAACAGTGCAACACCCTTCATATTTAAATAGTATATCGATCTTTGGCTCCTTAGAGCTCACGCCCATAGGTTAGGCACCTGCGACAGAAGGGCTGCTGAGTTGGCGCTAGAGACAGTCCCAAAATGCCACGAGCACTTCAGGTAACGCATCCCTAACTGCCTCCTTGTTTTCTTTCAATTACAACAATCTGCGCAGGCCGCTCACAAATACGCTGCCGGTGCAGGAACAACTTGCCCACGTTAGCGGCGGGGGCATGCTTGGGATTGGTCTCTCCTGCGGCTTTTGTATTGGGTTGATCACCTATGCGTGCGTAATGTGGCTGATTCGGGCCTGCTCGGTGAGTGAAAAGTTAACATTTGACTTTCTCCGTGCTGCTGCTCAGCATTGCCTCTACATTGCAGGGGAAGACAACGCATAATCGGTCGCAGTCGAAGCTACAGAACGGCAATGAAGGAAATGGCTCTGCTGTGCCGGATCGACTTCCCGAAGCTAACATTGCACCATATGCCAAGCCCCCTACATCCAACAACGACTACTTCTCGCCACTGCAATCAAGTATTGCCAAGTCCGTCAATTTACGCAACAGTGCCAACAGTAGCGCAATGCTGGAGACGGCCGCGGCATTTGGGGGCCACGGATTTGCAGTTCTGCATGTCTCACGCCCGACAGCGCCTAGCACAGCAAGCGCTCCGTCATCCCAGCCTCCATCCACTCCTCTTCGAGACTTCAACCCCATTCAGTCCCCTTCAGCGCTCGACGCGTCGGAGGTCAACGTGGCCGTGCCGCCAGGACCTGCTCCAGTCTGCGACACACAGGTCACCCCGGTTGGACAGCGGCCGCCTGCAGCGCAGCACCACCAGCGCCTGGTCTCAGTTGCTGATGCCTATGCTGCCCAAGACCTTGACGACGAGTGGGCCGTCGTCCTCGGCGACCTAGACGGTATGTTGGCTAAACGAGGCCAGCCCCGGCTCGCCTCTCCGGAGCGTGCGGTGGCGGTCCGGCGGCTCATTGCGGTGACGGGCAGTCGCGGCATGCACTTTGCGCTGGAGGCGGCTCTGCAGGATGTGTTGCGCGTGCGCAGCAAGCAGTAGTAGTAAGCTACGAATTGACCGTGTGCCAGGGCTTTAGTTGACGACGCATAGTTGAATGCAGTTTTCGTAGCTGCTCGGAATGAGTATGCTAAAGCGTGTGATTCCGTTTCATGAAACATGGCGCTTTCGTCCTGCACATCCGTCGTATTTACCTGCTAACACTGGTTCTGTACGGTGCCTAAATTGGGGTACCGAACCACTGTATAGGCTGCATTCGTTTGCAAGGGGCCCGTCGTGGCCTGCTACGGTTCTATCTGCTTTGTGCATTTCCAACTGCTGCCTTCCTCAGCCTCTCAGCGTGCCATATGGCTGACGTCGTGTTGTGCAGCTGCGACCTGGCTCGTCGAGTGGAGAAATGTCATGCCGTGATCATGCCGTATCAAACCGTATTCATTATGAGGGCAAACATTACATTGCCCATGTGGTGATGGGCACACACGTGGTTGTAGGCCCTGGAAACTCTGTTTACCTATACCTACAAAATGGACCATTGCCAATTGGGTCATGTCACGAACTAGTACCCCGGACATGTAAATGCGAAATCGGTACTGTTCACTTGACGCATTCCACTTGTGTTCCTGCTTGCAAACCTGCAACCATAAGTACCGTCCATCATAGCAAAGTACATGGACCATAGCGGGAAAAGGGAATCATGCACGTCACACGTCCAACATCAATCACCATGTCGACAGTCTCGTCAGCATGCATACGGAGGCGTTACCGTTCATTGCTGGGACATTGAGCAAGAATCCGTGGTACGAAGTATGAATTCAAAAGCATACAGCTCCGCCTCCTGCGGCTATAATGTATTAGCACAGTACTACATCTACACGTCCACCGCCACCTCCTGCTAACTCTACCTACCTAATATACCACCTGTCATGCCTGCAGCTTTCCCGATCTACTCTAATTTCCATTCCCAACCCGACTAAAACGCTAATGTCATGTAGTTCTTTTTGTTGTTTCTGTGGAAGGATTTGCGGAGGACCGTTGGGGGCTGGTAGTACGCTGGCCCAGGTGCGTTCGCAGACGCCGCATACGAGCGCTGGTCGATGACCTCCTCATGCCCTGCGCTGCGGCTGCGGAACGGCGCCGACACGCCCTTGGGCGGGCTGTGCGAATGCAGGGGCGCGTGTGTGGGCTCTAGGTAGTCATGCGCCACCTTCTCGCTCGTGCTCGCCAGCACCTGGCGTGACTGCCGCCTGCATGCGGCGAGGAGGGGGGGGAGACCGAGAAGGGGGGGACCGAGAAAGCAAGTGAGCAGACGGGTGAGCAGACGGTCCTGGGCACATCGCCTAAAGCAGCAAGGCTCCTTGCTAGGCAAAAGGACAGAGCAATGGGGCTTATGTGCTCCAGCGGCATCAGTACGGTAGCACCCCTAGTTGCCTCAGCGGCGGAACGCAGCGAAGGCACCTGCCTTGTGTTGAATCCATCCCTGCGGGCACGCAAACCCGCACTTCCTCATAACCTCATGCGCCACGTGCCCGTGTTTACCCCGCAGCCCGCCTCCCTTTCTTCCGGTCTCACCGCTGCGCCGCTGCGTTCTCAGGCGTCAGGAACTGCGGGCTGGGTCGGTGCGCCTCGCGGCTCAGTTTAGCACGAATGGAGGCAAAATCCTGCAGCTCATAGGCGCCCGGCCCTGGCCCTGTCTCCGGCTTGGCTGCTGCTGCTGAGGGCGCCCCGAACAGCAACGAGTCCAGTGTTGCGGCCATAGAGCCCACCGAGCCCCCGTAACGCCCAGCATTGCCGCTAAACGAGGAGGTGCCCATGCGAGAGCCTCCGCGCGACAGAGGATGCGTCATGTCCCATGGGTCGCCCTGCAGCCATAAGAGGCGGTAGTAAGAAGACCGTTTTGCCGCGGTCGAAAAGTGCATGGTAGCTAAGACCTGCCAAGACCGGACGTTGTCGCTATACATACATCCTAGATGGGCAAGTTCAGATGCAAACAAGTTTCCTCTTTATTGTGTTCTTGTGCCTCCTCACAGAGGAGGCACCCTAGTTCTTGCTAACCAAGGCCCGTCATGGGCCCTCTTCTAAACCCGCTGGGGGCCTGCCCGCACCTACCAGGTCATAGCTGGTCGGCGGTGGTGCCTCCAAGTTGCCTGCCAGGATCAACTCGTGCCCGCCAGTCGCCTTGAAGGCCGAGCTGGCGCCCGGCCGGCTGGTGTAGTCCACCCGGTCACCCTTGCGTGTGATGCCTGCTCCCTCGTACGTCCCGGGGCCAAGGTGGGGAGCCCCCCGGTCTAACGGCACCAGCGATGAGGCCGACTGCGGTATCGGACGCCAGGGACAAAGCGGGAATAGCGCGACGCGTTAGTACTGGTAGTTGGGTGACGGGGCGTGGTGATGCGGCGAGCTGGTGTGGAAGCCCGGCAGTCCGGCACCATGCTGGCAGCCTTGCATGGGCCCTTTCAGCGGATTGGCCCACTTGAACCCCAGATGAAATGCTATCAGACTGCAGCCCACCCCTTGGGCTTCATTGGCTCCATCAGCCTCCCTTAGATGCCGTCATGCCATCATGCCCCTGGACAGAGGCCCCATCCGCCAAGCCGCTTACCTTGTCTTGGAACGCAGACGTGACGGCTGCTTTGCTGAAGCTCTTGCCATCCACAGCTGGCTTATGCTTTATGTAGTCTGCTGGTCCCGGCCCAGTGTAGCAGATGCGATGCGAAAACCTTCGTGTCTGCGAAACCATAGCGCCAAAGCCCTTCTTCCCTATTGACTCCGGCCGGGTTTGGTCCAGTGGTAAAGGCTGGGAGTTGTAGCTGCCAGGCCTGTAAACAGCAGCCCGCACACATTGTAAAGGGGTGCGGATGTGCAGTCAACCAAGTCCTAGTCAGGAGCGAGAAAGGCTACACCCTACAGTGCGCTCTGCCGGGCGACGCCGTGTAACCGCTTACCCAGGTAAATCGTTCTCGGGCTCCTGGAAACGCCTGCTTTCCGCGCTGAAGCCCTTTTTTTCCCTAAAAAGCACATAATTGCCTTTGATGGTTAGCCACCAGCTGCGCTGACGCATGCCGCGCCCACCGGCGACATGGAGCCTCGCTTCGCAAGACAGTAAACATCGCTAACCTGGGTCCCGTGTAGAGGATAGTCTCAAACTTTGCTGGTATTGAGCAAACCGGCTTATAACCGGGCACCGACTTCAGGGGCGCGGTCACAGGTCCTTTATGCAATTGTCCTTTTCGCTGCTCGCCTTCCTTTGCCATGATTGTTAATAACGTACCAGACTATGTAAGTATAATAAACTCGGGACTGACAAGGCAGGTTGCTACGACTACGAACGTAGTCAGTGATTGTTGGTAGAGTTCGGAGGAGTGCCGTTTATCGTGACAGCATTAAAGTGAAAGTCCCAGCGTTGGCCTTCGACTGGATCTGCGGCTCGGCTCTAAGGCTCATGTACGGCGGTTCCGGAAAGTTATATGGGCCGATTTCCCGGCAAGGCCGTTTACCTAAGCATTTCATCGCTATCTTATTAAGTGTGATGTAAGAAGTTCTGCTAGTTTGTGTTACTCCATCCTTACGACAGCTTAGATTGCGCAAGCTTGCATACCTCGGCTCAACACCTAACCGATCGGGGCAACGCCTGAGGACGTGTTCTCATTTTTCCTACATCCCTCTTTGTCAAAAGCTTCTACGAGTATGACAACCGTTACGCCCTGCCACGTCGCCAGTCATGTCGTGTCCCATGGTTCAAAGGGCTGGACGGTACCATTTTAGCCAGGCATCCAGTTTGGCTTTCTCGTGTGGGCTTATTATAATTATATATTATAATATCTGCCCGGATTTACAGATATCTGTCACTTCCTTTTAGGCTCTTAGCTTCCGTCGCAAATTACAGCTTCAAGTGTCCATTTACGTCACGATACACCAGGCTTACAGCTACACCGTTTCCAAGGCATCTCTTGCGCAGAGAAGCACTAGCGTCAGATACAGTCATGTTCTTAGTCACAGATCATCATGATGGATTCGCGTACGATAACCAGGTTGGCTCAAGCAAGGGATGACTAAATTTTGAAGCTAGGGTTAGAGCCCGGAACCAGGACGCCACAAGGACATCCGGTCCTGAGCTCCAAAAGGTCCATGAGGATATGGCACTTATGAAACATAAACGAAGCAGTACGCCTCAACCACAACGCTATGCGTCAAGCATCCTAAGGCATCGCTGCCGAGGGGAGGAGCACAAATAGAAGGACACAGCAGAAGCAGCAATCGCAGCCGTCATTATGTAAATTAATCCCCATACCGGTATAAATACGATGACAAAACGAACACGGACAAGGAGTACCGTACACGCGCGGCCCATCCTGGAATAAATGCCGTACGCGTAACAAGCCACGCGTGCACCAAGGCCTCTCCCCCTCACCCCAAAGCATGCTCAAAAGCGCACATTCATGAGCACGAGTGGAGTAATAGTGAGGGCACAGACGTCTTAAAACCCCGAGCCAAGTGTCCTTAAGGAACAAAACGTCACAAAGTTAGTACCACAGCCGGTCCATATGCTGACGCAACACCCCCAAGCCTATACACCACCATTAACAACATGTCCATGAACAGGTCCCATTGTATCACACGCTCAAGTCCATCGCAACTTCTCTTTGCAAGCTAATGTGAGCTTAAGTTAGGCGCACAGCATACCGGTATGTTTCCGCGGGGTTTGTTCCTTAGCCACAGCTTTAGGTTTACGATGTAGGTAAGGAAAGGACGCACACCCTTGCAAAATATAGCTGGTCGGGGGTTTGGTCAGAGCTGCCAAGTAACTCCAACATGCTCAACTTCACCACCCTCAGCTCCCATTTAACATAACACCCCTAGACGAAGCCTCCATTGCACGCTAGCACCACGGGTCAACACATCCCACACAACATAAATACCACGAAACCCTTGACCGTGCGCCATCACAAACCCCCGTCCCTTTCCGTTGGCCCTTCAGACACCAGTATTAGGCTTCTCACAACAAAATTGATTTTTATGCCACCAACATACATCCCATGGCCCACAACAATCCCAGACCCAGCATCCAAGCCTCAACATGGCACACTTTTAACCCCAACACCCCTCCCACCGCCCCCCTCCCCCCTTCTTCCTCACGGCCCCGTCGGAGGTGCTGCCATTCCGCCCAACCCGGCAGCCCCGCCCCCCGTCCCCCTGCTGCCGCTGCCCCCCTGCTGCACCTGCGGGTGCAGGTGCTGCGGCGCGTGCGAGTGCGCCTGCCTGCCACCCACCGGCTCCTTGTAAACCAGGGTGGCGCCTCGGCAGGAGCGCAACAGGTTAACGACGGCCTGCGGCACCGTCTTGAGGCCCTGCGGGGAAGAGACGTGGGTGGGTGGGGGGTAGGAAAGCAAGACAGTCAGCATGAAGTGAACGGGGAGAGCGGGGCAACTCTGCTTTCGTGCAAGCTCCAACACTTCTATGATAATGGTAACGCCACGCGGGGACGGCGTCGTAGGTAGGGCGTAAGAGGTGAGGCTAGGTGAAAAGGACAAAAGGGTGCACTGCCGGCCCAGACCGCACACACCACCCCTTCGCTGTGTAAGTACCGTTCACCATGCGCACACCAGCCACGACCACCGCTTCGATACGACGATACGGGTACACTCCTTTCCAGAAAAAAAGGAGGAGCGTCCCCCCCCGTTCATGCTCCTCACCTGCGGCATGGCGATTGCCAGCAGCTGAATGTGGTGCAGCCCCACCGCCTCCCCCAGCACCTCATCCACCGGCCCCTCCAGCGACAACACCCGGTTCACCGCCAGGCCATGGCCCGCCGCCTGCAGCGTCAGGTTGTCCAGCACGCGGCGCACCGTGGCAGCCTGCTGCCGCGTCAGGTGCCGCCCCGGCTGCACCTGCGCCAGCAGCAGCCGGTCGCCGCGCTTGGCGTCCAGCAGCCGCGTGCACAGGAACGACAACATGTTGCGACCGTGAGCCTCGACAAGGGTCAGGCAGCGGATGGCGCCACCACCGCCGCCGCCTCCGGCGGCGGCGGAGCCGCCTGCGGCGGCTTTGCCGCCTCCGCCGCCTGCAGCGGCTGCTGCCGCTGCCGCTGCTGCCGCTCCCGGCGGCGTCCAGTCTCCCCCAATATTGAAGTTGTGTCGGCTGTTTGCGGTGACCACCATGACGGGCACGTGCAGGCGCTTGAGTGTGGAGAGGGTGATGGAGCCGATGAGGTAGTTGAAGTCGTTGGAGGTGAGGTGCTCCGAGCCCATCACCACCAGCTGCGCCTCCACGGCGGTCACGTAGTTCTCCAACACGTCCAGCAGCCCCCACTGCCCGCGAACCTGCACGCACGCACGCACGCACGCGGGCGGGCGGGTTTCCATGAGCACGGAGGTGCATGGGAAGAGCTACACGCTGGATGCGACAGGATATGAACACGCTCAACACGTTTTCTCACGTTCCTTTTCCCTTCACATGTGCACAACGCATCCTCGCGCCCCCCCCCCGCCCCCTCCCACTCACCAGCACCTCCACCTGTGTGTCCACCATGCTCCTCAGCAGCCGCCGCTGGTGCCCCCGCAGCACCTCCTCCGCGTCCGCGCGCGCCAGGTCGGAGCTGACGGCGGACACGAGGTGAATGCGGTCGCGGCCGGGGCGAGCCACCGCGCCCGCCGCGTCCACTGCGGCCGCTGATACGCGGTTGTTGACCACGAACACAACCACCACCTGGCGGGGTGGGAGGGGGAGGAGGGAGGGAGGGAGGGAGGGAGGGAGGGAAGAAGGGGGAAGAGGGGTAAAGAGGAATCGACTAAGGAAGAGAGGAAGAGGGGCGGGGCCAGGATGGCGAGGGAGAGCGGTAAGAGCTAAGAGGGGAGGAGGTGACGCTGCGATGGTGAGGTGAAGTGCCAAAGGGGGAAGATGGGGATAGAAACATACGTGCTTTCCTCCGCAGCAAATGACCACAAACGTGACAAACATGCTACCGGTATCCAGGCCCAGCTAAGCAGCCATTCCCCGCCGTGCCCTCCACCCTCCCTGCCGCCCTACCCCGCCCCGCCCCACCCTGCTGCCCTGCTGCCTCCCACCTGTCCTCCCCCCGCCTTGCTGGACAGCGCCCTGGACGCCACGAAGTTGAGTCCCTGCGCCTCGGAGCGGGAGGACAGCAGCATGCCGCGGAAAGCCAGGTCGTGGTCCTGGGCCTGGGGGGGGGTAGGGGTTGTGAGGCGACAGGGGGTCAAAGACCACACCCAAGCATAGGAAACCACAGGTTGGGGGGAAGGCACACAGGGTTGCTGCAGGTCGCCAAGCTTGCCACGACAGGCCAGCGGTCCCTAACCCAAACACCCTCTCCTCCTCCCCTTCCTCCTCCCACCTCCCACCTCCCACCACCACCCCCCGCACCTGCAGCATGGGAATGACCTTCTCCAGGTCGTCCGCCGACAGCAGCACCCCCGGGCTGCTGCGCGCATGCACCGCCAGCGTGCGCGCGCGGGGCGCCGCCGTGAGGTCCCCCGCGTCCAGGCTGACCCGCACCAGCTCCTCCTGCAGCGCCAGCTTGGGGCGCAGCGCGGAGGCGGAGGGCAGCAGCGAGGCCAGGGAGGGCACGTGGAGCAGGTAGCGACCCAGGCCCACCGTGAGCTGCGGAGGGAAGGGGAGGGGAGGGGAGGAGGCAGTGAGGAAGGAGAAGGGGGTGAAGGCCCTTGCCCCCGGTCGTAAACCCCGTTAGCCGAGAACATGTAGGAGCACTCTCCTGGGAGCCACAAGCACGGGGCGGCAAAGGACAGCGGCGTTTCTTACCTGTCCCCGCAGGTGTGACAACGTCTCCGTCATCTTGGGTGTGCCCAGCTCCGCTAGCCGGACCTCCACCACCGCAGACGCCACGTCAGGCACCGTGTACTGCTGCTGCATGAGCGCGGTGCTGCTGCTGGGACCTGCTCCGAAACCGAATCCAAACCCTGCGGAAGATCCCGAGGCCAGAGCGAGTGAGGATCCCTGGTTGTTCCGACCCATGGGTCCACCGGGGGAGGCAGGAGAGGAACCCAGCTGCTGCTGCTGTTGCTGCAGGTTTCCACGGCCGTTGCTGTTGCTGTTGTAAAAGTGGTGACCGGTGTGACCCCCCAGGCCGCTGTTGCTGCGTGCGTTGTGGCTGCTGTTGGGGCTGTGGGGTAGCCCCAGCTGGGAAGGGCTGCGGGTGCGTGATGACTTTTGGTGGCCGGGGTGGCTGGGGTGGTTTGAGTGGAGGCCGGGGTGGTCCTTGCTGGAGGTGAGGCAGCCATTGGAGATGCTGCCGGTGGGAACGCCGCCGTTGCCGCCGCCGCCGCCGTCCGCAGCAGCAGCAGCAGCAATACCGCTAGCGGCGCCTGGGTGGCCGCCCACCATTGCGGGTCCCAGGCGCTGCATTACCAGGGAGTCCAGGGCGCGAGCATCCACCAGACTGTCTGCCGTGGCGACCTGCAGGGTTAGGAAAGGAAGCGGTCAGGTTGGGAGGTAAACGTGTCTGTACGTAAGACGTTCCGGGGGGGAGGGTTGTTGACCAGGTGGGGAGGTGTGGAAGAAGCAGATGTATGGACATGGACACAATACGCATCATGCTGTTCATGCAGCTTCTCTGCTACTCCGAACTTCCCCTCACCTCACAAGTATGACTATTATACCTATTCCTATAATCCAGCCAATCCCTGTTAACACCCTGACACGGGCGCCCTCAGTGTCAATCCCCACAACAGCAGCAACAGCCCCCTCACCTCAATTACGATGTTGGCCCGGCCGCCCGCCGCTGCCGCGCCGCCCGACGCCAGCCCCCCCGCGCCCGACCTGTCCTTGAGCGCCATGCAGAACGCCAGCATGGGCACATCCAGGATGCTCTCGCGCGCCAGCAGGCCCAGGTCCCGCACGCGGCGAGCCACCAGCCACTCCACCTTGCGCTCCTGAGCGGGGGGAAGGCAAGCAAGAAGCAGGGGAGGCAGGCGGAGAGGGCGAACCAAGGGGAGGAGGAGGAGGGGGGGACCCAGTTACGAAGTGTCGGTTATGACCCTTATGAGGCTCAGTTGCGTTGACAAGGATACACACCAGCAGTATAAACCGCTCCTTCTCACGGCTGGGTTGCTTTTGACACGCGCACGCGCACCTGCAGCAGCGTCAGTGCAGGCGTTGCCAGCGGCTCCGGCGCCCCCTCCGGCCCCACAATGAACGCCTCGCCCGCCCAGGTGAGCTGCAGCATGCTGTAGCCCGAGCCCAGGGGCGCCATGCTGCTGAGGCCCGCGGGGTCGCGCTCGAAGACGCGGAAGTCGTGATTGTAGCGGTAGCCGGGGTGCATGGGGGAAGCCACCAGTAGCACGTTCTCGCGCTTGAAGCTGCGGGCGTGCGGGGGGGGAAGGGAGGAGGAAGAGGCAGGAGGCAGGAGGCAGGAGGCAGGAGGAGGGTGAGGCAGGAGGGGGAGCAGTCAGCATGTGGATGAGGGCTTGAGTCGTGTGTGTTTTGGGCGTGAGATTCGGCAGTGTCAGGTATAACATGACTTCGGCTTCAAGCCTACTAGCCCCAATTTCCTATCCCCACCCCCAGCCCCTGAAGCCTGAGGCCTCTGGGGCCTGAATGAAGCCTCTCGAGGCCTGAAGCCCGCTACCCTTCTACATACCTTTCCAGTCCCCTTCATCCCCCCCTCCTCACCCGAAGAACTGGTAGCTCCACAGCTCCTGCAGCACCTCCTCCATCTGCTCCTCGTTGATGTGCAGCAGCACCGGCACCGACCCCAGCGCCTCGCCGCCAGCCAGGTCGGAGATGGCCAGGGACAGCTGGCTCAGGATGCGCGCACCCAGCGTGGGACCCTGCGGGCAGGCAGGCGGGGGCGGAGCGCAGGGAGGGGGCAGCAGGGAGGAGGGATGAAGGGAGGGGGCAGCAGGGAGGGGGCAGCAGGGAGGAGGGATGAAGGGAGGGGGCAGCAGGGAGGGGGCAGCAGGGAGGGGGCAGCAGGGAGGAGGCATGGAGGGAGGTATTGTGTGGACGTTAGTCCCCGCTGAAATACAAGCACAAAGCGGTTCTGCATAATCGAGTACCGTATAAAACTTGCATGAACGCCAACGCTGCACATCTAAGACTAGCATGGCACCACCTAGTCGCCAGCTCTCCTTCACGCACCTGAATGCGGTCCGTCTGCGGCATGATGCCCGGCCGGAAGCGATCAATCAGATCCCACGGGTCCGCCGTCCAGAGATCCGCCTGCCGCCGCCGCGGCGGCGCCTGCAGCAACGAGGAAGCCCCCTGCCCCTGCCCCTGTTGCCCCTGTTGCCCCTGCTGCCCCGGAACGCCATTTCCCACACATCCGCTCATGCTGGTGCTGCCAACCGGTGTACTGCAGCCAGAGGTATAGCTGCCACCGCTATCCAGGTGCGCCAACTGCCTGAACCGGCTGCTGTTGGAGGCAGGCAGGCGCTTCTCAGTGCCTGCCAGCGTGTCCTCACCCGCGAACAGCTGGATGCAGATCGTGCCCTGTCGTAACCGCCGTACGAGATCCGCCTGGTAGATCCTGTACTGCTCGCTGTAGCAAAAGGCCTCCAGCTCGCCAGCCGCTGAGGCGTCCACGCTCCCCCAGGCCTGAGCCTCCGCCCATGCTGCGTTAGCGCGGTTGATGTACATGGACAGCATCTGCGCTGACTTCTTCAGGTTGTTGGATTCCGCGTCGATCTGCGCTTGGACCTGCATGATCTGCCCATGTTTGGCTGCCACGGCACTGGTCACGGCCACACGGGTATTCAGAGGGCCCGACGGACCCGTGGTGACGAAACCCGGCGGGGGGTGGTGTGGTACGGCAGGAGGCGCCGCCGCCGCGGCGCCGCCGCCGCCGGTTGCCGCGGCCGGCGGCCTGCTGTTGTTGAATCGCCGCGCAGCCATGGAGCTCAGGCCGCTGGCGATGGGGGAGCCTGAGGCGCCGGCGGAGGCGGCGGTAACCTGGGCGGTGACGCTGATGGGGGTGGGTGGGAGTGCGGCCACGGAGCGGCGGGTGCCAGCGCTGGGGCTGGGTGGGAGGGTCAGCGGAGAGCCCTGCTGCTGCGTGACGGAGGCGTCTGTGGGGAGGTGGTTGGGGCGGAAGGGAGCGTTAGAGGCGCATGGGTGACGGTCTTGCGAGTCAGGTAAGGCATGCGTGCGAATGGTGGTTTTGTAAACCCTAACGTGACCTAACGTGACCTATGCTGCTAGTGATACCGATGGACTTCCGTGTAACCACATAGAGGCACACGTGGCGCACCCATGCACCCACCTCGGCTGTTGGGCGGGCTGTCACGATGCGGCGACCCCAGGCCCCCTGGCGTGCTGGTACGCCGCCCCCCGCTGCCTCCTCCTCCTCCTCCTCCTCCTCCTCCTCCTCCTCCTCCTCCTCCTCCAGCTACCTGCCCAGGCGCCGGGAAGCATGTCCGGGGACTGCTGTTCCGGTGCGCCAGAGGACTCTCAGGCGGCGTGTCATCGGAACCACCGCCAAACGCCACCATCGGCGTCGCGCCGCCCAGCCCCTGTCGTAGGCCGTTTCCAGACGTGGAGGCACGGCCAGGACCGGCCGCAGGGACGCCGAGGAGTTGCTGCGGCTGCGGCTGCGGCGGCGAAGCCGCCGCCGCCGGAAGGCTGCCGCTGCCGCTGTACGGCAGCTTCCCCGGCGACGTGGCCCTCTGCGGCCGCATGGGTGACACGTTGGCTGCTGCCGCCGCCGCCGCCAGGCTGCTTGCCTGCAGCGATCCCGAGCTGGCTCCGGACATGATGCCGCTGTCTGAGGCGCGGGCGCGGGAGTTGCGGGTTGGGCGGCTGCTGGCGACGGTGGAGGGGCGGCCGCCGGTACCATTGGCGCTGATGCTGGGGTGTTGGCGGGGGTTGCTGCCCTGGCGCGTGAAGCAGCGGCTGGGGGAGAGGAGCTCGTCCACCAGGACGCCGGAGGAGCTGCTGCTGTGGTGGTTGGGCGGGGAGGCGGCGGGAGCGGCCCCCGAGATGCTGCCGCTGGCGCTGGAGGCGGTGGCGCCGTTGCGGCAGAGCATCTCATCCAGGATTTGCTGTGGGCGGGAATGTGGGGAGGGGGAGAGGGAGAAAAGTGGGCATGTGTTTAGCAGGCGTGTACTTAGGAAGGTGAAAGAACCCGACCCGCCATCCATGCCGCCACGTCCCTGCCTCTTCCTAGCCACCCCCTCTGTCACCACCTTCCGCTCTCTCCACCACCACCACCACCACCCGCTCACCTTCGCCGCCTCCAGCTCCTCCTTTATCGCGGCGAACTTGCGCTGCTCCTCCACGAATCGCGGCACGTCGTCAGCCAGTGCGCGCGGGATCATGAAGCCCAGATTGTCCAGCCTGCAGGGGTGGCGGGTGGAGGGGCGTAGCAGCGGGTGTTTGATGAATGTGAATATGAGTAATACATGCACCAGGGTAACGGCGGTTACCGTTGTTGTTGTATCCCTCCATGCAAGCTAACTGGGTCAAGGGAGATGGTGCAGCAGGTTTCGTGCCTGAGTCCCGACAGTTGCGTCCGATACTGCCAAACCCCGAAACATTACTCACTTGAGCCCAGCACGCCGTCGCGCCTTTCCCCGCCGCAGCCGCAGCACCGTGAGGATGATGAGCATCACCCGTCGCCGCGCGTGCCACACCCGCAGCCGCCAGGGCGCCACCGGAATGAAGTGTGGGGGGGGCAGGATGCCCGCGGGCCCGAACGCTGCGCCCACTGCATGCCAGCAAGGCGGCAGGGCACCCAGGGAAAGAACAGGGGAAGTCAGGAGACCGGGGACGGCGCCCTGGCGGAAGCTGCTGCGCACGCAATAGCTAACCCAACCCCCCGCCCTCCCAGGGTGGCCAAAGTGGGGCAGCTTCAGGGCTCAGGCCACATCGGAAAAAAAAACATGCACATGGAGCCATGCCGCCTTGCTTGCAGTGCCGCCCGTACAGGGTCCCAACCCACCCGGCACTTCCTGCAACCTATAGCCCCCGGTCCTCTACCTTGGTGCACCTTCCGTGACCGTGTCGCGCCGATTGCGGTGGCGGGCGGTTTCGGCTGGGGCCTGCATGGAGGTGGAACGAAGCAGTCAGGGAGGAGGAGGCCCTACTTCTAGGAGAAGAGGGTTGGAGGAGCTGTGGCGCAAGGCTCCTGCTGCTGCACCGCTTAGGAGTTTGGCTACGCATCGGAGTTAGAGGCCGATGCTTATAGATCCCCCCAGGTGATAGGCCCCTAAGCTATACCTGACACGCCGACCTGCGCCTCTTCCCGGGCCGTCCCGAACCTGCCCTGGTTCACGTCCTCCAGTTCGCGTCTGCTCTTCCCATGCATACTTCCCCCCACATCCCCGCCCCTACCCGCCCCCATGACATTCATCCTCACAACACCTTCCCTCCCTCCCTCCGATCCAGGAACGCACCCTCCGCTTCCAGCCCTGGCCACCGCCCCAGCGCCCGCTGCTCCCGCCGCGTCCCCGCCCTCGCTGGCCGCCGCCAGCGCCATCCTGGCTTGCTGCTGGTGGGCTGCTGCCGCCGCCGCGCGGTCGTGTTCGGCCTGCATGCGCTCCATGGCGCGCTTCTCCGTAGCCAGCATGAAACCTGTGTACTTGGCCTCCTCGCGCGGCGTGGAGGCCGGCAGTAGCATTTCCTGTGCAGGAGTTAACGGGCGTGGAACCGTTGATGGGTGAAATTGGATATGATTAAAATTGGTTCAAAGATAGGGAATGAGATGAGCCTAGGATGTTCCTAGTAAGGGTGTGCCCGTCGGCGCCCGTAGGTAGGACGGGTCGCGTAACGGTTGCACACAGCGAGCGGCAACTGCATGGATAGCTATATGTCCAGGCCGTTACATGGTAGTCCTGGTAAAGGGACATCATTCTGCGTTCCCTATAGAAGTCCCAGGCATTCCCAGTAAGTTGCCTAGTTATGATGTTGCTGGGAGCTAAAGGGCTCTGCCCCCGAAATAGAGCGCATGAGCATGGCTAAGTTATGCCTGCGTCTAAAGCACGATGTATGTATGGCTGGCTTTGACTGTGAAGTGCCCGTCCGCCGTGGCTGTTCGCATTCGCACCTGCATGACATCTCCCTGACGCTTGACTTGTTCCTGTGCCGGGCAATGTTGGAGACAAGAATATTAACATAGGACTCTTCTTTAGCGAAAGGCTGAAACGGAAACGCCGATCGCGCATAGCGGGTTTAGTTTGCGCAACGTACCGCGAGAAAATGCAGCTTCGCTGTGAAACTCTGTCCTCGAGGTATAGGTGGCCGAGTAAGACCTGTCCAAGCATAAGGTCGACATGTATAACTGCGCTGTTGCCAGACGCGCTACTTGTTAGGGCGTCCCTTCTGCCATGCGCACCTCCTAGGCGGTCAAGCTCCCGGCTCCTGTCAGACCTCCAATCCTGGCCAACATACTCATCCCAAGGAGGGGTTTCCTCTAGGTATCGTGTACTAATGTCGTTGCCCATTTCTTAACGCTGTTTTCCCATGGACCCTTTCGGAGTGTGACCCACAGCTGAAACTTACAAAAAGTAATCCTTGCTTCCAAAAGCGCCTTGAGAACGACAGTCCAGTCTACACAGTTTCCGGTCGTACGACTGCCACTTGGATAGACTAGGTTCCCCGTTAAATCCAACAGTGGCAGACATCATATTACAAATCTTAATGCATTGGGTTTGATGGTAACCATTTGAGAAGTATCCCGCGACCAACTGGAGTCGTGCGGTTAGTTGAGAGTCATTGACAAGACTCTGCAAGTTGGCCACCACAATGATACATTAGAGTACAAGAATGCACCTTTCTTAAGCCTACTTGCCGATTTCCCCATTGCACTTTTGCCACTTGAAAAAATGCAGCCTAACTACCATGCTCACCTACACCGCTGACCCATAACCAACGTGTCCCGCGCACTGAAGGAAGCACACAGGGATAACCATTGTCAACACCATCCTGCGAGATATCACCACTTTACCTTCAACAAGCTAACTATACGGCGTGCTAACTGCTCCTCCAATTTCGCGCGCCTGCGCCGTCAACCCAAGGGGAGCATATGTGGTGTAACTGCCACCCTCTCGGCACAGCACTATGTAGACCGAAGCTGCGGCCCTCCGCCCTCCTGTTGGGCCTTGCGGTGCTCCGTGAGCACGAAGCCCGCATAGACCACAAGCCCCGTTGTAACTGCAATGAACACCCACGGGTCCAGGAAGCGCAGCCTGCAGGCAGCAGCAACATGGACATGAGGCGTAAGCGCATAACTAGCATGAAGTCCAGCAAACAACGGCAGGCAGGGTCTGCCCCGAACAACGTAACGGTAATGATCACCCCTTCTCTCCCCGCCGTCTGCCCCTCCCTCCCTCCCTCCCTTCCTCTTCCCTTCCCTCCACCTCCCATCCGCAGCACAGCGCAGCACCACACCTCCTCTCACCCAACCCATCCCACACTGTTCCCCCTCCCACACGCCCCACCCGGTGCTCGGCGACACGCTGCGGAACATGCTGAACAGCTGCCCCCAGCCCGCCGCGCACGCCCACGCGGTGCCGCTCAGCCACACCGCGTCCCGCAGCAGCAGCGCGCGCGGCACCATGAGCGCATTGCCCAGCAGCGCCAGCAGCATGGTGCCCACCGACAGCCCCTCCAGGCTCTGGGGCTCCAACAGGTTGCGAACCTGGCGGGAGGGAGAGGGGCAGGACGGCGCGGGGGGGGGGGGGGGCAGGCGGCATGGTAGGATGGACCAGGAAGAAACAAACCGTGTGACATAGGCTGGCCACAGGCTGGCAGGGAGGCAGTGCAGAGAGGCGGAGAGGTGTAGGAGTGTAGGGATGGAGGAGGCGACAGCAGTTGCGGCAGCCCCCCTACCGGCTATACCTACCAGTTGTGGCAGCGGTGACAACGCGAAGAGCAGAGTTGCCCCCCAGCCGGGCAGCTGCCGTACCAACGAGGATGCGTCGCCGGATCCGCTCCGCGACAGCTGCAAGCGGTGATGCCACGTCACGACGTAATTAGGGCAGGTAGGCACATGGTTACACGGCTCAGTGACCCATGGTTCAGTAAGGCGCTCATGCCAAACGCTGTGGTCCCATTTTTCATCATTGCGAAATCAGGCTTCCGGCGCTTAGCTTCCCAGGCCCACATGCTGCACTTTTGATAGAAGTTGTAAGGAACCCCAGCACGACCTGCGTTATTGCTGGTATGGTAGCAATGGCGCTTTCGGCGCTTACCTTTATCCCGAGCACAGTGCCTAGCATTAAGAGGGTACAGCAGAAAGGCAACAGTGTGGACGCCGCTGGCGACGCCGTATTGTACAAAACCTGCGTGTACGGCACACGCATGTTTCCAGGGGTGCAGACATTGTAGTCGAGGGCTTGAGCAGGCCAGGCCCTGCCACATAATGCATGTGTCACGCATGGTGTGGGCACTCAGCATGTATGACCCCCGCCCTCGTACATCGCACCTGCGGTACAACTGCTAGCCCGATCAGCCCAGACCCAAGCTGCCACATCTGCCATGTGCCAAACTTCTCGTTAGGCGGCTGCACCGCACTGCTGAGTCGCTGGACGCGCGCCAGGTTCATGAACGTGGCAATGGCTGTGAAGCTGGCAGCTGCGAGGAAGACGGCAAGCGGCATGACGCCTGCTAGCGCTACCTGCGGGATATATGGGCCAACTCAGGTCCTGGGTGTCCTGGGTGCGCGTCAGGAAGGGAAGTCCTCAAGCTGTAAGGCGGGAGAGTACGGGAAGGTGGTAGGCCCTAAAATGCTTCTTGTGATAGTGCTTACCTGGGTAAGTATTAAAAAGTTATTCAGGATGCCAACGAGCTGCACGTTGACGGCACTGCGCTCGCCGCTGGCAGCGAAATGGCTGCACATGAGCGTGTTACCGAACATTGCTGACAGGTAGCCCTCCCACGAGATGATGGACAGTGCTGTTGTGTGACCCGTTGCCATGTTGACGGCATTCTGTGGCAAACGCGACGTGCTCAGTGTGTCAAGACTAGTCACTAGCGATGGTGTCAAGGGCCTGTTTCTTATACAACATACAAGCGTTACCTGCATCTAAAACCCCCAGCCTTACCTGCACAACTTGTGGCAATACGAGGATTGAAAACGGAATACTAGACGCCGCGACTAGCCGGTCAGTTAGGGTGTTCCAGCTGGTACCCTGGCCCCCGCTCAACGCCGCTAGTCGCTGTGAGGCAAACCGTCTACTTTGGTAACTTGGGCCTACAACACGTTTACCCGCAGCGCGGGCCGGCTTCCCCATAGGCCTCAGCGAAGGTGCCCCAGAGCAACGCATTCGGACAGCCAGTTAGTATGACTACATGAGACTAAAGTGTAACAAATATAACAGTGGTATGCGGAAACCCCTTAGGCCTGTGAAGTTAACAGCGATCCACGCCCAATGGGCACTCATCTCCGGTTGTCCGGGAACATGCATTTCCATTCCCAGCTTGCCTACTCTGAACAACATCTATAACACTATATAAGTAGCGTTACTCTACGTGTTATTGTATCAACTCCTCGAGTTGGCAGTAGGGAGGTCCTTACTGTTACGGGATAGCGTAAGACCTTAAAAATGACTGACAAGGAGGCCGATAAGCGGCCAGAAGACGAGACAGAGGACGATGAAGAGGACGACGCTGAGGATGATGAACACACTGATGGCGCCAGCACAGTTTCATCTACTAAGGAGGGAGGAGACTCTAGCTCTAAGAAAAAGAAGAAGAAGAAGGTGTGGGGCCCTCAGCGGTTCACTTTCGACAGCGGTTGCTGCTGGGCGGCTTGATGCCCGCGCAGTTCATATGGACGAGAGTCCCTGTTAACAGCCGCCGGCACGTTTCCGACATACAGAAGAAGAAGAAGGGTAAGGGCGCCCAGAGCACGCCGGCAGCTGCGGAAGGGGCGCAAGCATCCCAAGGCGCATCGCAACCAGCCCTCACCAAGGCGCAAAAGGCGGAAGCCGAGAAAAAGTGAGCGAACCCCGACGGGGTTGATCTAGGTACATTACATTCTGGTCTGGCATTTACTGATCTAGCCCCTTTCAGGTTTACCTCCGCACTGGACGCGTGTCGCGGAGCCACCGAAATGTGGGTTGACCTGTCTAATAGCCACGTTTACGACGCCAAAGCTAAGAAGGTGAGCAGGGGTGACTGCATCGTCGCTGCACGCTTTCACCGGCTGGGTGGCAGGCTAACATCCACCTCCGTCCTGCGTTGGTTGCAGCTGGCCGATGCACTCAAGGCCAACTCGTGTATCACCTCGCTTGACCTCTCCCGAAACAACATCGCGGACGATGGTGCACAGGTATGTACCTACCCGCTGAGTAGGATGCCCCCCTGGCGCCTCGCCTATGCGGGACGCCCGCATGGCTCTCGCTTGCAGCCATGCGTTCTAGCCAGAGGCCATTCCAGGGGTCCATCGCCTGCCGTAGCCCCTCTGCATGCATAGCTGCTCTGTATAGAGTGCAGCGTGTCGAAACGACGTTGTGAACGTCGATGAGGCAGCAAATTTAGCACCGTGCGACACGACAGTTATTGCGACAACCGCACTACATGTCATGCACTTGAGCGAAATGGTCCGCATGCAAAGCGCTTAGCATGTGTGTGGACCCGACCCACATCGACAACCTCTTTGCTTGCTAATGCTTTGCCGGCATGCTTCCCTCCTTGGATTTCTGCCTTCCTTCCTCCCTCAGGCGCTGGCTTCGATGCTGACGGGGTCGGGGGCGCCGGAGCTCATCGAACTGGACTTGCGTGAAAACCCGCTGTCACCCGCGGCAGTGCAGGCGCTGGTGCGTGGGGGGCTGGTTCACGGGTGTTGACCCACGGGTCTGTCGTCTACGCAGCCCAGTTCGCGTCTATGGACATGGGTGGCTGATACAGCGGCGCGCATGCATGCCCGTTAGCTTGGAGAATGGGGACACACCTTGCACTTGCATGCCCCACCTTCCCCTTCCTGGCTTTCCCTCTTCGTTCCTCATCCCCCCACAGGAAGCGCTGCGCAAATCCCGGAAGCAGCTGGTCGTCAAGCTGGGTGCTATTCCGCCGCCCGAGCCGGAGAAGCCCCCGCAGCAGCAGCCGGCAGCCAAGGGTAGCAGCGGCGCCGCGTCAGCGGAGGGCGCGGGCGGCAAGGGCGCGTCCTCTCCCGGCATGAAGGAGATGATGAAGGGCCCTATGTTCCGCAAGTACTTCCAAACTGGGGACGATGATGACGAGGCGGGCGGCGGGCAGGGCGAGGCGGACGGGCCGCTGGGTGATGGCGGCTTGGCGCCAGAGCAGCTCTGGTCGGAGGTGAGGCGGGCGGAGTTGGGAGGTGGAAGGTAAAGAGATGGCATTCTGTGATGAAAGCCGGCAGCCAGGAAGCAGCCATGCAACACACAGGCAGCAGCTCAGTAAGAAGCACCCAGCGGTTGCCTAGCCGCACTGAGGAGCCCGGGGAGCGCACACTCTGCCGACGTGTCTGTGTGCGACCCAAATCAGCAAGCGTTACCCATCCTACATCCCTGACCGGCATTCATGCGCCAAGGGCCTCCATGCCCGCACCGCTGGATCCCCCCCTGGCATGGACACGTGTCCGGACCGCAGACCACTCGCGGCACCCACCCACACGACGTAGCGCCCCGCCGCGCCCTCTGCCCTAACCCACCGACTGCTCTCCCTCGCGGTCAGCTGCACACCCGATCACCTGGATTCCCCGGCATGTAACACCATCCCCGCCATCCTTACCCCCTCACGCAAACCACGCCCGCCTGCGCCCCCCTGCCCTGCCCCCCCGTCCTGCACAGCTCAAGTCGCTGGTGGCTGCCGGCACGGGCAGCATCCCCAAGCTGAGTGCGCTGCTGCAGCAGCTGATCGAACACCTAAACAGGGAGATCGGCACGCTGCAGGTGCGGGGGAGGGAGGGAGGGGAAAAATAATTGGGAAAGCAGCGAATTCCCAACCGCATATCCAAGGGGGGGGGGAATAAATGATAGGTGCAGCAACGGGGGGGGAGGGGGAGCGGGTACAGTACGGAGTCCAGCTGTGGGTGGGCGGACGGGATGTCGGGAGGAGCCGGGCGCTGCAGGTGTGGACAGTTTAGGAAGCTGGCTGTGGTGGGCGGAGGGGACCGGGCGAGCGCGTGTAATGGAAAGAAAGCAGCTCTCGCGCGGCAGTGCTCCACCTTTTGGAGTGGGCGGGGGACCGGGAGGGGGAGGTGAGGGATCGCTGCCCGGTGTACCGGTAGGGGGCGGGGTGGGGCGAACTGACGTGCAGCGAGCATGCACACACCTCACATGCATGCAGGCGGGTCACCTGGCATGCGCCGGGCATCAGCAGGACCCCCTCCGGCCCACATCTTACCCTCTGGGAGCCGCCGTACAGCTCCTCTCCCCTTCGACCCGCCTCCCTCTCCATCTCCCTCCCTCTCCCCACCTCTCCCCCCCAGCAGGTGCCCCACACCGACGCCGCCGTGGACGGCTCCCGGCCGCACATCAAGGGCTGCATCATGCACCTGGACACGCTGGGAGCCATACTGGACCTGGTGCCGCGGAAGGTGATGCTGCAGGGGGAGACGGAGCCGCAGGTGGGTAAAAAAATATATATATATGATGAGACACTGAGCCGCAGGTGGGGGGGGCGGCGCGGGCGGGGGGGGGGACGGGGCGGGAACTAACTAACGTGTGGCGGGGGGTTCCACCACCATGTGGGTTGCAGCGCATGGGTTTGGAGGGTGTCCAACAAGGGCCGGTCCTCCCTTCCAACACGTGGGCGAAGGGAACGAGGTCGGCAGGGGGGTGGGCAGGGACACGGGGCGCTAGGTAAAGATAGCCCCCGGGTGGGGCTATCCCTCTCTTACTCCTCCTCCCTCCCTTCCTCCCCCCTCCCCTCCCCCCCCCGCAGCTGGCCGTGGGCAGCCACCGCGTGTGGGCCACCGAGATCCTGTCCATGCTGCTCGCGCCCAACCACACCGCGCTCGACAACCTGGTGGCCGCCTCGCAGCTGGTGCCCAAGACGCTGGCGCTCTGCCTGGCGCACCCCAGCTGCTCCGCGCTGCACACGCGCGCGCTGCGCATCCTGCGCTGCTGCTGCGTCAGCAAGGTGGAGCGGCTGTACGGGCCGTTGTTCACGCCGGGGCTGGGCGCGGGGCTGAAGAAGACGGAGGGGAGCGGGGGAGCGGAGGAGGGGGCGGGTGGGGAGGGAGGAGCGGAGGGAGAGGAGCCGTGTGGGAGCTTGCAGCAGCAGCTGGCGGAGCGAGGTGAGGAGGGGGGGGGGAGTAGAGGGAATGGGGATGAACGGATGGGTTTGCAAGCGACGGGGGCCCTGGGAATGAAGTGGAGATGAGGTGGGACGTAGGTAGCTGTAGCTTGGACCGAATATGAATTGCTACCGCAACGCACAGGGACTGCCCCTCAGAGGCTCACACAGAGCCACACGGGCACGCAGCCAGCCCCCTTCTGAGCCTCCTCCTCCTCACCACCCTCCCGGGTGGCCCCCATGCGTGCGCCCTCCCCCTCCGCAGCCTCCCCCTCTCTGGGCGTCCCCTCCGGCCGGCGCAACCCCTCCGTGGGGTTCGTGCTGGAGGCATGCAAGGTGCTGCGTGCCTGCTGCGACGAGGCCAACCGCGACTCCATATTCAACACCAACGTGCGGAGACTGCTGCTGGTACGACACGCGCACCCGGTTGCATGCATGCGTGGGCGTATGCGTGTGTGCATGCAGGCATGTGAAACCAGCACTGGGCTGACACTGAGTACCGGTCGTGATGACCGCGGCTGCTGTCGCCTGCCTTCCTCACCCTTCCCTCAACCCCCCACCGCCCAACCCATGGTTAAGCCTCGTCATACAGTTCATCGGTTTCCTTAATTTTACCCCCCCACACACACACACTCCCGGCCAGTTATTTTAACACACACACACTGGGGCACCATTATTCCGACACCATCAGCATCACCGACATGCGTCGTCACTCATCACTCGCCACTCTTCTTACATCCAGCAACAGCCAATTAAGCAGTTTTCTGTATTACGGTTCAGGTTCGGTCAACTTTGTTTTGCCTGTACTCGCGGTTCACATGCGAACCTCTCCCCATTGCTTGCTCCTGTCCTACTCAACTACACACACACTGGGGCGGCCAGTTTTCTTAACACACTGCCCTCCCTGCTGCTGCTGCTTCAGATGGATCCCAAGTGGTCAGAGTTCGTGAGCGAGGGCGGCGTGCTGGCGCAGCTGTGCAAGGAGCAGGAGGGCGACCTGGGCGGTCCCCGGGCGGCCCGCATGCCGCTGGAAGACAGCGCGGAGCTGGCGGAGCTGGCGGGCGGCGGACTGATCAGCAGCCATGAGATACTGGCGCTGCTACACGGCATGCAGCTCGGGATGCCGGCGGGGGGAGGGGAGGGACGGAGGGAGGAGTAGGGGGGAGGAGGAGGGTGGGGATGGGGGTGCGAGCGTGAGGGGGGGGTGCGGGACGGGATGTGCGGAAGGGAGGCATGTGCGTGTGCGCGTGTGGGGGAAGAGGAAGACGGGTTGGTGTGAGAAAGGGGGGAGTGTCTGTTGGTTGGGTTTGGGTACGTGTACATGGAAAGGGCGTAACGGGTTGTTTGTTTGATCGTTTCAGGGTCTGAGTGTAGGTGGCAGGGGCCAATCGCGTAATGGGGACGGGATTATGACTTTGCTTGTGTGTTATATCGAGCGCGTGTGTATGTGTTTGATATCGGTACATGATCTGAGCCACATTTGCGTGTAGTAGGGAAATTCGTGTTTTGGAGGAGAGCTGTTTCATCCGCTCGTAGCTGTGCGCGCCGGCTTTAGTCGCACGCGCTCGCGTTAAACGTACCGCATCTGACATCTTGGCTGCTTTGCTGCTTGCACGCCGTTTCATTTGGGAGTTGGGAGTCGTTTCTAGCTGATGCACTTCCTAACATGGAGCGGCAAGGTTCATGACTCTACACCATGGCATACCGGTATCCGAGAGGGCGTGAAGGTAATCGTTTGTCGAGGTCAGGAAGCACGACAAAAGCTATGAGTGACCCAATCCATGCAAGCCAGGTAGGGTTGCTTTGCTGACATCTTGTTTGTGTGGTGAGGCCGGAAGCAGGTCGACAGCAGCGGCAACGGTGCACAGAGGCATGCATGGCAAAAGCAGTTCCGCCAGCGATGCATTGCAAGGGGCGCTCCTGCATGCTAGACGAGCCCCTCCGGGTACGTGTTCCATAAAGGCGCACGATGGTTCTGATGGGATTTACGCAAATGTGTCATTTCGCTAGGCAGTCTGTCACCGGTTGTTGTGGTCACAGTGCTTGTCGTACGGCTTGTCGTAAGTGTTTGCAGCAGTCCTGTAGAACACGCATGACTGTGTGTGTGTTTGGAGCTTCGGACCGTTTCTTGTCTTGGGACGGTTGTGTACGTTTTGGGTGTGTGGTTGGTTGGGCCTTGGGCCGCATGATGACGCCTAAGCGGGTTCGGAGGGCGAAGAGAGGGGACTTTTGGGCGCGCCACGGTCAGATGTGATTTACGCACTTATTGCGGTTTACTCTCCGTCCGTCCTCCATGTGCGGTTGCTGGGCGTTTGCCTTACTGTTTCCCCATTGCTTTGCCTTCACCTGTGGTTATGGTATATCTCTTGACCCCCCTCTCCTCTTCCGAAGGCAGCTTTGAAAGCCAACACGTCTTACGCGCTTGCTTGACTTAGGGTTTCGTGGAAAGTTTTGCGAGTGATTGGGGGACAGAGCAAGCGAACATGGCTGGGCAGTGCGCGCACGTCGGATGGGAACACGCATATGCCCAGGCGTTTGGTTACCGATGTAGCTCTTACACGTCTGAAAGCCTCCTTTCCATAAGTGGTCTGCAACCTTTCGTACTGAGCACTGAAACCCATCAAACAAGCCCGATAGGCCGGAAGGGGGTAGGGCTTGGTGGGAGGGTGGCCTGGCCCAATGCCTGTGCGGCTTCATATGGGCCCGATGGACGAGCACACCAGCACCGGGGGGCGCGGGAGGTTAGTTGCTGCAACAATTTATACCGTTAGCCCGTACAACGCAGCCAGAGCTTGATTGGTTGTTGCTACTATTCTACATTTAGATAGATACAACACGCTTTAGTTACACGGTGTCTTTGCCACCCTTGGAAAGTCCGAAACGGGGACTTGGGCCCATAAAAATGCTGTACAGTGATGCTCGCAAATCGCTTTCACGCTAGCTTCCTTTATTACAGCATTGGCCCGCCCTATTTACCCGGTATTTGCAACGTTATCCAACTTCGAACGACGTAGCTTCTCGTTTCCATGTCGTCAGCAGACGACAGCTGCAAGCGGCAACGGATTGAACCATCAGCCTCAACACCAGCAGCCTCACCTTCCATAGCGCCCCGGTCTCCCCACCGCCTGTCAACAGCAGAGCTACCCCGGCCCGCATCGCCAGCCGTCCTCCCTGCCAGGACAGGAGGCCAGAATGGCAGTACCAGTATCGCTCGCCACTCCTGTAAGCCCCTCCATGTCGCACCACCCCAGCCTCTCACTGCAGGAGCAGCACCCATAACCTTAACTAAAGCGGCTGACAACGAGGCAGCCAGTTCAGTAACGGCTGATGAGACGTCTGTGCCCGTGTTATCCCTCGGCCACCCTGGCGCAGCCGCCCTGACAGTCTTGCAGCCTGCCGCGCACCAGGAAAGGGAGGCTGACAGTAACCTAGCGCTCCTGTTTGCCGAAGACGAAGAAGACGAGGAGGAGGGAGGCGAAGCCCGTGTGGAAGGCGGAGAGCAGGAGGGCGACGGAGGCACGGAGCAGGCTGATGCGGAGGCGGCGGCGGGCCGGCCGCACCCCCGCCTAGCGCACCTGCCCATCAGACGCATCGTGCAGGATGGGGTTATCTCGGCAGAGCTGTGTCGGGAGCTCATCTTCGTGTTCAGGGTACGGCACATACACATTGTACGGCACGTACAGCCGTGTACGGTACATACACAGTAGTACAATGCTGTACAAGCTATAGAGACATCACAGTCGTACTTTCAAACTCCCCACCACCGCCGCCCCCACCCCCCTCCACCCCATGCCGCCCCCTCTCCCCCAGAGCACCAGCACAGTGGGGTATCGGCCGCATCTGCGCTCAGCCACCATCCATGATGTGGCTGCCACTGCCCCCTGGCTGCTGCCGCCTCTGGTGCGTGAGAAGGGGGGGAGGGGAGGCAAGGGGAAGGGGAAGAAAGGAGCTAACCCGTGTGGAGAGAGGGGTGTGTATGGGGCGGGAGGGGCGGATGACCTCCAGCTGATCGGGCCAAGAAGGCGTGTTGGAGGAACAGCAGACGGGCGGATGAAAGCAGCGGGATAGCTAACAGGAGCCTCCTTCAACCGCTTTCAGGGTAGAAAGGAACGGCGGTTTCACCTTTAATGGGTTGCTGATTGGGTTGTCTGCTGCCCTGCCCCCCACCACCTTCCCGCGCACGCAGGTTGCAGCTCGGCGCGCGGTGCTGGCCGCGGTGGAGGCTGCGTTCGGTTTGTCTCTGGAGCTGTCAGCTGAGTTCAGTGGGCTGATGGGCTGGGGGGCGGGGGCGCAGCTGGGCTGGCACCATGATGCTAACAGGTGGGGGTGGGGTGGGTTGGGCTTGGGGTTGGGTTGGGTTGGGTCGAACGGGAAAGCTGCCGATGTATGTGAGGAAGTGGAGTTGGGGCGGAGGGGCTGATTTGTCTGCGGATTTGGCTGCGGAGGTGGAGGAGGAGCTGGTGGAGGGGCGGCGGGCGAGGGAAGGCGAGTGGGGATGAGCTGCCGGGCGAGGGCAGGGTCGTGTGTTACGGGAGTGGCTTGAATGCGTTCTTGTGGTGGTTGGGAAAACCCTGTTGGGCTACGCGCGCTGGGCTACGCGCGCTGCATGAGTCGGGCCACGGAATTCCAGTGCTTCGCTTCCATACTAGCGTATTATTCGTCACACTCTTGCACCAGCCCTGTGTGTTTCCCTCCCCTTTAGCCCCACCCTGCCCCTCGCCACCCAATCCCAACATACACACACAGTTTCCTTAACACACATACACACACACGCCCGATGTACGTTTCACAGTACGTTTCTCCTCGCTGCCAGTTATTTTAACAAACGCCCGATTTCTATTCACACATGCAGGGAGTACCTGGCACAGCGACACCTGACAGCCGTGCTGTATCTGAACAGCCAGGGGGCGGAGTTCGGAGCCGGGGACTTCAGATTCCGGGTGCGCCCTTCCACCTCCCAGGGAGCGGGCTCAGGCGGGCTTCCGATGTGGACATGACCATGGATGTGACCACGGAACGTACCGGCAGTAGAGTGTACGGGCTACCCTGTACCGCTACGAATACGGAAAATGGTGTACATCAAAGTGGTGTATTTGCCGTACACAGCGGGTCATCCGTCGTGCCTCGCATCGGCCGGCGTCCTACCTGTCACCGCCCTCCCGCCCCTCCACCCAAGATATTATGCGTCCGCCCACTCCCTCCCTTCTGATATATCCCTGACTGACCCCAGTGCGTCCGGCCGCCCATCATGCCGCCCTCCTTCTTAACGCTCCATACCCCTGCGGAAACACCTGTCTAACCCGTCACCTGTCTAACCCGGAAACACCTGTCTGACCCCGGCACCCCCCGTGCCAGGACGGCCCAAAGCCACTTCGTGTGCCTCCTCGGGCTGGTCGTCTGGTAGCTTACACAGCGGGTGGGGGGTTGGAGGGGTGGGCGGGTGGGGGGGGAGTCAAAGAAATACCAAACCACAAGTGAGGACAAGACAGAGGGGTGGGCGGGTGAATGGGAGGTGGTTGATGCTGATGCTGATGCTCTAATCCTACATTGCTTTGCCCGGCTGCTGCTCTCATGTCCCCCACGCCGCCCCCACCTACCGCCCACCCAGACGCGCGCAACGTGCACTGCGTGGAGCAGGTGGTGTGGGGCGAGCGCTGCACCCTCACGCTGTGGTTCAGCCTGGAACCGGCGGCGGCGGAGGATGGCAGGGTGGGTGCGGGGGACTGGGTGCGGGTGGGACTGGGTTGGTTGGTTGGTTGCCCTGAGGGAGGGAGTGGGGCTGTACCAACTGCCTATCGCATGGTGCTCCCTCCCTCCCTCCCTCCCTCCCTCCCCTGCAATACTTGCTACCAAACCCCACTACCTACCCCCCCCCATCCTGACGGGATTGGGACTACTCCGTTGATGCATTTATCTATATGTTTCCCCACCCTCCCCCCCCCCCACACACACATAGGTCCTGCAGCGGCTGTGTGCCGACCCCTGCCTCCTACCGCAGCAGCTGCCCCAGCCCCAGCCGCCCCCCCAGCCCCCACCAAGGGATCCGCATGCCGACGCGGACGCTTCGGCTGCAGCCGCGACTGGGGCCCGAATGCGGCTGCGGATGCTGCCCCGGCCGCTACCCCTGGGGCCGGGGCTGCCGGATACCATGTACCAGCTGCCCCTCCCAGCTGCAGCGGAGGAGGAGGGGGAGGAGGAGGAGCAGCCGCGGGTTGGGGCGGGGGGTGACGGAAGCAGCAGCAGCCGCGTCGGCGCGGTTAGGAAGAGCGGCGCGGCCTGCAGCAGCAGCAGCCGTGGAGGAGGGGATGTGCGACTGGAGAGGCTGAGGTGGGTGGGTGGGATCAGGGTACGGCATGACATGGCTCGGCGGTGGTTTGGGGAAGTCTGGCGGAGGAAAGCCTGCATGCGTTTGGGGGCGATTCTGAAGCCGTCATGCTCATGCCGTACACTTTGACATGCCGTACCGGTACCCGTGCCGTGCCGTACTATGGGGTACACTGGGGGCGCTTGTGGAAAGCCGTACACATACACTTGCATGCGGATTGCATGACGCCGTGCGTAGCTGCGAAACCAGTCGTACACGCACGTTTCCCTGCTTGGTCGTGTGTGCAGGCGACTGGGGCTGATTGTGATGTCCGCCTTGGATAGGGAGGCGGAGGAGGAGGAGGAGGAGGAGAGGCAGCCTGAGGCAGGCGAGGGGAGGGCGGCAGAGGAGGAGGGTGTGTCGAAGTCATGGCTCCTGGGCGCTCATAGCTGCGCTGATCTGACAAGCGGCGGCGGCGACGGTAGCGGCACCCCCACCCGCCGAGCTGGAGTCTGGATGGGGCTGCAACACAGTCATGAGCCTGGTACGACAGCAGCGACAGCAGCAACGACGACAGAGGAGGAGGAGGTGGCGGTGGGGGCTGCCGGGTACAGCAGCTGTTTACAAACCGGTAGGCGGCAGCAGACCCAACCTTCCGGTAGGCCTCTGCATGCGGGAGGTGCGGCGGGCGGCAACGGCAGCCTCGGGATGGAAGCAGCAGGAGCAGCAGCGGTGACAGCAGTGTCAATGGTGCCGGCATCGGCTCTCTGTCCTCAGGCACCGGGAGCAACGACGCTGCGAGCTGCTAGACAACTCGCAGGAGCAACATCACCATTAGCACCAGAAAAGAGGAAGGGGAAGCAGGCTGTGTGGTTTGCCTCGAGTCTGCAGGAAGCCCTGATCGTAGCGGAATTTATGTCGTACAAGCTGGGTGTCGTACGGATTACCAGTGTACGGAAGCTGGATGAAGGAATGGCGCAGATGGTGAGCTACGTTGACGCGCGGATGGCTGAGGTCCGGGCTGCACTGCCCACTTGGGTGACCCTTGGGTCACTGCTGGGGTAGAAGAAAAGCTGCTCTGGGGTAGGAGGAGGGTTCTTGGGCCTCTCTGTTGTGTATGTCGTACCCTTAGATGCCGAGTAGGCAACCGGGGTTATGATGGAGAGTCGGCTTACCCATGATGGCCGCATGGTCCCCTTGTAAAACTCTACAGGCTAGCGTTACGGGACCCTTCCTGTCGAGCCAGCTGACCGCGTGAGGAGCCCAGAACGGGGGACATTACAGGGCTCAAAATTATGGATATGGTGAAGCGTGATAAGCCCGTACGAGTTATGCTGCCACGTCAAGTGGCTTCGACCGCCAATCCCTGCTGTACAGAGCGGCGCTGACCAGGGGTCTTACAAATCCACTCCTTCACTCCACGCGCACACACACAAGGCAGTTCCAGAGCACTGCTTAGGGGTAAATCTTCTTCTCAAGTCTAAAGTTTAACAACAACCTCCTCCTCACTTCTCAAAACGGCTCAAAAACAAAAATGCATTTTTGCTCCTCTTCCGCTGCTCCTCCCACTCCGCTGCTGCTGCGGCTAATGTTGCTGCCACGAGCACATCAGCAAATGCACATCGCCGCTCCAAATCCACTTATGGCTCATCAGGAGGGCTGAAGAGGAAGTACGGAGGGAAACGTACGGCACCGCCAATTGTACGGCAGTGCCGTAATTACTGGTAGTAGGGCAGGAACTGGGTGCACACGTAGGCCCACGCGACGCCAGCCTCCCCACCGACCAGGAAGCCGGAGGCGAACTCAGCCCAGCTGAAATTGGTGTTGCGGGGTGAGGGAAAGGAGGGAGAAGGAGAAAAGAGGGCTAAGTCGGGCATATGGACGGGGTTGATGGTTGGCGGGGCCATGGGCCGTTGTAAATACGGCTGCTTGGAGCGTAATGTGATTAGGCGCGGGAGACGTGCATTAGTGCAACCGCTGTGAGTCTACTTAGTTGGAATGCTGTGCGTGACTGACGTGACAGGGAACAGGACGTGGGGTGCAGTGCCAGACAACGCATAGCCAACACCGCTTTTGATATGAAGAGCCCAGCCCCCCTGTGCCTAAGGCACCCCTTCCCCGCTCTTCCCTGCACCACCAACAAAAACTTCTCAGCCATGTCGGCCAATCTCACCCCTCAGCGGAGAACAGCCGGTCCCGCTCCACGCTGCGGCCAGACAGCGTCTTCACACCAAGCTTAGGCGCGGACTGGAACTGAGCTGAGCCGTAGATGGACAGAGCCAGCGCCAGGATGAGCACCAGGCCAGCGGCCGACAGGCATCCCGCAATCTCAGCAGTCTCGGGCACGTTGCGCAGGGGGCCCAGCTGAGGAGTTTCAGAATATCGGTTATGGAGTTTAGTGTTATGGTAGACTAAAGCGCGCGGACAGCGAATTCGAGGGTAAGAACGCTTGCAAGGGAGCATGCATGCAAGCAAACGCAGCATGAGCCGACGCTGTGCTAAGTGAAACAATAACTGGTTGTCGCGTGTTATTGGATTTGAATACTGCAGGCTTCTAGTATGAGTTACTGTGTGACTAGCTGGGCGATGAAAGCGTCGGTCATTGCCCAGTCACAGCGCTCCAATCCGCGAGGTCGCTGTCGCTTATGATTAAGAAAACTCGCCTTGATGAAAGGACCAGCCACGAGGAAGCCGTGGGCAAGACCAATCTCCACACCGCGCAGCGCCGGGGCAACGGCGGTGCGGTAAGCCGGCAGGTTGCTCAGGTAGCTGGCAATGATGGGGGACGAGGTAATGGGGGTCTCCAGCATACCCACAAACGGGTCACCGTTCACTGGGCTGATCACCTGAGCCTGCGCACCATGAGGAATGCTCAAGGATTGGCACCTATGTTTCCATGCTAAAGCATAACCTTTCATTATAACTACGCCTAGTGTCTATCTACCTTCTTCTCAGCCATCGCGCAAACGCGAACAGTGGAGACGCGGGCCAGGCCCAGGGGAACCTGGCGCCGTGCCGCGGTGGCACGCAGGCCGCACGATTGACGCATAGCAACGGCCATTTTGACGTGTTTGTAAGAACAGGCGCTGGACCAAAGCTCAATTTGCGCGTGAGAGGCTAAAGCGACATCTGAGCTATCCGTACAAGCGAGGAGATCTCAGGGGCCTTGCGCGCTACCAGTCCTTGCTTTATCACGAAGTTTAATACAATTATGCATGCTATCGTCTTGCTGTAAAATGACGTTGCAAGCTATCCTGGTCTACCGTGCACATAGGATTGCTTGCTTGACCTACAGGTTCCAATCCCCGATTACATACATGCTTACAAAATTCAACGCAAACGTTGGTGACGCTACAGCACACGTGTGCAGTAAAATGAAGAAACAGTGCAAGCACTGCTTTGCAAGCTTTAATGCTGCCCATACCAATATTGTGCCCTCATCGGGTCTTAATAGCCGCGTCCAATAGCTGTATAGGGTCACTAATAATCTGTGCAACTGGGCTTGAAGGAGGCCTTCGGCGAAGTCGACGCAAAGGTCGACGCAAACCTACCGGAGGGGCAGGCTTGCGATGTGTAGACTTACAAACACCGCGGTCCGTTCCTTACTTATATACCCGTCCGTCAAAGATGGTGTGCCCTGGCATATAGCGTGTGTATATAGTTGGCATTGAGTAACATTTGGACCCCCAAAGCCCAAACCCACCGTCGTGGTACATTGTATGCTGCTACAGCCACCCCTGCCCTTGTCAAGCGTTTTCAGCATTATTAAGTGTTGCGTTTGAGCATGATTTGAAGGATCGGTAGTATGGTACTGACACGCCCTTCATACCAGGGTAGCTGTGCCCTCTCGCCCTCTCCCCACTTCGCTCACCTCACCTCCCCCACGCCATGAAAGCCAGCAAGACACCGAACCAAGCTGAAACCTTGCAGCTTGCCGAATAAAGTAACCATGCCAAAACCTCAAGAGCCAGACTGAGAAGCAGCTCTAACCAGCTTTGGGATAAGGTGCCGATCCCCAAGCAGTGCCCGCCGCTACCACCTCTCCATGCTTCCACAGTCAGCCCATATGATTAGCCGAAATGTTCCCAAGGCGACCGGACACGCTGCAGCACAAGCACCTTCGTCGAGGAGACAAGGAACCCAACCACAGGCGGCCAACACATGTTCCGACACTCCTACCCGCCTCTTCCCAGTTCCAGGTATAACTGTCGACCGGCTACTGGCACACGTGGGGCAAGAAAGCTTCAGCTGCCCCCCACCCCCAGTGTGAGCAAACTCTTGGACAGAATAGAACACGGGTGTGGCCTTGCAGTGGAGGGATGATGGCCAACACCAAGGGTGTGACTGATGCCGCTCTTTCCACATCTCCATGCCATCGCAAAACACTTCCGGTGCCATGACCTCCCCCCCCCGACGAACCACCCAACAAAAGCCGAGCAAACACCAAAGCCATGCTCTGCAAACAACAACGCCTTTTGTTTTGCCCAGCGCGTGCGCATGTGCTACAACCGGGAACAGCGCAGTCAGGACGCCCGGCCGCCCCCGCGCGCAAACCAGCAAGCAAGAGCAGCACCGGCAGCCCCTGCATGGCGATGGCCCCCTGCGCGCCACCACCGCAACCCTTCTCCTCCGACCTTCCTCCGCCCAGCCCGCACAGAAAACGCAGGAGGAAAGGCTCTGGCTGCCAATTATCGGCAAGCTTATGGTGGGCTTGTTAGCCTGTATTACCATGGCATGTCAGCCTGTGTGTTAGCCTGCACGCCACCATGCAGCGTAACGGTATTCATGACACAAACGCTTGCCTCCATGCAAGATCCTGCCAAAATAATGATGCTGACTTCTTGTACACCTGAAAGCTCCCATTAGTAGTTCTTTTGATGAAGTCCCTACAACCGTAATCATCATGTGTGCCCCTTTGCCTCCATTCAAGGCCAGCCCTAACCGACCCAAACAAACAAGGTTCATGTACCCTCATCCCCCTCCAATCTGGACGAGAGAGGTGACCGGACCCTTTTGGTTCTCCAACTCCATTGCATGCGGAAATGCATGCGAAGGCATCGCACAACATTCACGTGGTCACGAAAAGACCCACATATGCAAACCATCAGACGTCCGCCACATCAGAGCCACATTAGCGGTACTTTAGTAAGCCCCGTACAACAGCATGTACGGCAACGGGCCCATTACTGGAGACACACGCACACAAACGTACGACACGTCGTGTGGGTCCTCGCGGCCAATATCCCTGATCCACGTACGTTCCTATTCGCGGCCAGTTTCCTTAACCCCACCCACACCCACATAGCATCCAGTTGAGTTAACACACGCCACTTGCATGGCGAAGCAAAGCAAACCGCGCACTTGCACATGACAGCGCTTGTTTTCTCGTCACGCAACCCCCCTCAATCGTTTGTCTGGGGGCGAGTAAGAAGCTTTCCTGCCCTCGCCTGCGTTCCCTCCCCCTCCTGCCTACAGGACCGCCCACCTCGTCCTCTTTCTGCATCAAAACCGAATAGGTCATGTCATGCCAAGCAACAGGCAAATGCGCGGTCAATGCCACACTTAACATGTGCCCAGGCGCGATGGACTCCTTACCTCTCTCGTACCTCTGGGGCACACACCATGGGGCAGTGCCTCCCTCCCGAGCCCCTCAGCTTGCAAGCTGCACCCCTCCCCACACTGGAGAGGGAACACCCAGACGCGCCCCCGGCTTCACGGCCCAAGTATTATACTCTTGACCATCACAACCCCCATCCGTATCATACCATACCCCCCACAGCAGCAGCAGCAGTTTCACAAATCCGCCACCCCTTCCTCGGAGGTATTCGCGCCCGCTCTGCTGGCATTGATGGAGTGGATGGTGTTCAACACCCCCAGCATGGAGTGCACGTCCGACAGCTTCCCGCCGCCCCCACCCAACCCCTGCACCACCACACCCACCCCGCTGCCGCTGCCCATGACGCCACCTGCACCATTCCCTGCTGCTGCAACCCCAACCCCAAACCCAGCACCGCCACCCATGGCGCCGCCGCTGGACGCCCCCGGCGAGGCTTGTTGCAGGATGCGGCGGGTGTGCTGCCGACCAGCGGAGCCCCCTGACACCGCCGCCGCTGCCGCTGCCGCTGCGGCACCCGTGGTAGCAGCCGCAGCCGCAGCCGCCGCTGCTGCTGCTGCCGTGGCGGCGGAGGTGGCGGAGGGGCCAAAGCCGCCGGCGCTGTAGCGATGCCCCTGCGGGTGGTGGTGGTGGTGGTACTGGTGGTGGTGGTTGTTGTACAGCCCGCGACTCACGGCAGCTGATGACGCCGGCGCCTGGCCGCCCCCCGGGGGAGTCTCCAGCGACAGCCGCCCCGGGGTGCCCCCCCCGGATGCCGACATGGAGCCGGGGGCGGGGTAGGTGGCGAAGGAGCCCGAGTCCTCCAGGTACTGCATCACCATCAGCTGCTGCGTGGACAGACCGCCGCAGGGGGGAGGGAGCAGGCCGCTGCCAACACCGCTGCCGCCGGCGCCGCCACCGCCGCAACCACTACCGGCACCACCAACCACCTTCCCGCCTGCCGCCTCGGATACCGAACTCGCGGTAAGTGTCGTGGAAGCTGCACTGCCACCGCCGCCGCCGCCGCCACCTCCGCCGTACATTTGTAGCAGCGCTTTGAAGAAGTTCTCCTCCGTGAGCTTTACCACGGTGACGGGTCCCCGCGCTCTGGCCGACATGCGGTACGTAGCGGATGCGTTGTCCATGCCCATCTCCCCAATCACCGACCCAGGGCCCTTCACCTCCACCACGTACTCTGCATTCTCTCCCAACAAGCTGCCCTGCATGCGCCGCCGCATCTCAATCGCCTGCTGCCGGTCTATGTGCAGCTTGCCGTCTACGATGTTCATGCCCTCCGTGAACGCAGCTGCCTCCCCGTGATCCAGCGTCAGCGACTCGTCCAGGTCCACGGAGAACGAGGCGTCATGGTCGTTACTGCCGCCGTCGGGCAGCGCATCCCCGCCGCCGCCGCTAGCTACTCCTCCCACACTGCTACGGAAGCCAGCAGCAGCACCCGCAGCCACACCCGCACCCGCTCCTGCAGAGTGCCCCGCATGTTGTCCGCCCCCGCCCCCGCCACCCGACGCCAGCCTGCCACCCCCGCCTGCACCTCCCCCTCCTGCAGACGGGTGTGCGGGTCGGCGCAGGTGCTGCGTCAGCTCCACCACCCCCGCCATGATCATGTACACGCAGTGCGCCTCCTCGCCCTCCCTGGGGGGGGGAAGGGGGAGGGGGAGGGGAGGGGAGGGGGTTGAGAGAGGGGATGGGTTCTTCGCATTCCGTACGAGAGGGGAAGCTAAGCAGGGGTGAAGAACAAGTGGCTGAAGGTGGTGTTGCTAGTAATGCAACTTGCAAAGCTTGTAGGCGTGCGGCACCCCGACCCCACCAGCACACCTGTTCTACTCCCCTCCTCCATACCCATACCCCAGCCATCATACCCCTAGCGGGCCCCCCCTCCCCTCCCTCCCCTCCCTCCCCTCCCCCCCCTCCCACCCCTCCCACCCCTCCCACCCCACCCACTTGAACAGGTACTCCCCCGCGCCGCAGCTCTTCTCCTTCAGTCGCGCGCGCACCAGCGAGACCAGCGAGCAGCGGTCGATGGCGGCCGCCTGCTCCGCGTGAGTGACGTGGATCAGCTGCGGCGGCGGCCCGCCCTCGTCCCCGCTGCATGACAGCAGTGGCACGGGGGGGAGGGAGCCGCCCGCGGTGACCCACTCGTGCTGGCACACCTCCTGCGGGGCAGAGGGTGGGTGGGGGCGGGGGCGGGGGGCAAAGACCACACCAAACCATAGGAAACCACAGGTTAGGGCAAAGCAGTGGGGATAGGAGTGGGGGTGGGGGCGGGGCGGGTGGGATGGGGGGGGGTTGAATAAGTGAAATGGGATGGGGGGGGGATGGGCGGGCGGGAGGAGGATACCATGCGACTAGGGTTTGTCTCCCCCCCTATCAACCGTCCTTCCGCCGGCCATCCTGCTCTGGACTTCCTGGTATGCTGGTCAGTGCTTCATTGCGGATTCGCTAACCTACCCCCCCTCCTTCCAGACTCTACCCTAATTCCTGTTGTTTCTTACATGGTTTGTTCTATGTCCGACCCCCCCTCCCCCCACCTTGAGCCCCGGCCTCTTGCGCGGGTCCTTGTCCAACATGCGGTCCAGCAGGTCTCGCAGTGCGGGGGAGGCGGGCGGGTCGGGCGGGTAGGTGTGCGGGCGGGTCAGGATGGCCCGGTAGATGTCAACCTGTGGGGGGGGGGCGGGCGCAGGCGACAACTAACTAACTGGCCGTGTGATAAGGTGCCATCATGGTTCGCAACATGTGAGCCAGCCCGACCCGCCCAGCCCGAAGGCGGAGGGGGAGGTGAGGGGGGAGGTGAAGCGGAAGCAGCTCACTTCCTTACAACGAAATCCCTTCCCCAACCTGCGCTGTGCTCTCCAAAAGCCACTCCGCCTACCCACAACCCCCAATCACACATCCATTTTCCCATAATCCCCCCTCCATTTCCCCTCCATACACACACACACGCACGCACCACGCACGACCCCACGAACGGCAGCCGCCCGAACACGAAGCAGAAGAGGCAGCACGCCAGCGCCCACAGGTCGGCCGCGAAGGGGTCCACCGGCATGTGGCCGATCTCCTCGGGGGACTGCAGGGAGGGGGGGGAAGGGGGGAGAGGAGGAGGGGGATTGAACCTGCTGCACCCCGTAGCCTCCGAGCCCCTCACCCTGCTGCCCGGTCACCAGCTTACCTCCTCTTCCTCTTGCTTAACCCTCAACCACCCCCCCCCACCCCAACCCCCCCACCCCAACCCCGCCAATCCCCCGCACACCCACACACCTGGAATGCGGGCGTGCAGGAGGTCTTGGTTGCGTCGGTGGGGTCTCCCCCCATGAAGCGACTGGATCCGAAATCCGCTATTTTGAGCCGCCCCGATCCGCTGACCAGCATGTTCTCGGGCTTCAGGTCGCCGTGCACCACCTTGTTGTAGTGCAGGTAGTCCAGTCCCTGGCAGGCCTGGGGGGGGGCGTGTGCGTGTGTGTATTGGAGGGGAGGGAGGGGGGAAAGGGGGGAGGGGAGGGGAAAGAGGGTGGGAAGTGGGGAGAGGGAATGAAGGACCGTTCCCCACCATCACGTTACCACTCTTCCCCTCCCCTCCCCACTGCCCTGCTCAATGTGCTTCCGCCCCATTCCCTCCCCTCTCCTCCCTGCTGTCCCCCTCGGCCTCGCTGCACACCCCAACACAACCCCTTACCCCTCTCCCCCTTTAACCCCCCCCCCCTCGCCCGCCACCCACCTGCCTGACACCACCCCCCCCTCACCCATTACCTCCCACCCCTCCCCCCCCCACCACCACCCACCTGTCGAAAGTACTCCCTGGCGCGCTCCTCCCCCAGCGGACTCAGCCCCGTCTGCGCGCGCGTCTCCATCACACACCCCCCCTCGCAGTACTCCAGCACCATCATGAGGTAGGAGGAGCCGGGCGGGTCGATCACCTCGTGCAGCCGCACCACGTGGGGGTGGTCCACCTTCTTCATGACCGCGATCTCACGCATGATGGCGGCCAGGGGGGAGGTGTCGTCCATGGAGGCGCGGGCGGGGGCGGCGGACTGGGGTGGGAGGGGGTGAGGGGGAGGGGGGGATGGAGGAAACAACTAAGTGACTGAGGAATAAGGCGTCAAACATGTGAACCAGCCCAAGTGGGGGTGGAGGGGTGGGTGAAGGGGGGGGTGGAGGGGTGGGTGAAGGGGGGGGTGGAGGGGTGGGGGTGAAGGGGGGGGGTGAAGGGGGGGGTGGAGGGGGGGGTGAAGGTGGGGGTGGAGGGGTGGGTGAAGGGGGGGGGAGGGATAGTGTGTATAGGGTTGGTCAAAACGGGAAGGAGGGAGGGAGAGGCGGTTCGGGGTTGGGTGGGAACATGGGGTTAGAAGGGGTGGCATGGGATGAGGAACACGGGTGCAAACCGTTGCATGGAGCTCCATACACACACGCTACCCCCGCCTTCCCACACCCCGCACTCCCCCTCCCCCGTCCCCCACCTGCCCCGCTCCCCCCGCGCTGGCGTTGGTGGTGCTGATGGACAGGTTGCCCTCCGTCTGCGTGCGCTGCAGCTGCAGGTGCAGCAGCCCGGTGTCGGAGGTGTTGCGGGCGGGGGCGCGGCGGCGGAGCGGGCGGGAGGGCTTCTGCAGCTGACGCAGCAGGTGGGCGCGGTTGATCATCTGTGGGGGGGGGGGCGGGGGAGGTCAAAGACCATACCATACCATAGGAAAACACAGGTTAGGGCAATGCAATGGGGATAGGTGTCGGCGGGAGGGAGGGTTGGTTGGGGTTGACAGTGTCATGGGAATGGAACCCCAGGGAAGGGAGCGGGGAATAGAAGAGGCTAAGGCGTCGTACCCCTCTACTTGCTGTTGCTGCAAGTCCCAGCCCCCTCCCTCTTCCCCCTCCCTCTTCCCCTTCCCTGCCCCCTCCCTCCCCCCCACCTTGATCGCGTACAGCTGTCCGTCCAGCGTGTTGAGGCACAGCTTCACCTTGCCGAACGCGCCCCGCCCCAGCGTCTTCACCACCACGTACTGGTTGATCACGGTGGCGCCGCTGGCGTCACGCCCGAACTCCAGCTTGGTGGTTTCCTGGAGGGGTGGAGGGGGGGGGTTGGAGGGGGGAGAGGTTTGGTACGGAAACTGGCCGCGAGGCGAGGTGTATCTCAAGGAAATTGGCCACGAGGAGGTGTGTTAAAATAACTGGAGGTGGAGGTGGAGGTGTGTGCGGGTTGTGGGGAAAAAACTATATAAGTGAAACAACGAATGGGGGGGGGTAGGATAAAGGGGTAAAGAGGGAAACGAAGCAAGCCTCGTCAACATGTGACAAGAGGCCGGGTTGCCACGCTTGCATGGACACGCACGCACGCACGCCCGTAGCCTTGCACGCGAGAACGCACGAATGAGCGCATGCATGCGCCCGTGCCTGCAGTCACGCGGTCACGCCCTCCTGCTTTCCCCCCCCCCCCACCTTCGCCAGGCTGGATATGCCCTTCATGCTGGCCTGCACCTTGGCGAACAACCCGCTGTCCTGTGGGGGAAGAGGGGGAGGGGGGGGGGGGGAGGAGGGGCAAGGGAGGCAGGCGTGCAGGATTGGGAGGAGGAGGGGTTCTGTGGAGGGGAGGGGGGGGACACATTGCCACAGAGAACGCGACCGCCCCGCCAGGGTGATGAAACGCAAGGAGGAAACGCAAGCGTCACACCCCACCCGGGTACCCATCTAGCACACACCAGGCCATCCCCAGGCCCCTGAGCCTGAGCCCCACAAAGGCAAGCACCAGTCCACCCGTCTCCTCCCCCCTCACCTCCCCATTAACCTGCCCCTACTTCGTGTTTTCCTATCATTTTGGTCTACCTTTGCCCCCACCCCCCCCCACCCCTTGCTCAGTTTTCCTTATCTTCACCCACCTGCAGCATCAGCCGCTCCACCGCCTTATGCAACGCCACCAGCCCACTCGAGTGCTGCTGCGCGTGGCTGCCGCTGACCATCCGCGCACTCGCATGCGAGGGCCGGTCGCAATTCATATTCGATGTGACCTGCGCGCTGAGCGTGATCTGCGGATTGCTGTGCAGCATGAGCGCAGGCGTGGCAGCGCCGCTGTGGCTGCACCCCACAAACGCCGGCGCGATTCGAGTGCCGCCGCAGCCCTCCTCTTCGAAGCTACCGCGTTGGCCGCTGCTGCCGGGCAGTAGCAGCCCCCCTCCGTCCCCGCTTGCATGCAGATCGGGACAGCGAGCTACGGCCGTGGGTAGGAGCAGTCGAGAGGCGGGGGGTAGGGGGGTTGCGGAGGCAGGGGAGAGGTTGGGGGAGGCCGGGAGGATGCCTGCTGCTGCTGCTGCGGCGGCAGCGGCAGCGACGGCAGCAGCGGTGGAGGTGCCGGCTTGGGTGTACGGCATAGCCTGGCTGTAGCGTTGCTGTGCCGCACTGTTCGGGCCTGGTCCCATGGTGGAAGAGGTGATGGACGTTTGGCTGGTCGCCGGGCTGTTGCTGGGGACGCGACAGCAGCCCGAAACGAGGTAGCCCCCTGCTGCTGCACTCGACACGACACCGCCGCCGCCGCCGCCTGCTCCAGTACCACCCAAGCCGCCTCCCAGGATGCCAAACGGCGAGAAGGCGTTACTGGGACTGTCCTCAGGCACTCCCGCCGCCCCCTCCTCCGGGACGCCAAACCCGCCCGACAGCGGCGGCCGCATGTGCAGCATATCCGCGGTCCCGCTACCCGCATAGCCCCCACCCCCACCCCCACCCCCCCCGCCACCTCCTCCGCCCATGCCGCCATCCTGGCTCTCCCCGCCATGCACCCCCGCCCCTCCGCCATCCTGCCGCATGACCGGCATGGAAGCGTGTCGGTTGGGGGGCCGCCGGTGGTGCCCCGGCTGGTGGTGCAACCGGATGGCCACCCGTGTCTGCCCGGCCTCCCCGGGCTGCGTGGGAGGGTGGTGCTGCTGCTGCTGCTGCGGGTGGGGTGCCGTGCCCGCAGGTCCCGGGCCTGCTGTGAGGGCCCGGGCAACTGGGTAATGGCACGAACCCACATCGGCTCCGAGACCCAACCCAACCCCCGCTCCAGCCATGCCACTCCCACCACCAGCACCTCCTGCGGGCATGGCTCTTGCAGCACCAGCACCAGCAGCACCCGGGGCTTCGTAGGACCGGAACTCGACACTGGTCCCCGCTGCTCCCCCCATGGCAGCTAGGGTTACGGAGCGCATGGCACGGCGGGTTGTACGTGCGCGGTGCTCCGCCGCCTCATCCTCCATGTCCGACGGGGTTTGCTGCATGCTGAAGGAGGAATCCATGCTGGGAGACCCCACGGCGAACAGCTCCGAAACCGCCCCAACGCCCCCGACGCCGCCTTGCCCCATCATGATACCGCCGGTGCCCAGCCGTCTAGGTGTGTGACTCGCCCCGCGGATCATGAACCCGCTGTCCCCCGCTGCTGCAATGCTCACGGAGGAGCTGCCGGCAGCTGCGGGGACGGTAGCGGGCGTCCATGTGCCCGTGTTGCTGCACTGCCCGGGCGAGGTCTCAAAATCTGAAACGGGCAAGCAGTCCAGTACCGCAGTGGAGAGCTGGGCGCCTGTTAGGTGCGACTCCGGTCGGGAGTGTGCGTGCATTGCCAGCCTTTCCGCCACATCCAAGCCATGCCCGGGCTGAGCTGAGCTCTGCCGGCCTAGCTGGCCCTCCCGGCCACCTGGACCGGAGCCCAGGCTGCTCACGCCTCCGCCGCCGCCAGCAGCTACGCCCGTACCGCCCTGCCCTGACGGCAGCCTGGAGGGGCCGTCGCGACCTGCCGTCATGCGGAGCCGAGAATGATGCCGCGGCACTGCACCTACCTGGCGAGCAGCCCGGCTGCTGCTGCGCTCTAGAGGTGCGGGGGCAGCAGCCGTCCATACAGCTTCCGTAGCAGCGTCAGCTGCTGCTGCGGCTGGTGCTGAGGAAGAGGCAGCAGCAGCGGTATCTGTGTCGGCGGCGGCGACGGACGCCGTGGCCTCAGTAGCTGCGGTGGGGGCAGCCGGAGCGGCTGCTCGGGCGCCGCTACCGTCGGAAGCTGCTGCAGCAGCAGCAGCAGTTGCATTCCCTGCTGCTGCTGTTGCTGCTGCTGTGGCCACGTCAGGAGCTGGAGCTGAACCGTGATGGCTGTGCGCGGGTTCCAAGTCCACAGCGGTCGCCCAGGTCCCACTGTTGGATCGCCGCGTGGCGGAGAGCGTCAGCAAGTTGCTGGCAGCGGGGCTCTGAGAAAGCGGTCGGGGCCGGGCGTCCGCGGTGGTAGGCAGGGAGGTGATGGACAGGCCGCTGCGGGTGGAGGGGCAGCCGCTGGGTACCCGAGCCATCTGGGTCGAGGCTGGGCCGGTGCAGCTGCTGGCACGAGGAGTGAGGGCGACGGGTGCCGCGGTTCCGCTTGCGGGCCGGTCAGGTGCAGCTGCCGGCACAGGTCCTGTACTGCGCTGGGTTTGCTGGGTGGAAGAGGCGTGGAACGTGACGGAAGTGCCTGAGGCAGATGGGTTGAGCTGTTTTACGCTGGCGGAGGAAGAGGTAGCGAAGTGATCAATGACCAGTCCGCGCCGGGATGTAGATGCTGCGAGGGTGCTGGCTTCGCCACTGACGGATGCGTCCTCGAGTTCTGTGGAGAGGCCAACCTGCGCTGAGCCCCGCCGTGGCAAAAAGCGTTCCGTGGCTTCTCGCGAAGCACGGGCAGCTGCGAGCTTCCCCGGCATGGAAATGAAGACATGGTCGCTGTTGGTGCCTACCGATGGATTGCCTATGGTCAAATAAATGGCATAACAAATAACATGATTGTCCAGTACGAAAGGTGTTAAAAGGGAAACGCCACGATGACAGAAGGGGTCCAGTTAACGGGTAGGAACGAAGCGCAAACACTCACTCCACCCGTACCTCCGGGAGATAACTCCGTGTTAGCAAGCGGTCTGCCAGGATGGGTTGTTACGGGGGTAACAGCCCCCGGAACGGGCGCCTCGGTAACGGATGTCTGCCCACCAGCACCAGCGCCAGAACGAGTGTTTACATCTTTGTGCGCGCCCCTATTGGAGGATGGAATACATAAGAGCAGTCGTGAAAACATGACTGCGTATGCAGTAAGACGAGCCACCAGCGGCATCGCCTAACACGCCTTGCATACACGAGAACGTCCGTCAACAACGAGCCAGGCCCCCATCCCTTTACCTTTCACCGTTCACTTCATGTTCGTGTTCTGCTGGAAGCGCTTTACTGCTGATGCACCCTATCTTGTACTCCTCTCGCTGGCAAAACGGTAGCCCCCGGTTTCGCTATTAGCCTAGGCTATCAAACAAAAAAGTTGCGATACCCTCACCTAAGGAAAGCTTTCAATAGGCAAAGCGAATAGGGTTAGTTACTTGAATGCCCAACCGAAGCCTGCGTGACATGAGCTTGAGAGAATGAACAAATCGCTAAGCCTGTGCTAAGATGCCTTGAGGATGGTCGGCCTGACCGTACTGTACCCACACTATCGAGGTCACCGAGGTTCTGGAGCATGTACGACAGCATTACAGCCTTCTGCCAGGCTAGCAGATGATTGCTGTCATGGGCATGGAGAATCAGGCATTGCTTGCTAGCGTAATCACTAGCATGCGAAGTCGCAGGATTGCGCAGACAGGGTTTATCATATGATTAGCGTTCTGTTTGTTTGTCTCTTTTGTTTTACTTTTCTTCTTTTGGTTGTTTTCGCGTTTTGTGCTCGCGATCCATGAGCCTTCTGGCTCGGACGGATCTTACGAGCTCGGTACGAAGCTTGTAACACATACATACACGGCTAGCAGGCTAGGATGGCACCTCCCTAGGCGGACCATACACGAAATATCAAGTGAAGGTCTGAAGTTTGTCCTTGATCCGAAAGCGTTTAGTCGTAATTCCAAATCGTTTACACTAACTGCCAACTTTGGAAAACCGGAGCTTTAGTAAAAGGCGTAGTGTAATTACATAGTAGTCGGTGCACGCCAAGACAATCTCCATGACGGAGCTGGAGGGACCCGTGCTTCAAACAAAGTTCAGTGGAAAATGAAGGAGGAGAGGGAGAACGAGCGCAGCGTTGGCAAATTCCAAAGGTTGTTCCGGCCATGCAAAGCTTTCCATGGATGCAAGTACCTCTGGCTGACGGTTGGTGAGCCCACACTGCAGCTTCATAAGATCGAGTCGCAACATTTCAGTGAGGATTCGCGGCAATCGTAAGGAAGGCGAAGAGGGGCAGGCTGGTGACGAACCACTCAGCGCTAAATCTGTGAAGAGACCAGAGGCAAGTTAAAGAGCCGAGGGCAACCAAGGAGTAACGTGTGCTGTGTCTCTCAGTCCAATGCCTTCTACCTGCAATCTTCACACCTACATGTGCCTTCCCTAGCCATGGTCCCCTTCCTCCTCTAGCACACACCTTTGTTCGCCTCCCTTAATCCACCCACCACCCATGCACCTACCATCACCATCACCAGCCTAACGCCATCACAAGCCTAACGCCATGCAATCCTCCTCATCCCCGACCCACATCGCACCGCACCTCCCCCCAGGACCCCCTCCCCTCACCCTCATCCTCGCCCTCCTCAGCAGCAGCCGCTGCTGCCGCTGCTGCTGCTGCTGCTGCTGACCGGCTGACAAAGCCCATGCAACGACACGACTCCCGGGCCCTTGGCCCCGCTGTCACAGCAACAGCAGCAACACCACCACCATCACATGCAGCAGCAGCAGCAGCAGCAAGAGGAGACCGCAGGTCACGTGACGGTGACAACGAGGCAACGGCCGCTGCCAACTCAGCAATGTACGACAACAGCAACAGCGGGGGACCCGCACCACTGCCTTACCAACAACAACATCAGCAGCAGCAGCAACAGCAGCCCGCCACAAGCGGGGCGGCAGCTGGGATCGTAGGAGGTGGAGGTGGTGGGGGAGGCGGGGCGCAGCATGGGGGAAGCCAGACGGGGCTCATGCAGCAGGGCGCCATTCCGGAGCACCGCTTCAGGAAGTTCAACCGGCTGCTTCAGGAGCCAGTGGTGGGTGTGGCCAGTGGTGGTATTCGCTGGTGCCGGTGAAAGCAGGGGTTGTTGGGTGGAGGAAAGGGTGCAAGAAGGGCAGTACCCGGAGGCCGACATGACATACAGGCGCCTGCAGGAGCCAGTGGTGGGAGGAGTGGGAGGTAGTGGGAGGAGTGGCATTGGGGTCTCCTCCGCTTGCAGTCCCACCACCTTGGCTCGTCTGGGTGCCGGCTGCTTCTTCCTACTCACGCCGCATTCCGGTCGGGCTCGTTGGGTTGGGGTCGGGTCGGAGTGACCCGTCCTGCGGCTGGTTGTCTGCACACCTCCCCTGCACACCTTCCCCGTCTGCAACTAGCCACTCGTGAACGTGTGCTCCCACACCTCCTTTACAGCTGGTTGCGAGTACGGTAACTAACCCCATACACGCCTGCTCCTCCTCCTGCTCCTGCCTCCCCCCCTTCCCCCTCCTCCTCCTGCCTTCCCCCCCCCAACCCAGGTGGACCTGGATGCGCTGCGGGAGCTGTCCTGGAGCGGGGTGCCGCTGTCGCTGCGGCCGCAGGTGTGGCGACTGCTGTGCGGCTACCTGCCGCCCGCTAGGTGGGGGAGCGGGAGGTGGAGGGGCGGGGAGGGGGGGAGGTGGAGGGGAGGGGGAAACGAAGAAAACCCATGCGCTGAGTGATAGCAGCAACATCAAGCGGGAGGGGAAGGGAGGTGGGTGGGGCAAAGCAACAAAAGTGGAGCACTCCATTCTTTCCAATGCCCCTGCTGCTGTTGCCCCGCGCCCCTCCCCCCTCCCAGGAGCCGGCAGCCCCAGACGCTGGCCCGGCGGCGGCGGGAGTACGCGGACATGGTGCCCGAGTATTACGACATCCCGCATGAGGAGCGCAGCGAGGACGAGGTGGCGGCGTACCGCCAGGTGGGGGGTAGAAGTAAGGAAACTGCAGCGCACTGCCGGATGAGGGGGTGGGGGCACTGGTGGTGCGGGCGGACTCCCAGGGACCCAGGGCGGGGTGAGGACGGGGTGAGGACGGGGCGAGGACGGGGCGAGGGCGACTGGACCCATGGGAAGTCTGGGGCTGCCGGGTCTTGCCGGCACCCTCCGCTGACCCCTACACTACCGCCGCCACTGCCCTACCCCGCCCCCTGCCAGGTTGCCGTGGACGTGCCACGCACTGCTCCCGGGGTGCCCTTCTTCCATGAGCCGGTCATTCAGGAGTCGCTGCAGCGGGTGCTGTACATTTGGGGCATACGGTGGGAGCGAGGGGGGGGGGGTAGGGGACGAGAGGTGCGCTGAGGGGGATAAAGATAAAGTGATAAGCGGAAACACGGCTCAGGGGGCGAGAGGGGCGCTGACGGAGGCGGAGGCGGTGTTGCCCTGCCACCTACCCCACCCGTCCCTCCCCATGCCAGCGGGTTTGCTGACACTGAACACCTTGCGGCGGCACCTTACCCCTTGACCCCCCGTTCCGCTCCCCCTCCTCCTCCTAGATTGGGACTATAGTTGCTGCACCTTTCCTTCATTTTCCCCCCTCTCCCCTCCCTCCCCTCCCCCCCAGCCACCCCGCCAGCGGCTACGTGCAGGGCATGAACGACCTGGTCACCCCCTTCCTGGCGGTGTTCCTGTCGGAGCACCTGCCGGGGCCCATGGAGGGGTGGCGGGCGGAGGCGCTAAACCAGGTGGGCTGGGTTGGGGGGGTGGGGGGGAGAAGAGGGAAGAGGATAGCATGTTGGGTTGGGGCGGTGGGTAGGCGATTTGTACCCTCCGCTCTTTACTAATGCTCCCTCCCTAGCAACGCTTTTGTCCAGTGCTGCCGGTGTATTCAGAAGCGGCGACGAGTGCTCTGCCTTCTGCCCCTACGGTTTCCCCACCCAACCTCCACCCACCCGCCCAACTGCTTCATTCCTTTTTGAACCCACGCCCACCCACCCGTCCGCCCGCTGAACGACCCGTGGGTCACTCAGTCCATCATGCTGGCAGTGGAGGCGGACTGCTACTGGTGCCTGTGCAAGCTGGTGGAGGAGATCCAGGACCACTACACGTACGCGCAGCCCGGCATCCAACGAGCCGTGTTTCGGATCAAAGAACTCGTGAGGTGGGGTGTGGGAAGCTGGGAACCCTACCTTACCCCTGTACCTGTACTCGTCCTTGTTCCCCTGCTTGGTGAGTGCATTCCTTCAGGCGCTGCGAGGCGGATGTGTCATGTAGCAAGCAGGTGTCAGCACCGGTAGCCTGCACACTTTCCTACCCCCATACCCGTACCCTATTCCCCCTCTGCATGCATTCCCCTGCTGAGCGCATGCATCCCCATTTCCCTGCTGCGTGCATGCATCCCCATTTCCCTGCCCAGGCGCTGCGAGACCGAGGTGTCTGAGCACCTGGAGTCCGAGGCGGTGGACTTCATCCAGTTCGCGCTGCGCTGGGTGAACTGCCTGCTGGTGCGCGAGCTGCCGTTCTGCCTGGCCATCCGGCTGTGGGACACGTACCTGGCGGAGGGAACGGGGTTCAGCGAGTTCCTGGTGAGGGAGAGGCGGGGGGCCATGTCCGTCCCGCATGGGGCATGGGATGGCATACTGCGGGAGAAGGGGCCCATGAACCCCTGATACTTGATGCGCCGTTAGTACGTGGCGCACGGCATGGCATGACAGTTCCCCGCTCCCTTCCTGCCGGCCCCACCCCCAGATCTACCTGTCCACCGCCTTCCTGCTGAGTTGGAAGGAGCGGCTGACGCGGCTGGAGTTCCAGGAGCTGATTCTGTTTCTGCAGCGCCTGCCCACCGCCGACTGGAGCGAGGCGCAGCTGGAGCGGGTGCTGTCGGAGGCCTTCGTCCTGCGCAGCAGCTACAGCGACGCGCAGAGCCACCTGCGGGCGGGGTGATGATGAAGTAGGAGAGCAGGGGCGGAGAGAAAGAAAGGGATGGACCACATGACATATAGGCTTCGCCATGGGTTGCAACATGGTGGCGGTGGTGGTGGCACGGTTTTCTTTAAGTGGGGGATGGAAGGCGGATAAACAGATGTGGGATGGAGAAGAGAAATGGGCATGTAGGGCGCAGGAGGTTCGCGCAGGGGGCTGATGCCATTGACGGGGGAGGCGTTGGTTGCATGAGTGCAAGGGAACGCTTTCTTGGAGGACTCGCGGCTGTGGTGTCAGGGCTGAGTGGGTACTAAGAAAGCGTGTTCGGAGATACGGTATCCTACTAGCATTGCAGTTCCCTTGATGCGGATGAATCAGTAACTTGGCCAGCATCCGCTCCGCTTGACTAGATGACGGTCAAGTGCAATAGCCGCCTGGTGCTACCGTATCCAAACGGCTTACCCTTGCATTGCTTCTGGAAAAGCTGTCGTGCGCACCCGATGGGCTACTTGTTTGTAGAGCACCACCGACACGTGCCATGCTGAGCTGTTCGAATCTCCCAACGAGCATGGGAGCGTGCACTTCACTCGTGATGAGGCGGGAAACGGCACCAGGACATGTACGTTAGCCTTTACACGGGGCCGTATGCAGCAATCACCGCTAGTGCCCCCCTATTGCACCCTTAGCGCACAATACACCACTGCGGATGCAAGATGTCACCGGGATGCCCAGCAAAAGCATGGACAAAGCCCCACCGCATATAAAAAGAAACAATAAGTGGACATTCAGTAGTCATGTCATTTCCTACAATTCTACAGAGAAAGCCGTCGCTTCCCTAAAAAATCTATGTTAAGCAAACCAATGCGCTGACAGCAGTACAGCAAGGTCGGAGCCGTACGGCAAAGCCTCTGTAGCCTCGTATCTGTGCACCCATGACGAGAGCTCGCTCATCAACTGTATATTGCTGGCCTGTTCCGTGAAAGAAGTGGCCAATATGACCCCACTCAAACCCCTCTCCCCCCACCCCAGGCACTTCAACCCTTAATGCTGAACCCAAGCTCCTCATAAGCAGTTCCTTACGCCTTGCTGGAGATGTTTTGGCTGAGCCAGTCCAGGCCCTCGTACAGGCCCTCGCCCGAGGTGGCGCACGTGCTTTGGATGTACCTGTGGCGGTGGAGGAGAAGTGGGTAGCGGCTTACTGAGCTGTGGCAAGTTATTAGCTGGCATGTATACAAGTCCTTAGCTGAAACAGTCCTCGATATCGCGGACACCGGACTGTTGCGGAGGATGAAAGAGCGGGAAGTGTGCCTTGGTGCCCCCCCTGCCATTACCCAAGACCCTAATAGAGGCAAAAATGAGGCATGAAAACCCCGATGTCGTCATGTCTTTGATCACTAGAGCGTAAGGGTTTACCCACCAGTGGCGCTGGCGGAGGCCGTGCAGTCCAAGCTTCTCAGTGATCTCTGCAGCGTTCATCGCGTTTGGAAGGTCCTGCTTGTTGGCGAAGACCAGCAGCACGGCGTCCCGCAGCTCCTCCTGTAGAATAGTTTTCATTGTTAGTACTAAATATATTGTATGGAGATACGTGGGCAGCCAACTGCGCGCCCCACCTCGTTCAGCATGCGGTGCAGCTCGTCCTTTGCCTCGCCAATGCGGTCCCGATCGTTGCTGTCTACTACGAAGATTAGGCCCTGCGTGTTCTGGAAGTAGTGCCTCCAGAGCGGGCGGATCTGCAAGAGCCAACAAAGCGGTCAAGTCTCCGGCCAAGTCCCCGACAGGCCGCTAGGGACGCACCTTGTCCTGGCCACCGACATCCCAGACAGTGAAGCTAATGTTCTTGTACTCGACGGTCTCCACATTGAACCCTGCAGTAGCAGTCTAAGTTAGCGCCTGCTCCAGCGCTTGCTACGGGTGATCTCCACGCTCACCAATGGTGGGAATGGTCGTCACAATTTCGCCCAGCTTCAGCTTGTAGAGGATGGTTGTCTTACCAGCAGCGTCCAGACCGACCTGCAACGCCAGCTGCCTTCAGTACAAAGTCGCCCCTCCCAAGGAAGCTGGGGACGCACCATCAGGATGCGCATCTCCTTCTTGCCAAAGAGCCGGCTGAGAGCCTTAGACACCATAAGACCCATCTTAGCCGGTGTTGTAAGAAAAGATGGCCTAGAGCCAAAGGGTGCCCACGCGGGGCAAAAGAAGGTCTAGGAAAGGGTGGGGCAAAGTTCAAGTGCTAGTGAAGATGCTTTTAGGACAGGCTGCTATATGTCACGAGAAAAACGTTTGGACACGTAGTGGACAGCGCGCCTTACTTCATCTAGTTGGCGTTCCCACTGCGGCTCCAGGGACACCTCATGCCGACCTTCCTCATTCCCCTTGAAATGGCGCTTAACAACTCATTTAAAAATAAGCGCCTCCTGTTTTCTATAGTTCGGCATCCCAGCCTTTGCTTCGTAGATCAAAACTATCTTTTTGGAAAGGCCATCCCCCAAACAGCTGTCCAGTCGCCCCTCGCCCTCGACCTAAGCATCCTCTCCTTCTATTGATAACATGTGTTGTTGCAGGGTAAGAGCATGTTTTCTTATAAGAGAAAGACCTGCCGTTCCCGCCATGCTTTTGCAAGCAGTGCACGCAGTCGCAGCACATCAGCTTGGAAGGACGTCGTGGAAGCGTTCACGCATATTCGTCTGTTGCTAGGCAAAACATCTTGACATTAATGGTGTCTCCATGGCTTCATTGCGCAACCACGGTACGCGCAAGGTTGCACGCACCCTGAAAAACTGCCAGAGCAAGCAATGGCACCCGCAGGGTTTGCCTTGCGATGCCGGCACCGCCTAGAAATTGTTTTTGGGTGTGGTAGCAATGCGGATACTGACCCGTGGGACAAGGCCCCTTTTACGGCGCACTTGCGACTTTCAACAGCGGACGCCACGGAAGGTGTACACAAAACCGCAGGCGGAACATTGGGTTTCTTTCGGCAACTGCCATTCCCTACTTACAATGGTACGTGGAAAGGTTAACGGGAGCAGGCCGTGCTCTATACCTGAATTGTCAGGACGTAATCTGCAAGGCTGCAGGGCTTGTATTGCCCTCATCATGATTGTCCAGGAAAAGCATGCCCAGGGCTCCAGATACCAGTTACTAACCTCGACTGCTACTGTCTTCTGAGAGCCCTCAGGAGGGGCCTCAAGATGCGGTCGGGCTTGCACATTCATGGACAGTGCGCCCTGAGCAAAGGTGCCAAACCGTGTGTCCTCCAACCGCCGCGAAGACAAAACTGGTCCGTCAATATACTGAGCAATTCCTGATCAAGCAAGTCCTTAAATGCTAAGCAACTGCAAACAAACAAACGCAAACACGCAATGAGGCCGCTACATAATACTAGTACATGGGCCCAGTTCAACGTATATAAAGTACTTCTGAGGACGCTTTGCCATCATCAGTTCAAGGGAGGACAAGGGAGCATGCGGACATGCGAATGCGTGCAGAGATGCATGCGGCGAACGTCCCCACCCGCCACCTGCCAGGTCCCGAACTACTGACTTGTACGGAGCACTCAACACCCCTACCGGGTGGCCAAACACCAAGTATGAAGTGTATTGCCAGATATCGCTACCAGCCTACCGCCACACCATCTGCCTGATGCGCCCAAACCCTAATCAAAACCCTGACGATCACTCCCACCACCACCACTGCCACCTTCATGTTGGCCCTGAGCCCCTGCCATCGCGCAAACCCATCCTTGCTGTCGCTACCATGTCACGACTCCAGTGATTACCGCCTATCCGCGCATTCGTTTTGAGAACCCAGTCGCTCTCCTAGCCGCTATGCGAATGCGCTATATACCACCTCTGCGCCCGGCGCCCAGACATGTCCCCAGCCAAACCAATTCATAGATACAGCGCAGGGACAGCGTGGGGACATGCGCCCGTCTGCAAAGGTGCCGTACAAACCGCATTATGCGGGACTTCCCTGGACCCCCTGCGTAGAGCAAATCACCACAGTTGGACACTCCAGTTCTGCTCCACCTCATCCCCCCAACCTTCAGAACCGCACCTGCATCCGACAACATGCAACATCCCCCAGCAGTCCGGGCGGTCAGTCGTGGCTGCTCGCCAACAGTTCAATCATCATTACGTTTATATGACGTTTATACCCGGTCACTACCAGGCCACTTGAGACAAGAAAGCACATGCCCACACAAAACGCAACTCCGTGACGCGACCAGCGAAAGCGCTGATGGGTATTGTTATCAGCACTACTGCCAGAGGCGAAACACAAGTGCCATCATCAGACAGGCCACAGCTGCCACCAGCCCCACAACAGCGACAGCAGCAACAACAACAACATCAATGCTCCCATGAATAGCACACAACTGGAAGGGCTTCTGGCAAGCAAGCAACTACTCGCAACCCGCATGTCGCGGAGCGCGATAGCGGGAGACGGATTAAGGCGCGTGCTTCAGCGCCGGGCAATCCCAACCACCTGTTGTCTGGTTGCCGGTTTGCAAAGGCATGCACTCTTGAACCGGGAACTAACCACCAACTAACCAACCAACGATCACATTACTGCAACTAAGCCGCAGCAGCTTGCAGCTTTGGACGGGTGACCAGAGGGTCAGACCCTTACCCTGAGCATCATGAATTCTAAACGTGAAAGCTCTGATGGCAACGAACAACGACAAACACAACAGCAGGCACGTATTAGTAAGGGCAGAGAGATGGCTACTAACATGTATCAAGTAGCACGTTCCTCCGGAACAATTCCCAAGCAGCATTGCATCTGACCCACATCAAGGAGGCCTAGAGATTGCAGCCCCTGCTGCCTTTACAATCGTATTACGGCTGGGGCCAGCACCGCACGCTGACGTGCTAACAGTTACCCAAGAGGGGCGATATGCGCACAGCGAGAAATGTGATTGCAAGTTGCTCGCTGGTTAGGCAGGACAAACCAACCACAGCCATGCAAACAAGCAGCCAAGGTTCGTGGTATCAATGATGGAGGGCACAGGTTGCCCGCCAAGCATGTCCCGCACACGGCTGCTTGCATGCGCGGCGCATCCCGGGCCTCCAATCGTGATACCCTCAAGGTGCACACACACACGGAAAGCGGCAGGTTTACCTTTTGGTCTCACCAACCTCACCGTTCCTCGGCATGTCCGTTTTCCGCCCCCTTCAGCCCATCACGCGTTCCGTGTGTCGCATCATTGTCCGTGACACCGGCAAGCCCACCACCGGCCGGGCAGGAGAAGACTGCGCGCCTCCGCCACCACTGCTACCTCCTCCACCCCATCTTGACCCACCAACACCAACACCTTCACCCTCTCCACCTCCTGCTCCCCCTGCGGCCCGCTCTCCGCCACCCTCCTGCTGCTGGTGACCATGCCCGTGATGCCCCTGGTGCTGCTGCTGCGGCTGCTGGTGCAGTAACAACATGTTACGTCGCTGCTCGGTGGTGGTAACGGCTCGCTTCATGATCTGCGGTTTGGCCTCCGCCCAAGCAGCGGAGACCGGCACCGAAACCTCCCGGGGCGCCGAGCTGCGCGCCTGCCGCTCTGCTTCGATGTGTTCATCTGGGTCAACATCCTCCCAATCGGTTTCATAACCATCCTTGACGGCATGGTTGGGTGCGGTGCTGATGGTTGCCGTGGTGATGGTGGTGGCGGTGGTGGCGGCGGCGTTGAGGGTACTGGTGCTACTGCCGGCAGCGGGGGTGGCGGCGGCAACGGCGCAAGCGGCGCCGGCGGCGGTGCTGCTGCCGTCGCCGTCAATGCTGCTGCCGGCGGCGGAAACGCCTGTGGCGGCGACGTCTGTGAGGGTGAAGCCCACGCAGGCTCGTTTGCTCGACTTGTGGCTCAGCGACTTGTCGGGGCCTCGCATGCTGCTGCTCTGGACCGCAGCGGCGTTGGGGGGTTTGCGGCCCAGCTGCGGCGGGGATTAGTAGGGGTTGAGAATGGAGCATGGGGAAGGGAAACGAGACGAAGAAACGTCAGATCCCAGCGCCCCAAACGCAACCCGATTTTGCAATGCGAGCTAGGCGAAGAGATGCAGCAGCGCGAAAGGGAGGGGAGCATGCGGCCTGACACCGCATGCGGCTTGCGACGGACAGGACGAGGAGAAAGAGCAAGGTGCAGCGCAGCGGAGAAAGAGCAAGGTGCAGCGCAGCGGAGAAAGAGCAGCACGAGGAACGCATGCACCATGCATCACGCACCATGCAACTCCTCCAGCTTCAGCTACCCTACTCGAAACCTTACGCAGAACTCGCAGTCACTCACCGCCCAACGACCCGAGCGTCCTCCCTCCGCCTCCTCCTCCTCATCGCCCTCGCCGCCTCCTCGCCCTTGCCGCTGCAGTACCCCCGCCCCAGCGGCCGCAGCTGCCCCTCGCTCACTCCTCTCGTCCTCACTACACCGCTGCGTGCGGGTAGACACGCCGCGCCGCATCGCGCCCCGACCCAAATGCTGAACTGGGTCGCGACTGTCAAGATCCAAGCCGTCCACATGATCCTCCACGTAGGCGTCGCCAACAGCGGCGGTTGATGAAGGCGAACCGCCGCTACCAAGTCGTTGGTCGCGAGACGGCGTCTCCGAAACCGCGGTGGCCAGGGAGGAGGCCTGGCTGGTGGCGTCACTGCCGCGGCGCCGCACACCGAAGCTGCGGTTGAGGCTGCGGGAGGAGCTGAAGACCCAAGTGGGCTGTGGGGAGGAAGTGGGAGAGGGGGCGGGGGAGGGAGGAAGGAAACACCATGATGTGGGTTGGGAGGAGAGGGGAAAGAAGAGAGGGAGCTTGAAGGGGAGCGTGAAGGGAAACGTGGGGGGAGGTGGGCGGCGAACTTGGCATGGGGAATGCTTGACGTGAGCCCTGAGGTTAGGGACCCATGTCGTGGTGCAGGCCGAAGGGAAGGAGAAGGGAATGCGGCCCGACACGCACGCGCACTCACAAGGGGTGGATCGTCGGTTGTGATGATATCAACGAACTGCGGTCGTTGAGAGGAACCGGAGCGGTCCACGTGCTCCCCTGCCCCGCGAACCAGCCGCTCCTCCGACAGGTGCCCCAGGTTTGAGCTGCTGGCGTTGATGGGAGGCAGCAAGGTGCGGCGAGGGGAGGACCAGAGCTTGTTAAACACGATGTCGTCGTTGGTTGTCGAGGGCTGCGACTTGTCGACTGTTGCTGTCGGACTTGCGATGCCATTGGTGCTTGACTCAGCGGGACGGCTGTCGGGTGCGATGGCTAGGGGTTTGGTGGTGTCCTGGTCTGGTGGCTCCGAAGGATCATTTGGTGGGCCTTTCCCCGGCTCCTCGGTTGGCTTAGCTGCTTCCGAAGAGGCGTTGGGTGAGCCATCGGCGGGGACTGCTGCCGACTGCAACCACGAAAGTGCAAAAACCGTATTGGTTGTAAGTAGGAAGCAATACAAACAAGGAAAGCTGGTCCTAAGCTGCGTACCGGCTGTATAGAGCCCTTTGCTTCCACCTCTTCAGGTACAGGCTTTTCCAAAACCGCGACTGGAATTGCAGGCGCATCCACGTCCAACTTGGTCGACTTAATTTGTTCAATATCCAATGGCGCAGAGCCTCGTTTGCTAGCCCCGCAACCCATATTGACGGGGGCTTGTCATATACTGCGCGCTAGTGACTAGGCAAGAACAGCATCAAGGTATCACCTAGCCTGACCGCTACAGTTACAGCAAAGTACGATGCAATACAGCCTAGCGCCCATGGCATCCGGTAGACTGCATTTCCTGCATTATCCTTATAAAGGCGTCGTACTGCTGGAAGCAGTTTATTCCTTTTTTTGGCCTTTCAGCGGCAGAAAAAACATCAGGCTTTTCATTACAGCCGTCAAGTAGTGTCAAGGCCCAGTTACATTGTACTGCCGTTAATGTTTGACACGTGACTGCGAACCAAGTCGACAGGCCCTAACTACTCCCGGGAAGTCGTGCTTTTGGAAAACAGCCTTGCCTTCGGCGCCATTTCATTTTTCCTCTTTGGATTAGGTTACCGCGGCAACAGAAGACCCGGGCGAGGCACGCAAGAATGCCGGCCCAATACTTTGCATGGGGATATGCGTTACCATGTATAGTTGTCAGATGCACTCTATAATTCTGTAAGTGATGGGGAATTAACGGCTGCTTCGGCCCTGTGCGAGAGGCCACATGCCCTACATGGATACCGGTAGTTATGCGTAATACCTTCGTTAGCTCCAACAGCAGACTGCCATGTGACAAAGGCGTACTAAGGAGTTGCTGAAGTTTGTTAAAGGCTTTTCCTACGAAGTTACGGCACCAACCAGAGGGACTGTTGGGAATAGGCCTGGCCACGACAGCCAATGCGCTAAGCACTGCGCCAAGCACCGTGCTTGTTATGATAGCGACCTTTTGCTGCGAGCATCAGGGCATTATCGCCATTGGCCGACTTATGCATACCGGTACTACATGATGTTGCAATCACATCCTGCAATCTGTCAGCCTTAACAGGGGTCCCCGAATGCAATGTAAAACCTGAAGATGCGCTGCTAAACCACTGATTAATTTCAAACTAACTGCGGGCCCCGGCCTTCTTGTGACTAGGAGCAAGGTACTTCCGTCAGGATTACAACCGCCACAGTGTCAACCGTGAGATGCCACCACGCACCGTTGCCAATGTCCGCACAGGCACAGGTATCAAGCTTCACCGCTGGCGCCCAACACCGTTGCAACCTAACCATACTCGACTACCCAAACCCCAACTACCAATCTCCAAAACCAAATGCAAAGCCGCTGCAAGCACACGACCTCCTGCGATACCGATGCAGAGCATGCTGGTACACCTCCTGCTCCTCGTCTGCCTTTCACTCAACAGTCAACACCCACCCCAGCTTCGCTCCGCCCCCGTGACAACAGTGCAGAACCACAACCCTAATTTTCATCTTCACCTCCACCCCCAACTCCCCAGCCTGTGCGCCTCTGAAACCATCATGTGGCCCCTTCAGGCTACTATATACCTTAATAGGCTACAAATAGATCCATCCAACCGCATGTCTGCGCATCATTGCTCCTGATGAGAGTCTTGCCTTCTAATGCTCGACTAAAACGATGATACCTCTACACACTTCTCAGGTTTTGCAATCCAACCCACGCATCTACACTACTACCAACGCCAACCCGGACCCACACGAACCACCACCACCACCATCACCCGCACAACGGCTACTACACTACTGTTCCAGCGCCTCCGGCGGCGGCAGTGCGAACCGGGCGCTCTGCGGCCCCTCCAGCAGCCCCACCACACTGCCCCCCGCCGCCCCCGCCCCCGCAGGCAGGAACAGGTCATGCCGCTGGTGGCAGTACGCCTGCCACACGGGCGAGCCGTCCAACAGGGCGCACACCGGACCCGAGTGCAGGCCCGGCGGCTGATGAAGCGCACGCAGCACGTCAACCGCCAGCACGCGAAGTACGGCAACGTCTCCTCCTCCGCCGCCGCCGCCGCCGCCGCCGCCGGGCGTGGTATCCCCTGCTGCCCGCGCTCCTCCGCCCGATGCTGCAGCTCCTGTCGTTGTGGTTGTTGCGCCGCCTGCACCTCCCCGCTGCTGCCACTCCAGTAACGCCAGCAGCTCCGGAACCAATCCGTACTGCAGCGCCTGCAGTACAAGCACATCTCTGTGCCTGTTCGCCGGCGACAACGCCCTTTTCAACGTCTCCAAAGCCAATAACCGCGCCGCCATTGCCGTACCCTCGCCTCCGCCGCTGCCGCCGGCGGCGGCGGCAGCGGAGCCGAGGCGCATGGCGCCGTACAGCACTTGTACGGCCGGCGGTGCCGTCGACGTCGGCATGGTCGCGAGCGCCTCCGCCGCCGCCACGCTATCACAGAGCTGGTGGAGCAGCCTCAGCGCGCTGCCGCATGCCTCTATGACACCCGCCGACAGAACTGCTGCTGCTGCTGCTGGAAGAACGCCCTGCTGTTGCTGCTGAGGAGAAGGAGTTTGAGTCGCACCGTTGGCGGTAAGGCCCCCTCGAGGTGAGGTGAAACCGCTCCCGGGGCCGCTGCTGCTACCGCCTGCAGTAGCGCTGGCAAACGCGGCGTCTGCTGACGTCAGTGGCAGCGGCGGCGGCAGCAGGGGCCTTATGAGGGCTGCCAGCTGCGCTAGCAGTTTGGCCAGGTAGCCTCCACGGCACAGGTGCTCGGCCATGTTGGGGTGAGACTGGGGGAGGGGTGGGGGTGGGGGTTAATTTGGAGACATAATCCGCATTAGGCTGGATTTTAGGGATAGCAATTTATTGTAGTTAGTTGCATTAACCAATAACAAACCGTATTGTAAGCTCCATGGCGGCTGCCAAGGTGATGGGGGTGGGGGTGGGGGTGGGGGGGAGGTGGGGGTGGGGGGATAACGGACGGAGACGCCACTCTTGAGCGGTCCAAAGGTAGGCTGCATGCGGCGCTGTGCAGCCCAGCCTCTTCCTCTCCCCCCTTACACTCCTCCGGTCTTCCCTCCCTGCTGCCATCATCCTGTGTAACCACTGCCCTGGACGCCACTCTCCTTCGGAGACGATGCCAACTCTCACCACTCCAGTCTCCTACCACACGGCCCCGTTCTGTGTTCCCTCGCGGCTGCCGGGTGAGCCGCCCCCTCCCCCCGCTGCTGCAGCCCCCCTCCCCCCACCAGCCCCCCCCCCCACCCGTATCAGCGCCACCGCAGCAGCCGCCAGCAGCACCAGCAGGTCCGGGTCGCGGGCGGGGGAGGCCAGTTCGGGCAGGTAGCTGCAGGGCGGTATCAACAAGGGGGGCGGGGCGGGGGGTCAAAGATCATAGCGAACCATAGGAAGCCACATGTTGGGGCAAGACAAACCAAGGGCGGGCGGGGGGGGGGAGGTTGGAACGGATATGAGACAGCAGGGGCGACGACGCAGTGGGAAGTAAGAGGCATGTGCAGCCATGGCGAAGGAGCCAGGGGCTAGGTAAGATTAGCTGATAACGACAGCAACGGTGTGCTTGTGTACAGCATCCCTTCCCCCTTTCCCTCCCCTGCTCCTCCTCCCCCCCCCCCCACCGCTCCATGAGCCCCTCCGCGAACCGCCCCGGCTGCCTCAGCGGGTGGCGCGGCTGCTTCAGGAACAGCCGTACATACGCGCCGCCAACGAACAACTCCCCGCGCAGCTTGTCGTACTGTACGGCAGCTCCTGGGGGCAGGGACCAGTCGTACACGCCAGCCGCTGGTGATGGGGCTGCGGGTGAGGGGACTGAGGCGGCGGCGGATGCGGTGGTGGCGGCGTGGCGAGCGCGCAGGTCGGCTGCCAGTACTGTCACCTGCGGTAGGTTGGCGGATGGAGAGGAGTGGAGGGAGAGGAGAGGAGAGGGAGAGGGAGGGGTAAAAAGGAAGACACGTGACCTTGTGACAAGTCGGTTCCACCACAATGGGAGGGATGGGGAGGAGAACAGAAGGGACGCGGACAAGGAGGGGAAAGGAGCATGGAGAGACAAAAGCGGTCACGGGTCCCTCAGATGGAGTACCGGTAAGTACGGTCGCTTCCTTCGTCCACCCCCCACCCCCGACACCCCACCCCCGACACCCCACCCCCGACACCCCACCCCCGACACCCCACCCCCGACACCCCACCCCCGACACCCCACCCCCGACACCCCACCCCCGACACCCCACCCCCGACACCCCACCCCCGACACCCCACCCCCGACACCCCACCCCCGACACCCCACCCCCGACACCCCACCCCCGACACCCCACCCCCGACACCCCACCCCCCCCACACACACCTGGGTAGCAGCGGTGGCAGCCATCTCCGCATCCCAGATGCACTCCGGCGTCTCCATGCGCTGCGCCAGCGCCTGGGAGGGGAATTGTATTGGACGGAGGGAGGGAGGGGGAGGGGCGTTATGGGATCACAGATTCACAAAGGCATCAGCATGTTAAAATAACTGGCCGCGAGGCGAAACGTACTGTGATTGCCGAAAGATCCGTGTGTGTGTCTTCACAGCATGCGTGCATGAAGGGGCGTACACACCCTATCAGTGACGCCCTGTACCCATTCACCCCTCCCCCAACCCTCCATCCCTCCCCCACCTGCAGTACAGCCTGCGGAGGCCCCTCCGCTATGGCCGCTACCAGCCCCGGCGGCAGCAACCGCTGCAGCGACAGCCGCACAAGTGACCCATGGGTCGCATGCGCCAGCAGCCGCCCCAGCAGCGCCGCCGCCTCACACCGCGCCTCCTCCTCCTCAGCCGCCCACTTCCCTCCCACCTCGCCCTCCTTCCCCTTCTCCTCCTCCACCCTCGCCCCCCCTGCACCTTCACCCACACCCTTGTTGCTGCTGCTGCTTCCTTCCGCGTTGTTTCCGCTGCTGCTGCTGCTGCTGCCTTCCGTACGACTACTACTCCCAGGCGCCGGTGGCAGCAGCAATGACCCATGGGTCACCCCGCTCCTCTGCGCTACAATCGCCTGCGCCTGCTGCTGCTGCCACATCCACAGGTGGTTCTCCCGCGGCAGCAGCACTTCCAGCAGGAACACCCAGCCGCCCTGTTGCGCTGCCACTGCCGCCGCAGCCGCCGTTTGCCCCGTCAGCGTGCGCAGCAGCCTCAGGGTAGCCGTGAGCAGGTGCGGCGAGGTGGGCGCGTGCAGCAGCCAGAACAGCAGCCGCAGACAGGACTCCTCCGCAAAGGCTTCCAGACAGCCGCCGTGCTGGGCCGCCAGGGCTAGCACGCCTAGGCCGCCTAGGGCGAGACGGTCCGACCACACTCGCCGCTCCTCGGCTTCTGCTGCGGCTGCAGCCGCTGCGGCTGCAACTGCCTTCTCCTTGGTCTCTGCGATGCTGGGGACGGCTCCGGCTTCGGCGCCGCCGCTCAACTCCTCCCCTAGCAAGTCCTGCTCCTTCGCCTTCTTGCCTTCCTCCTGCTGCAGGTGCTGCTGCTGTCCTCCTCTGCTAGCACTCGCGTCTGCGGCAGTAACCCCTGCGGCAGTAGCCCCTGCGGCCCTACCGACCGCCTCTTTCTTGACACCTGCCGCCGCCGGAGCAGCCGCCGCGGGTTGCAGCGCCCCCACGAAGGGTGAGAGCGCGGATCGGGAGGCGAGCAGGCCCAGCAGTCGCGGCTCGGACAGCAGCAGCAGGCGAGTGGCGGTGAGGGCGGAGAGCAGCGCGGGCAGCGAGGAGGAGGTGGAGGCGGAGGCGGAGGCCGACACGGGCGGCAGGGAGCCCGGCGGCAGGGGGAGCAGGGCGTCGAAGAGGTAGCGCACCAGTGCCTTGCAGAAGCCAGCCGGGTCCGGAGGCAGTTCATTGGGCCGCGCAATGAACACCCGCACGTACACCCCGCCCACCACCAGCTCCCCGGACAGCTGACCGTGGGAGAAACGCTGCAGCGACGACAGCGCAGACGGGCGCTGTTCCTGTTCCCCGTCGGCGCTGCCTGGCTGCCTTCCCGCATTGGAACCCTCCTCTTCCCTGGAACCGTTGGTTTTCTGCTGGGCATGTCCACGACCCGACATGGAGAAGCCAGAAGGAGTGGAAGTGGCTGAGAAGGGGAAGGAGGAGGAGGAGGCGGCGGCAGCTAGGAAGGTCAGCAGCTCACGGCGCATCCCCGGGTTCCAAATCACCCGACACGTCTCATGCGTGCCGCACAGCAACCGAAGCAACGGCCGGGGATCCACCGCCGCTGCCGTACTATCCCCGCCGCCTCCGACACCACCACCACCTCCGCTTCCGTTTCCGCCCCCGCTGGTCCCCAGCCGACCGGCCAGGGGTTCCGTGAGTAGGGCGGCAAGGGCAGCCCTAGCGGGGGCACATGTCGGCGTGTGGTGGGGAGCAGGAAGCATGCCGGCTAGTCGGGCTAGGACCTGAGCTGCGGCCACGGCGTGCTGTGACATGGCGGCTGGGGTGCTGCTGCGGGCGGGATGGTGGTGGTTGGGAGTTGAGTCGCTGCTGCTGCTGCTGTTGCTGCTGCTGTTGCCAGTGCTGCTGCCACTGTTGGGGGTAGTGGAGGTGGACGCGGGGTTGGAGGAGGCGGTGGAGGTGGGTGGAACAGCCGTGTCAGGAAGGGCGAGTAGGGCAATGAGCCCCTGAGACAGCGGCGAGGAGGGCTCAGGGCCGGAATACGGCACCAGCAGGGCCGATTGTACGGCGTCCGGAAGGGTATTGTCGTACGACAACACAAGCGGCAGTAGCGCTTGCATGGCTCCTGCTGCTAGCGCCTCCCGCTGTAGCTCAGGGGAGGCTGCTAGCTGTCCGAGCACTATCAGAGCGGCGTCCACTGCCCCGTGACATTGGCTGAGGGTGGCTGTAGCAGCGGTAGCAGTAGCAGTAGCGGGACCACTGGTAGCGGCGGCTGTAGCAGCAGCAGAAGCCGCATGTGTGGTGAGGAGGTGGGCAGTGCACCATAGCACGTCACGAATGAGGCGACGTGCGGTGGGGGTGGGGGTTGCGGCAGGGGCAGGGGCGGCAGCATCAGCAGCACCACCACCACCACCACCACCACCACCAGCAGTGTCCGAAGCAGCCCCCGCCGCCAGGGCAGCTCGCGCCTCGGGAACCGCTGCTAGGCCCGCCAGGCAGCGCAGGGCGGCGGTGGCGATGCGGGCGGGCGGCAGGGCGGCGGGGCTGCCTGGGCGCAGCGCTTGCATGCAGCTGGTAGGGAGGGGGCGGGCGGGAGGAGGGGAGCGGACCGTGGGTGGACCGCACGCAATGTGAAGAGCAGCGAGAGAGAGAGGAGCAAGCAGTGAGAGGGCATCTGCAGGGCATCGCCTCCCCGTTCTCCTTCCTTCCTTCCTCAACCCTTATATATGTGGGATATGACCAGTCCCTTCGGGCCTTCGCGGCTGCGGATGCGGCTTCCTCCCTATCGCAAGGCCCGTCCCAGCTCACGCTCATTGCGTCTTGGCGTCCGGCTGCTCTCCCCAAACCTCCTCGCCCAAACCCATGTCACCTCACCCCCTAGGCCCCTACCTCCTCCCTCCCCTCCTCCCTACCTGCTCAGCAGCTGCACCATCACCCCCGCCCCGCCGCTCCGCGCCAGCTCCTCCGCGTTACGACCGCAGCAGCGCACCGTCAGCCAACACAGCTGGGCGGCGGCCAGGACCTGGGAGGGGAGGGAGAGGAGAGGGGGAGCAGGAGGGGGAGCGGAAGGAGGAGAGACCCATGGGTCAGTAGGCGTCAGCAGGCGAGAAATCCATACATATGGGTCAGCAGCCGGCATCTCCTCCCCGCTTTCCCCCGCCCCCTGCTTCTACGGACCGTCGGCGTGGCCGGCTACCTCGATGTGCTGGCGACGCTATCTTTCACCTCCCTATCCATGTTGGCTCTGGCCTCGGTAAGTCTACAGTTTTCGGTAAGTCCATTAAACGTACTGGCTTGCCTAATTCGGGCTAGGCGGGTCGGGCTGGCTCACAAGTTGCAAACCATGATGACGTCTTATCACACGGTCAGTTAGTTGGTCCCCCCGCCCCCCGCTTCTCCTCACCTGCTCCAGGACCTCCCCCGTAAAGAAAGCTGAAGCACCTCCACCGCCGCCACCACCAGAAGTTGCAGTCTTGCCCCCTGCTCCTCCCCCTCCACCTCCTGCTCCTTCTCCCGCCCCCACCAGCCCTGATGCCAGTGCCCCCCTCAACACGTCCAGCAGCAGACCGTACCCCGCGTACTTGTACGGCGATAGCTCCCTGCCGTACCTGGTGGGAGCAGGAAGGGTACGGGGAGGGGGTTGGGGTAGGGGGAACGAGGGTATACAGTAGTGGTGATGGTGACAGTGAATGGGCAATGACGGAATGTGCAGTAGCATAAGTAGCGGCGCTAAAAACCCGTCAGCTTCGCAGACACGAGGGCTCGCCCCCAAAAAAACGCGTTTTCCCTAACGGTATATCACTCTGAATGCAAGTTTCAAGGGTGACCGGACCTACATGCCGGAGCGAAAGCATGTACGACTATAATTGCTTTCACATACTCTCTTCATTACCACACATTCCTGCCTAACGTGAGATAAGCTGCATGTTGGTTCTTAAATGATTACTTCGTTCACGCCGTGCCTGCATATCGCTAATCGCAATGTTACCTCAAGCTTCGCATGACTACGCAGACTTGACAAGCCAAAACTACACAATTATGCCTTCACCATCACATCTTTATTTCCTCATTTTACATCCTCGCTGCAGGTACATACACCACGTACAAAAGGACAGGCATAGGACTGTTCACGGTACAAAAAGGACAAAAGGTCTCGGTCTGGACAATTAGGACCGAACGCTAAGACTACGCCCCATAAAGGGGCGAGCCAACAATGTGTGTTCACACCTGCAAACCCCACATGCACCTATGCACGTGTCATGCCTCATGCGTCGTACATCCGCACCTGCCATACAGCACCCCCTGCGCGCTCTCACCTGTCGTACAGCACCCCCTGCGCCCTCTCACCTGTCGTACAGCACCCCCTGCGCCCTCTCACCTGTCGTACAGCACCCCCTGCGCCCTCTCACCTGTCGTACAGCACCCCCTGCGCGCTCTCACCTGTCGTACAGCACCCCCTGCGCCCTCTCACCTGTCGTACAGCACCCCCTGCGCTCTCTCACCTGTCGTACAGCACCCCCTGCGCCCTCTCACCTGCCATACAGCACCCCCTGCGCGCTCTCACCTGTCGTACAGCACCCCCTGCGCCCTCTCACCTGTCGTACAGCACCCCCTGCGCCCTCAGCAGCAGCAGTATGCGCCAGGGCTGGGGGCCCTGACCTCCCGCCACTCCCGCCTGCAGCCGCTCGTAGGCCGCCTGGATCTGAGGTGAGAGGAAGGGGGGGGGGGGGAGGGGGAAGAGGATGAGACCAGGTTGGTAACGATAAGTACCATATCTTTACGAGGTACGGCGAACGATGGTACGAGACAGTACGACAAGCGCTTTGCCACTGTCGTACCTTTAGGAACATGGGGCGGCCCTGCGGGTTCTTGTCGGGATGGTACTTCCTGCGGAGGTGGTGGGTGTCGGGGGATTCGGCGTCAGGAGGAAGCGCAACAGGCCCAACTTAGCCCTTGGCCCGTTATTCTTTTCTTAGGCAATTTGAGGTGTATTGTTCAGCTGTATTGTACAGCAACGACAGCTTCTCTTGCAGCAAATCATGGTTTGGTGTAAAGCAAACGTAAATGCACATAGCGCGTGGTATCACCATAGTATCAATGGTGACGATAGGAAAAGAAGGGCGCTTGCGCATGCCTTGCCAGCTATGCTAGCACACGGCATGGGGAGCAAGTAAAGGCTAGCTGGGAAATATGCACTCCTAAGAAGGGTACCGCCGGTTTGGGGTGAGGGGGCCCTTGTGGCTTGCACGGGCTCGAGCACAGCACAGGTGGTGGTGGGGGGGAAATAAATAATAAGTGAAGCAACGAGTCCCAATCCCATATTCCGACTCATGCGGTGAGCGCATTTGGAGACTTTATGGGGGGTGTAAAAAGAAAAAATCTCAAGAGCTGTATGATGTGGCTTCATAGGTCGCTAGGGTGGAGGGGGAGGGGGGTGGGGGGTGGGGGACACTGGACGGCTATGGTTATTGGTGAGCCGGAGGATGGTGAGGCACCTGGGCGGGTAACATGAACGCCATGGAAGGGTACCGGTTTGGGGGTACAGGGGTCCTCATCATGGCTGTGGCAGGGGAAGGGGCCTCACTTTCCTTTTGCCTTTCCGTGCTTCTTGTATACCCTGAAACGCGTCTCGTAATCGTGCTGCCACGTACGGTTAGGGGGTGGGGGGCTGGCCGGCACGGCCTCTCACGCACAGCGCGGATTGGGCGGGGGAGAGTAAAAATAAGGAAAACTGACGGATTGGGCGGGGGGGGAGGGGTATGGTGGACGTTGGATGGCTTTGGTTATTGGTGAGCCGGAGGATGATTTGGCGCCTCCAGGTCTGGTCACATGGACGGCACCACCGCACTTCGAGGTCAATATTCATTGGTGGGCTTGGGAGCCGGGTGAGGGGGAGGGGGGTGGGGGACACTGGGTGGCTAGGGTTATTGGTAAGCCGGAGGATGGTGAGGCACCTGGACGGGTGAAATAATTCATTTCCTTTTTCCAAATAATTTCTACTCCGGGGAGGGTTAGGGGAGTGCAGGCGGGTAGCGGTTGGGATTCAAGGACATCCCAAATCATAGGAATTCTCAGTGGGCAAGGGCAACGCAAAGGGGATATGTGGTGGCTGGATGCAATAAATTTAGTGAGGGTTAGCGGTGGGGGGAGTGAGGGGTTAAGGGGGAGGGGGCCCGTGCGCCCCCTCAGCCTGAGGCTACAGTTAGGTTGTTCTTGTACTGCCACCTACGGTTGGGTCGCCTTGTCATCAGCTATATTGCTCACCGGCTAGCGGGGGGACTTGCACTACTACCGGTAGGATGGGTACCGGTTTGGGGGCATGGGGGTCCTCATCATGGCTGTGGTAAGGGAAGGACCTCATTCTTCTCCCTCCCCGTGCTTCCTGTATACATACCCTGAAATGCGTCACGTCATCGTGCTGCCACCTACGGCTAGGGAAGGGGCTGGCCGGCACGGCCTCTCACGCACAGCGCGGATTGGGCGGGGGGGGAGGTGGGTGGGGGACATTGGATGACTAGATGATGAGGCGCCTCCTGGTCTGGTCACATGAACGCCATTCATCACACTTCTAGCTCATTATTCGTTGGTGGGCTATATTTTCCGTAAACATTCTTACTCTGGGAAAGGGTTTGTGAGCGAGAGGGCAGGCGGGTAGCGGATGGGGAATTAACAACATTCCAACCCATAGGAAACCACAATAAGGGCAAAGCAAAGGGGATGGGAGGCGGTAGAGTGTCACAAATAAGTAAGAAGGATAGTCGCAGGCTACAGTTCGTCGACCGTTACTATGTGCCGCACACCTAGCACTGCCTTCTCTTGCTTTAGCCCAGTATGGATTGCTAAGAAGTGAACAGGTACAGTTTAGGGATCTGGGTAGCAGATGTTGGGAAAGAGGTCAGGGGGCTGAGGCTACAGTTGGTTGTATAACCGCTTTGCACTTGTGGCATCGCCTCTTTTCCTGCGCACAATTATAATTATGTTCTTCATCGTTTTCGTTGTGTGTTTTTTTGTCGCTGCGGCCCGTTTACAACACAGCGGCGTCCCACACATTGCGGTCCCTCCGTATTCCTCCGTCCAATCTGCAGTTAGTACGGTCCCTCCGTCTTCCTGCATCCTTTCGCGCTGCGGTTTCGCCCTGAACATCAATGATCAGATTCCGTTCCCAACGCACCCGCATTTCACGTGCCAGGCGCCTTGGTGTCGCCAAATGTTTATGAGCTCTGCCGTACAATGACGCTATTCCTCCTAACGGGCTAAACACAAAGCACGATGTACAAAGCACGACATGTGCGCACAGCCCGTTGTGCTCCCGGCCCTTCCAATTACGGTATAACATTAACACCGGTCCTGCCCACCCCCATCATCCTCACAAGGCCCACCTGGCCATCACTCGGTACGCCCTCCGCAGCTCCTCCTCGTTAACCGCCAGCTGCTGCTGCTGCCCCCCGCCGCCAGCCTGCTGGTGACCCGTGGGTCTCAGCCCCAGCACCTCACACGCCTCCGCCTCACTGAGCGACAGCGGCTGGCGGGATAGCTCGGCCCGCCACTCGGCAAGCAGCGACTGGGGCCGGGGGAAAAAGGAAATTCCAAAGTGTGGTGTGATAAAGTGATAAAGTGTGGGCCGGGGGAGGGGAGGAGCCAGCAGGGGGAAGAGAGGATGAGGGGCACGGAGACAGGGGCAGGCAGGCAGGCAGATAAGGGTGAAGGGAGAAGCAGTGCAGCGCCCGAACGACAGGGGGGCGGGCAGGACCGCACCCACCTGCAGCAGGGGCACATGGTCCACCAGCGGCCAGTTGGGGAAGCGCTGCGTGTCAGCCAGGTGGCGCAGGTAGTACCTGGTTGGGGGGGGGAAGGGCGGAGAGGGGGAGGGGGGAATTGGGGGGACAATAATAGAGACATGGTGGCAGGAAGACGGGCAGGAGGAGACGGCCGAACACCTCTATCCCTCCAACCTTCCTTGAGCTCAGATGCGGCCTACCTGTAATTGTCATTATACACCCACCCACTAACCCCGCACCCCTCCACCCCCCCCCAACCCCACCTATGGCAGTACATCTCCCCCTCCAGCTCGGGGTAGCTCAGTGGCGGCAGCGGCGCGAACTCCCACACCGCGCCGCACCGCTGCCGCAGTCGCGCGGGCAGGTCGCCCAGGTGGGCCGACAGCGCGGGCAGCAGCCGGGAGGTGCGCATGGAGTGCGTCCAGATGAGCTCGGGGGTGTCGGAGTCGCCTTGGGGGGGAGGCGGGAGGTGGGAGGTGGGAGGTGGGAGGCGATGGGATCAGACAAGGACCAGGACCAAAGACCAGAGGAAAAAACCACGAAACAGTGGGGGAATGAGGCCATGGGGGGGGGGCGGGTAGTGACTCAGTCACAAATGCGACTTGGCGGACCTGTTGTATGCGGAGGTGTTACTAGGGTTCTCCCAGTCATTAGTAGCGGGGCTCCCCATCAGGCGGGGTCGCCCGAGGTATGGGTGTTGGGGGTGGCAGAAAGCACAGCCCAAGTTCGGCTGCCCACCCCAACTGCTGCTGCCTCCCACCGCCTCCCCCCTCTCCCTCCCTCTCCGCCTCCACTGCCTCACCACACAGCGCCGCCGCAAACGCCGCCGCCGCCCCGCTGCCGCTGCCGCTGCCCCCGCTGCCGCTGCCCCCGCCTGCCGCCGCCAGCACATGCAGCAGGCTCTCGGGCAGCACGTGTCCCAGGTAGGAGCGCTGCCGCAGCGGCAGGCAGGCGGAGGGGCAGCTGCCGGAGCCCAGGCCCGCGTAGTCCTGGGCCAGGTGGGACCTGCGGGGGCGGGGGCGGGATGTTGGGGTGGTCAGTGGCGCGGGTAGGGGTCGCAGCAAGGCAGGAAAGGTGCGCGGGTGACGAAGCGTGTGAGCGGTTGACGCGGGTGCTTGCAAGGATGCAACATCGGGTCCTCCTTGGTGCCCGCTGGTCATGATAGGGGATGCATGTTAGGGGACACAAGCACACTTGCCGTCCTTCGCGCCGCGCCTTCCTTCCCCTCTTCCCCTATGCACCCCTCCCACCGCCCCATGCACCCCCCCCGCCCACATGTTGCAACCCATGTTGACGCCTTATCCCTCAGTCAGTTAGTTGTTTCCTCTTTACCCCCCCGCCCCGCCCCCACATGGTCAGCAGCTCCGCCGGCTCCCGCATGTCGCTCCCCGGCTGCGCCAGGCAGAAGTACAGCGCCCCTGTCAGGTGCAGGCGGGCCAGCGCGGCGGGGTGCGGCGCCAGCAGCGCGCACAGCAGCCGGCAGCCGCGGGACACCAGCGGCGGGTGGCAGGTGAGCAGCACCTGCGCCAAGTGCGGCAGACACCTAGGACCTGCCAGCACGCGATACGCCCGCGGCAGCGGCTGCAGCTGCAACATCAGCCGACCATCCCCTCCTCCGCCACCACCTGCTGCTACTGCTGCTGCTGCCGCCTCCTGGGAAGAAGGTTGTAGCAGCACTTCCTCTGCCGGCTGTAGCGCTACAAGCCGCTGTAGCAGCTCTAACGCCAGCTCAGCGGCGCCGTACGAGCTGTAGCGCCCAGGGCCCTTGGATAGCATCCACCGTAGCTCCCGTACGGCACCCAACGGCTCGGGACGAGGCATGCCACTCGCCCAGCACAGTGTGCCCCAGTGCACCGACCCACGGGTCACCAGCTGGCGAATTTCATCACGGCTGTACGGCCCTGCTCGTCCAGTCTCGTCCAATGTACGGTCCAAAAGCTCCGCAATGGGGGCTGCTGTTGTACGTTTGGGCGTTGTTGTCGTACCGTTTTCTGTCGTACCATCGCCGAGCAAATCGCCTGGCGACAGCGACGCCGTCACCGCATTGGCCGCGGCTGCTGCTAACACGCCCCTCGGGTAGAAATACCACTCCCTCGGCATGTCCTCATGACTCGTCGCCGTCAGCATTCGCCCAGCCGGACCGCTCGTCATTCCGCCCTGATCCCAAGCCGCTGCTGCTGCCGCCGTCGCGCCCCCGCCGCCTCCGCCGCCAGTGCCCTCCAGCGTCATACCGCCGGGATGCGCGTACGACACCACATCCGTCAGCAACTCCAGCCCTCCAGCATCCATGAACGCATAGCTGTTGACGCGAACCGCCCGGCTGGCGGGGGTACCGCTACTGACGGAGGCGCCTCCTCCCGCCGCCGCCGCCGCCGTCAGCAGGCATTTGGGCGCCAGCAACGCTGCCAGCAGCTCCAGCAACGCATGACGCAGCGGCCGGCGGAGGGTATTGTCGTACAGCCGTACGAGATGAGCGATGCCGTCAACGGGGCCGACGGCGCCGGCATGCACGTGGTATAGGGCAGCCATGGCGCGTGCGCAGAGCTCCTGATCGGCCTCCGCCGCCGCCGCGGCGCCAGTCGTCGTGGCGACGGCGGCGGCAGCGGCGGCAGAAGCGGCGGCGGCGGCGGGGTCTTGTGCCGACGGGTCAGCTGCGCTGAGGAAGGTTTGGTGCAGCGCGAGGAAGAGGTCCCTGGGCTGGGGTACCTTTTCCACGGCGGCCGTGTCCGCCCCCTCCAGCAGCAGCCGTACATACACACTGCCCACTGCCGTATGCTGCGCCAAACTGCCGTACACCACACCAAACTCCTCGTAGTTCCAGCCCACGAGGCGGCTGCTGCTGCCGCTGCAGCTGCTGCCACTGCCGCTGTTGTTGGTGTTGGCACCACTGTTGGTGCTACTGCTGCCACCCAGCTGCTGTCTGCGGGACCTGTGTACGGCACGGCAGGAGAGGAACTTGTAGTTTAGCGCAGAGCATACCGGTAGGAGCGCATCTTGCATACTGGACGTCTTACCGCACTCATTGCAGGAGGTTGCGAGAGAAGACGGAAAGTAGAGGGAATATGGGGCAAAAGAAGGATGAAGAGGGAAAGACGGCGAGGAAGGTGACGAGAGCAATCAGACCCACCTGAGTCCCGACTCCTCCCGCTCCAGTGCCTCCCGCAACTCTTGGCGGCACCCCGAGTGCCAAATCAGGCCCGCATGGCAGTGGTCCCGACCCACGGCGTCCCAAAACGCCTCCCAATTGCACTTCAGTCCGCCGCCGCTGCTGATACCGCCACCACCACCGCCGCCGCCGCTGCTGTGGCTGCCTGCATAGGAGGCGGGCGCCGCCGTCGCACCAGCAGATGACACCGGGGGAGGCGGCGTGGCAGTGGTGGCAGCAGCGGCAGCAGCAGCTGATGCAGCGGGCGAGGTGGGCGACATGACGGACGCAGCCGGCTGCTGCTGCTGGTGCTGGTAGTGCTGCTGCTGCTGCTGCTGCTCTTGCTGCCCAGGAGTGTACGAAGTAGAGCCAGGAGCCAGCTGAGGTACGGCCAGCTGCCGTACAGTGCCCGCCGTACCTCCTGTCGTATTGCTGCCGCCACTTCCGGTGGCCGCAGCGGTAGGCCCCGCGGGAGGGAACACCACCGCCGCACCAGCAGCAGCAGTGCTCGTTCTGGGTGCATTCAAGTAACGCACCAGCCCAGGCGGGAATATTCTCCTCAGCAGTGCAAGCGCCGGCGCATACTCATCGCACCAGGAGGCGACCAGCGCCCGACCCAACTGCTGCCGCCCTGCCGCCGCCTCCGACCCATGCGCTGCGGTCGCCCCGCCACCACCTCCTCCTCCTGCTGCACCCGGGGCCGAGGGGGGTCCTGCAAACAACGCAGCATGCAAGTGGTGCAGCAACGCGCCATGCCGCAGGGCGGCTTGTCGCATGGGAGCCGCCGCAGCAGCGCCGCTCTCCGCTACCGCCCGCATGATCAGCGCTGCGCCTTGAGTGACCCGTGGGGCGGGGTGGTGACATAAGGCGAAGAGTGGCGGTCCCAGTGAGGCGGCCTCTTGAAGGAGGCCCGACAGGGTGCGGTTGTCGGTTGAGCGGTTGCCCGGCTCAACTGCCACGGCGGTTATGGCTTCCAGGGCGCATGCAACCAACAGCGCGCCTGCAGGGGAGGTGGTGGTGGTGGTGGTGCTGGTGGTGGTGCTGCTGCTGCCGCGGGGTGTGCCCTTGGCGGTAGCGGTGGAGGTAGCTCCAGGGGTGTTGTTGGCGCTGCTGCTGGTGCCCCCCTTCAGGGGTCGCATGAGGGCGGCGCAGCGTGCGGTGGTGTTCGCGGGGGTGAAGCAGGCGGCCTTGGCGGCGCGAGCTAAGGATAGGTCCTGAGGAGGGGAGGAGGAGGGAGGTGGAAGGAGAGGTGCCGGCACGGGTAAGGTGGTGGGGTGAGAAGGATTGGAGGTGACGGGGGTACTTGGGCGGCAGTGAGAAGAGGCGGAGGGAACGTGGGCTGTGGGTGCGATCATCCCTTCGTACTGCTGTCTGTCCTAATCAGCAAACATGTGCCAGGGGAGGGGGCTACAGGGCTGCAAGTTGTACGGTACGGCAGCACTCACCGCTGGCTCGCAGCCAGACAGCGGGTCATCTGGGTCCGCAGCCAGCAGCGCCGCCAGGGAGGGAGCCGCGCGGAGACTGCTCCAGGGGGCTGAGCGACCCGCGGAGTGACCCACGGGTCGTCACGAGGGGGCAACGAGAGGGAAATCATAACGTGTCCGAACGGCTGTCGTACACTACATATCATGCATTGCATGATAGCAGGACAGACAAGGCAGACCAACCCAAGCTCCCGCCAACCGCCAACTGCAATCCGAACCCTCTTTCCACGCACTGACATCACCTGCCCACCCCCCTGCCGCCCACCCACCTGCTCCCACCCGTGCCGCCGCCGGCGCCCATAGCCTGGTCAGCAGCCGCGCCGCCTCCGCCGCCACCCCCTCATGGGCGCACTCGTAGGCGGCCAGCAGCCGACCCAGCCCCAGCGCGGGCGGCAGGGACAGCAGGGCCTCCGCCATGGAGTGGCAGCTGACCAGCCGCTGCAGGGCCTGGGGGGGTGGGGAGGGGGAGGAGGGTGTTGCACCAATTAGGCCTGTTGTAGACGTAGAAGAGAGGGGATGGTGTGTGTAAAGAACTAGGGGGGAGGAGGAAGATGCAAGACATGTCTACTTTGCCGGCGTCGAACCCACTGTGTTAATACCACTCACATGCACGTGAGTCCCACAAAGACACACACATGCAGAAAACAGGCTACGCCCCTTGCCTACCTTCAGCGTACGGTACATCCGTTTTCGTTCCCCTACCCGCCCCCCCACCCGCCCCACCTGCAGCGCTGCAATGCTCTGCTTCGCCTCATCGGGCGCCATGTGCCGTGCCGGCCCCCCGCACGGCAGGTGCTGCCCGCCCGGCACCAGCTCGGCGGGCAGCAGCGCCAGCACGCTGCCTAACACAACCTGGGGGGGGGGAGGAGGGGGGTTGGGGGAGATGTGAGGGAGGCAGGAGGAGGGCTAGAGGAGATGAAGGAGGCAGGAGGGGGGTTAGAGAAGGTGAAGGAGGCAGGAGGAGGGTTAGAGGAGGGTGAAGGAGGCAGAAGGAGGGTTAGAGGAGGTGAAGGAGGCAGGAGGAGGCAGGGGAATGCAGGAGGGTAAAGACATAGAAGATAAGCAACTGCATGTCCATTAGAATTGGGTTTCGGAGGCATGCCGTGCACGCAAGGAAGCGGGCCGCAGCGACGATCAGGGAGCAAGCACGCCCCCTTCCCACCAACCCACAGGCCTCTTCCCCGCCCCCTCACCTGCTGCTGCCCCTCTAGTGGGCGGGTGGTGGCCCCACCCCCCGCGGGCGGCAGGCCGCTGTACGGCACGCTCGCGTTGAAGTCGTGTACGACATCCAACATGAAGTCAGCGGCCTGGAGGGGAGGGAGAGGGGTTCGGGGTTTCGGTTAAGAGTCGGTTGGGGGAGATGCGAAGTCCGGAGGATGGAATCATGGGGTTATGGGCAACACGTCAAAACTCTTTCCTCCGTACTCGTTCACCGGGCCCCCTACGCCCCCCCACACCCTCCCGTCCCCCACACCTACTATACACTCTTCTTTCGCGGCCACCATCTTCCGGCAACCGCAGTACGTTCCTACTCGCTGCCAGTTCCTTACCTCTTGCACGGCGCTAGCTGCCCTGCTGCTTCCATCCGCCGTTGGGTGGTACATGCTACCCCCCAGCGTTCCTCCTCCTCCACCTCCTCCCGCAACAACCCCCGCCGTGTCGCCATGCGGTTGCAATACACTGTTGCCCAGCGACGGCGGTTGCTGCGGTTTCTGTTGTCGTACAGTTGCTGCTCCGCTTGACGGTTGGTAGTTGGGTGTCGGTTGGTGGGTTGGCGGGGAGTTGGGACCCGGAGGGGGCGGCAGGGGGGCGGGCTGGGGGGCTGCTAGGAAGCTGGGTGTAGGGGAGGGACTGAACTCGATGTCCGCTGCGAAGAAGAGCCGTCCTGCGGGGGTGCCATACGACAGGTACGGTGTGACAGGGGGTGTTGGGCGGGGTAGCATTACCGGAGGACCCCTGCCATGTCAAGCCCAGAGTCAAGCATGTGCAAAGCCTTTCCCCTTCCCCTATCCTAAGCCCCCCCCCCCACCCATAGCATAAGATACCTGCTCTCTCCCAAGCCTTCCTCCCATCCCAACTGCTTTGCCCTACCTGTGGTTCTAGTATACCTTTGACCCCCCATCCCACCCCACCCCACCCCACCCCACCCGAGTTAGCGAGGTGGGGCCACACCAGCTTGGCTCGCGCCACTAGCTGCTCCACCGCCCACCGCTCCGTCTGGGGGGGGGGGGAGGGCAAGGGGGGAGGGAGGCAGGGGGGGAAATTATATAAGAAATGCAAACAACTAAAGTCCCAATCCCAGGGGGGGAGGTAGGCAGGGGGGGAGGGAGGAAAGGGGGGAGGGAGGCAGGGGGGTGGAGGGGGAGGAAGGAATGCGGGAAAGTGGGTTGAGGAGAGGAAGGATACGTCGGGAAACAGCCCCCGCCTTGGCCCCTTCCCAAACCAACCGCTTCTCTCCGAGTCCATCCACCCGCCCTCCCCCACCCACCCATTACACACCGTTCCTACTCGCGACCAGTTATCTTTTAACACCCACCCCCCACCCCACCCCCCACCCCATCCCCACCTCCGCATCCCTGCTAACGGCGCTGCAGTGGCAAGCGGCCGGCGCCGCTGCGTCCCCCACGATGGGGTCCCCCGGGGGCGTGAAGCCGGGCAGCACGGGGACGGGGCGACCCGTGGCGGCCTGGGGGTGGGGGTGGGGGGGGAGGGGAGGGGATTAATTTGGAAACAGAATCCGCATTACGCTGGATAGTTGGGATAGCAAATAATTGTAGTTGTTGAGGTGAGGGGAGGGCAGGAGAGGCGCTCCTTAGTGTTTGGGGCGTGACCCTACTCGCATTGCACCAACAGGACTGAACAGCCCAACTGTTCTCATCTCGCAATCCCGAGCGGAACAACAAGTCATCCCCCCATGAACCCCCCTCCCCCCCCCCACCCGGGCCACTTATCTACCTACCCCCCACGTTCCCTCAACGTGCCCCACCACCCTACTCAAACCCGCCACTGCACACACCAACAGCGGCCCCTAACCCTCCCAACCTCCAAAACCCTGCACGGAACAGCGACCCCTCAACCCCCTCCCTCCCCCTCCCACCCATTCTCATCTAACACATTAGGCGTCCCTCCCTTCCCCCCCCCAATCCCACCCCTCCCCCCCCCACCTGGCTTAGGTCCAGCAGCGCCGCCAGCACCTCGTCCCGCGCCGCCCCCGCCATGTAGAGGCAGGGGGCCGCCCCGTCCCCCCACTCCAGCCCCAGCAGACCCGCCTCCTCGGGGAACCGCAACAGCGCGGTCACACTCCTGCAGACGGGGGCGCGGGGGGGGGCGGGGCGACGGGGGGGGGACGGGCACCGGGGGGGGGGTTCAAAGGCCGTACCAGACCATAGGAAAGCACAGGTTAGGGCAATGCAATGGGGATAGGTGACGGCAAATGGGGGGACGGGGGTCGAAGAGGGGCCAAGCTGAAGGTATCCACAAGTTAGGGGAAGTAAGAAGGGGACGGAGACGGAGAAGGGGACGGAGACGGAGACGGAGACGGAGACGGAGACGGAGACGGAGACGGAGACGGAGACGGAGACGGGCTCGGGAGGGTTCGGGAGGGGTCGGTGGTAGGGGGATCGGCAGGGGGGGGCGAGGTAATGAAGAAAGGAGGCAAGGCCTACCGGGCCTGACCCCCCATGTCAGCCATGCTAGGGAGGCAACCGATGTACGTCCTCCCTTCCACATACCCTTCCACATGCCTCCCCTCCTTCAAACCACGCCTACCCAATTCCCCTCCCCTCCTCCCCTGTCCCTCCCTCCTCCTCGCCTGCCCCAAGACTTCCTTCCTCCCCTCCCCTTCCCAGAATATGGATCCCTATTAATCCCCTCCCACCCATCCCTACCCCCTCACCCCAGCGGCCGCCGCTCCTCCACCTCGTACGTCACCGCATCCCGCTCCAACAGCCACGAACGGGTAACCGCCAACCGCCGCCGTACAGTGTGCGCACCCGGACTGTACGACAAAGCTGCTGCCGCTGTCGCTGCTGCTGCTGTTGCTCCCGGGGCGGTAGCGGTGGAGGGGTGGTTGGGTGACGCGGGGATGTGGGGGTGGGGGTGGGTGTGGGGTCGGCAGCGGGACTGCATGCCGGGGTCCATCAGGGGAGCCAGGGGGGGCTGGGCGTCGTACCTGCGGAGGGTGGCAGGGGGAGGGGAGGGGATGGGGAGAGGGGCAGGGGCAGGGGAGAGGGGAGGGGAGAGGGGAGGGAGCAGGACAGGGAGGTGCAGTGAAGACCTCCCCCCCGAGTGCCTCCGTGCCTCCCACCGCAAGGCGCGCGCCTACCTGCCGCCCAGCCTCGCCACCCCCCACTCACACGAGCCCACCTGCTGCCAAGCCCTGTCTCCCCCCCACACCGTCTCCTTGCGGTATCAGTTAGTTTCGCTCCTCTCCGTCCCCGCGCTCTTCCCCCTCCCCACCTCACCTGCTGCACAGCCGCGCCACCTCCCACTCGCCCGCCGGCTCCTCCCCGGCCGCCCCGATGGCCTGCCGCTCCCCCCGCCCCACCGCCTCCAGCAGCGAGGAGGGGCAGGGCGCGGGGGAGGAGGAGTCCGCTGGACAGCAGGGGCGGGAGGGGAAGGCAGGGGCAGGAGGGGAGGGTGACGAGATCCACGAGGACGACAACATGTACAGTGCGGTAACCCTCTGTAGTTGCTAGCTAGGTATGGCAGCCATACGAGCACACGCCCACGTCATCCCATGTCCTTCACCCCGTCTCCTTCAGCCCCCTCCCTCATCCCATGCGGGTCGGTCCGTGTGGTCCTTGCTAGTCAGCCCATCGCCCTCATCCCACGCGGGTCGTGTCCCATGCCAGCCCAAACCCCAATCGCTTTCCCACAATCCCACGCCTGCTCTCACCCACAATCCTGACGCCCAGCCTCCGAGCCGCCAGCGCCGCCGCCTGCCCCAGCAGCGCCTCCCGCTGCCTGCTGGCCAGCAGCCGGGGCGCCCTGCAGCAGCGCGCGAACACCGCAAAGGGAGCCTCACCCGCCGGGCTGGGCGCAACCAGGGAGGAGGAGGAGGAGGAGCCGGGGCCGCATGAGGAGGAGGCGGAGGCGTCCGGGTGACCCGTGGGTCCGCCGAGGGTGATGGCGGAGAAGGAGGAGGTGGTAGTGGTGGTGGTGAGGGGTTCCGGAGCTAGGGGGGCGAAGGCGACGGAGCTCATTTGGCAGTAGTCCAGACGCCATGTGGGGGTGCCTGTTGGGGGTGTTGGGGAGCGGGGTTGGGGTGGGAAAAAAGAAATTCCAAAGTGTGGTGTGACAATGATACACCACACTTGGTTGGGGGTTGGGTGGGGTGGGTGTCCGGGTGTTGGGTTAGGGGTTTGGGGCTGGGAGGCAGGCCACCAGGGCTCCCCAAACCTGCGCACCCCTTCCCCTTTTCTCTGCCTTGTCACGCGGTTAGCCTCATAGTTTAGTCTGATAGTTTCGTCCTCTCTATCCCCCACCTCCCTTGCCTCCCTCCCTGCCTCCTTCCTCCCCGCCTCCCTCCTTCTCCCTCCTCCCCACCTCCCCTCCCCCCTCCCCCTCCTCCCTTGCCTCCCTCCTCCCCCCCTCCCACCATTTCGGCTCGACTCACGGTTCATTTCACCAGGGATTGTCAGCAACTTATATCATTATCACACCACACTTTGGAATTTCTTTTTTCCCCTCTTCCTCCCCCCCTCTTCCCCCTCCGCCCTCCCCTGGGCCCCACCTTCCGCATCCACCAGCTCCAGTCCGAACGCAGTGACCCGCAGCTGCGTGGGTCGCCACTGACCCGCATGCGCGCACCACTCGTAACCCGGGAAGTAGTCGGGGGAGCTGCGGAGCAGGAAACAGCAGCAGCAGCAGGTGTTGCAGGGAGCAGCAGCGGCAGCAGCAGCAGCAGCAGCAGGCCCGCACCCCACCATCAAATCCGCGACACGTCACATGCGGGTTTCCCTGCCACCCAACCTATGAGGCGCTGCTTCGCAATCCACGGGTGTATCTTCCCCAATCCACCTCCCATTCCCCCATCCAAGCCCCGTCATACAGCCCGTCAGTTTCCCCTCTCTTCCCCCGCACCCACCCACCCTATGAGCCGCTGTGCCACGCTGCCGCACCGCCCCCGCAGCTGCGCCGCTGCCACGCACTGGTACAGGTCGGTCAGCAGGCGGGCGCGGTGGGAGCAGCTGAACTTGAGGGGCTTGAACTTGCTCTGAGGAGGAGAAGGGCGGAGAAGAAAGGAGCGAGCGGGGAGGGGATGGAAGGGGGAATCAATAAGGACAAGTGTTTGTAAGCAGTTGATGAGGGTAACACCAGTGGGATGTGTGGAGAAGTGCGCTGATGCCTCTTATGTAGCCGCTTCCGAAGCATAGTTGGTTATGCTCCTAGTTCAGAGCAAGCTCAATTGGTATGGTGATTAGGTGTTGAGGGGCGGGATCTGGCGCCTTCGTTGGGCCCGTTGGTTGGCAATGAACTACACATGTAGTGCTCTAACCTTTTTGTCCTGGCGTGCGCTGATGGTGAACTCGCCCTCTGCCTCGTTCCCGGACCCGACTGTAATGGATTCTATGTCAGCATCTCCCGTAAAGGCGTAGGTATTTGTAACAGCCATCCCGCTCTCGGGATTTTGGGTGACAACCGCGTCCGGCGTGATGCACATGATCCGCCGGTACTTTCCACGCCAGCTGTGCTTTGTGACCACATAGCGACCAAGGCACGCTGCAGGCTTCTGTTGCGGTTGCACTTGCCAGGCGCTGAGGAGGTCCATCCTTTACTACTGCAGCTTCTTACCGTCTCCTAACCCTTATTGCATAACCTTTCATGGTTACGATGCTAAAACTTCGAGGTAGGTATACTACCGGTACTCGTAGGAATCTATGTAGGGACATAACCTGTCCCTTTCACCCTGCGAAGCGCATGCATCAGATCAAGGGCAAATATCGTCTACACATATCATGGAAAGTTATCCAAAGCGTTTGGTTCACGTCTCGGTGTTGGCGTGCAGTATCTGCAACTTCAGTCGTACGACGCAACATGTGCCTTGCCTTGCCTCCTAGCAACTGCACTTGCATCGCGTGGTAATGTATGCGCCATTATTTATATATAACATAGCGGACCAGCATGTATCGTGCAGTGTGTGTTGACCGCTGCTGCGCAAGTAGGGCTTTAAATACAAGCTTCACCTCAGAAATCCTCGCACAGCATCGTCGGTGGCTGTCAGTTGCAAGGTTTCTCTGTATTCGCACTTAACGTTGCCAAAAGGGTCCGTTCCACGCCGGTTACAGCTGCCCAGCAGGACTCGACACGTTCGGGATGGCGACATTACGGCAAACACTCGTCCTTGTGTTGCTCAAACTCAGGCTACTCCTCCTCCTTACACACCCAACCAGCAATCTATAAGGATAGCTTGTGACTCGGCTTTCCCCAGTAGCGCTTCCAAGCATCATATCTGCCCGCGTGTACGCTTTAAGCAACCACTGTAGTAAACTAGTCGGCGCACTCCCCAGACCTCATGCAGTCCAGAAGCAGTCCACCCTCCTTTCCCTGCTGCCCTCATTTGCATACCCCTCGTCCACCCGAACCATGCACCCCCAAACACCGGCTCCCTAAAAAACACACTCCTCGGCGCCTACGCCTTCCCAAGTAACAACCCCTTTCCAAGCAACTATAACAAAACAGCAGCCCCAACATCCTCTCCTTCGAATGCAGCTGCCCAGCTGTTTTCCCTGCAAGCTTTCCCGTATCGGTGCATAATCGCACCGTACACACTCCCCCTGCGATGAACATACTTTTCCAAGTATCAGCGGCCCCCTACACAGTCAGTTAGTTGTTTCCTCTTTACCCCCCACACCAACCCGACCTGTGGCGCCGCTGCCTCCCCACTACCTTCCTCACAACACCTCATCCGCGCACCACCCCACCCCCCACTACATCCCACCCGCGCACCACCCCACCCCACTGCAACGCTCCCTCCCTCTCACGCTCACGCTCACGCCGCCGCCTGCTCCGCGCCCGCCCCCGCGCCCGCCAGCTCCCTGCTCTGCAGCAGCTGTGGCTTGGCGATGATGGCGTCGATGAGGCCGTACTCGATGGCCTCCTGCGGCGACATGAAGAAGTCTCGGTCGGTGTCCTTGGTGATGGTCTCCATGGACTGCCCGCTGAACTGGGCCTGGGGGGGGAAGGGGGGGAGGGGGCTAAAGACCATACCGAACCGTAGGAGACCACGGGTTGGAGCAAAACAATGGATAGGAAGGGGGGAGGGGAATGGGGAGGAAGGGGGTAAAGAGGAAGACTACACACACAGTACGTTTCACAGTACGTTTCGCCTCGCGGCCCGTTATCTTAACACACACACGGCCAGTTTTCTTCACACACACACACACACACACACACACACACCGCCAGTTAATGCGAACCTCTCCCCATTGCTTGCTCTTGTCCTACTCAACTACACACACACACACACCGCCAGTTGCTTTAACACGCACAGCCCACACCCAGCACTCACCAGGTAGCCGTTCAGCGTGAGCTTGTGGTGCAGGATCTCGTTGGCCTGGATCTCGATGTCGGTCGCCTGCCCCTGCGCGCCACCCAGCGGCTGGTGGATCATGATGCGGCTGTTGGGCAGGCTGTAGCGCTTGCCCTGCTGCCCCGACGCCAGGATGAAGGCGCCCATGGAGGCCGCCATGCCGATGCAGCAGGTGCTCACGTCGGGCCGGATGTGGCGCATGGTGTCGAACACGGCCATGCCTGGGGTGGGGGGGTGGAAGGAAGGGGAACAAGGAACGAAAAGTGAAGCAGGGCAGAGGGGTAGGAAGAGGTGGGGTGGAGGGGAGGGGACAGGTGGGGGTAGGACAGCCATGGACGTAATAGCGGTGGGGGGTACGGGTTTGCGGGGGCGGGGGATAGGAAGGAGGATGGCGGGTGAAGCTGCAGTCTGGGTTTTCCGAGTCATGTAGCCGGCTGCTCCGGGTGCTCCCTCCTCCCCCCAGGTGGTGGGGTGGGCTGCCGGCACCCCTCCAGCAGGCAGCCCTCCAGCGGCCCCTGCCTTCACCCCTCCCCACCTCGCTGCCCCCATGCAGTCCCCATGATCTCCAGCCGCATGCAGGCATCCCCACCGCTGCCGTGTCATTCCCCCATGCAGCCGAACACCACTCCTCAACTCCTCGCCGCGTGTTGCTGCAATCCCCCACCTACCGACCAGCCCCAAGCTACGCTCCACACAAATCGCCCCACACAGGACTTCTTTCCCGGGTACTGCTAAGCCCCTCCTGCCCCTCCTGCCTGCAACAAATCCCCGGGAATCGCTGCAGTCCCGTCCCTTTTCACAGCGCCCAGCCAGCTGGCGGTGCCGGACCGCTAAGCCGACCAGGCCTTCCCCACCTTCGTTCGCACCTCCCCAACCTCATCCCCATCCCCCGTACCACCTGCACCCGCCTGCCGTGACGGATCCTCCTCCCCAACCAAGCATGGTACTTTGTCTTCCTCGTTTCTCATTCCGTCCCCGTCCGTGCACCCACCCACCAACCCACCTGACCTGCCGTGCAGTGTGTTTCTACTTGCGGCCAGTCCTGTTAACCCACCTGCCGTGACGGATCCATCCACCCAGCCGCACCTCCCCACCACCACCCAGCCGCAGCTCGTCAGTTGCTTCGTCAGCGTCTCATTACTGTATCTATTTTTTACCACCCAGCCGCACCCCACCCCACCCACCCACCTGCCGTGACGGATCCACCGGGCGAGTTGACGTACATGGTGATGTCGCGCCGCGGGTCCACCGAGTCCAGGTACAGCAGCTGGGCCACCAGCAGGTTGGCCATGTCATCATCCACCGCGCCACCCAGACGCACAATGCGCTGTTGGGGTACGGGCGTTGGTGGTGGTTAAGATGGGGAGGAGAGGAGCAGGAAGGGGATAAAAAGGGAGGTTTGAACCCGGGCGGCCAGGAAGTGGAGGATGAGGATGTGGGAAATGGCCGAGGAAGAAGACTTGGAGAAGGGAATGGGAGATGAGGAGGGAGGACGTACCTGCTGGAAGAGTTGCGAGACGACGCCCTGGAAACGCTCGATGACTAGGGGGTTCGGGGGTGGGGGGCCCTGGCAGACCACTGGCGGGTGCGGGTTGCGCGAGGAGACCGAGAGCCTGCATGCGCATTATGCAAGGCAAGCCGTATACAGTGATGCTGAATTTGCCCCGGAAGTAGTGTTGAGTGATAGATACATATTGCGAAGATACATGTGGCGCATGGTATCGGTACAAGCAGAAGCCAGGCGCCGCCCGAAAAACAAGGTGGGGCCCATCGCGGTCTTAGCGGTCGGAAGGGACGATCATCGCCCTGATCGGAAATTCCCAAGGTAGTAATCGTGACAAGCCTATCCCATACGCACTTGACTTCAGATGAAGGCATCCACAGCTGAGCCCTGGGTACAGTTGTCCGCCGGCTCCGGGTTGTTCGCGCCGCTGATCCCGCCTGACATTTGCTTTGGAAGACGAGTTGCGACATGGCCTATCCCAGGGCTAGCGATATATCTCAGGTCGTGTATGCAAACTGGAGGTCCACAGGGAAGTTCAACACCTGAGGCCCTGCCGAGCTAAACTACGATGCAGGAACAATAACGCAGTAGCTAACCTATAAAGTGCAGGCGAGAAGTGTTAGGGTTGCGTGCAATGCGTGGTAGCATGGAAAGGAACGACAGAACGGCACATGCTAGTCGAGATACAAGGGAAATCCTGCGTACAAGGCCTGAGGCGTATACACGAGTACAATCAGCGCTTGTACACTAACTCTAAAACGTACTAGGAGAGAGTATGCACCAACGTTTGCTAACTTGAAGCCTTCTCCGTGGCAGCTCGCTTCTTTGCATTAGGCTTGTATTCACAAGCAAGAGATTTACAAATAGCTCTACTGGTCTATCCTATCGACTTTACGTGGTGCTATTGAGTCGACACACCGGTAACCCGCCGTCTTGTTGTACTCCTTGCGTTCAGTCTTCAGCCTGAACCATGGAGAAGCATCATCTGCTGCGTCGTGATCCCAACTGGCACCCGAACGGATGCAACCTTTGTGGCCAGGTGGGTTGGCATGGTCCTTAGGCTTTACCAGTTTGGGAAGGGTTTCCCACCGCCCCTCCTCTTCCCTTCGCAGCTGGGGCATCAAGCAGCCAACTGCCCGAACGGAACAATCAACTGGCGGCAGATCTACGGTGATGAAGCCTTCATCCTGCGCCAGCCCATCTACTTTTCGGACATCCAGGAACGCATAAAGTTTAAAGAGGATGGGATGAAGGACCTTGAGGCACGAGCACAAGCATACGCCAAGGTATAGTGCTTGTTGCCGACAAGGCAGTCAACGCCGGGTTGGTGTTGGGTGTGTTGTGAGTGCCATTGCCCTCCACCTGCAACAGCTGTCCCCTGAGCACGAAGCATAAGGACGACTCTTCCTTCGCTACTTTACCTGCAGCTATATCTCTCTGCCATCTGCAAGGCGAGGATGAAAAACTTTTCCTCCCTGCTGCAGGCCAAAGCTGAGGAGCAGGGTCTCAGCTGGGCAGACATCATGGCCAGGGCGGAGGAGCTGCGCAACAAGGACCCCTCGGAGGTCATTCCCCGGGCGCCGCCCACAGCAGGTGCGTTCGGGTCCTGACCCAATGTCGCTGCTGTCTTAGATCCGCTGTCGTAGGTCCGCTGGGCAGCCAACCGAATGCAACGGCCACTATCAACTGACCGTTGCCCGTCGTACGGCGTATCCCGCCTCCATCCTTTCATCACCCCGCCCTGCCGCTGCTGGCCGCTCCGCCCCCCTCCCCCTCCCCTCCCGCAGCCGCCGGCGACGAGTCGCTGCCCGCCGGGTGGGCGGTTGCGACCGACCCAGCGGGTCGGCAATACTTTTGGCACAAGAAGACGCAGAAGGTGCAGTGGGAGAAGCCCACGGAGGACACACCCATTAACTAGCGGGCTACCAGGCTGCTGTAGTGCTGCAACACAGACGAGTACTGCACAGCGGCTTTAAACGAGCGGGACTAGGCAGCTATTTGGCTTCTGCTGTCGTACTTACGGACGGCAGCAGCGAGCCATACATGCTGTAGCAAGACTGGACTGGAGGCGCAAGGCTTCGGACGAGGGTGTGCAGACATCGGGTTATTGGCATTTAATGGCAAGCTGGCAGGCTTGCGATCAGGGGGCCGAGCAGTGCTGGTAGTAGCTGGCACATGACGACCCTCCATCCAGCAAAGCAGAGCAAAGCAGGCAGCACTGGGCGACCAGACGGAACATGACAAGGCGGGGCACGTGACAAGGCGGACATGGCAATGGACCAGCAGCCGCTTGGGGGCCGCAGCGGAGGCCGTGCGCTGGGGCGATGGATTGTTGTAGGCCGCCGCTGAGCCGCAGGCGGGGAGCTGGTTGCGGAGGGCAGGGGCAGCTGCTGTGGTCCTGTGTGTCAGCAGCAGCAGCAGCAGGCGAGTGAGGACTGCAGGGGCGGTAGCACGGGTAGCGCAGCTCGGGGGCAGCACACCCTGGCAGGATAGTGTACCCTGCCTGGGTACTCTGGTATATGATAGCCAGCGGGCGCTCTTGGACTTGACGATGGCGAGCCGAGGCAGCAGCATGGGGGGGGGTGAGGCCTGGGGCGCATGAGCTCACGGCAAGCTGGGATCTGGGAGGGTTGACCCGAGGAGTGGGGAGCACTGGAGGTCAGGGTCACGTGCCCCTGTCGGCAGGCGCAGTGGGCAGAGGAGGGGTGGCCGCTACCCTGTCGAGCCCTTTCGGGTCACTGAGGGACGCCCTGTGTGGCGGTCTGCGTGGTGGAGGAGCTGCAAGAAAACGCAGCTGAGGACGCACAGCTAAGTAGGGCGGTAAACCGGCATGCACATACAGTTGTGGAAGTGGGGGGTTATTGCTTTCGAGGCCATGAGTTGACGGTTACGGGAAACTGCTGCAGTATCAGGCACTGTTTGATTGTCACGGCAGCTGCTACGGACGAAACTTTGACAGCGAGTGGGAGCACGGAATCCCAGTTATTTGCTGCACACAGGCAAAAATACGACTCCTGGACGGTCGTTCGTGACGCTCTGCCGGCTAAAAAGGACTCTGTTGAGCGTGGCTTGTTTGCTTGTATGCGTGTGACCAGCCCTCGGGTGCTCGGGCAGGCTAACCGGGGGTCCGGTAACTACCGGTATTGGGCTGCGGGGCCAGTGGCGGTTACAGTGTTGTTGCACCTGCTGCTGCCTGCCTGCCCTGTGCATGCAGCAGGGCGCTACAAAGGAGTGGTGGTATACGTGCCGTTACATTGGTGGTGGTCGCCTAGATTGCATCTTGACGAGAATGCGGGGATGTTTAGTCGCGGAGGATATTGTAGTGCAGTGAATGTGCGGACGGCAAGGCCTCCCTGCTTCCATTGGCGTAGGATCCCTGCGCTGTGGATTCCTTGTTGGATGCAGTTGGGCCCGTGACGCTGGGCATGCCTTGCCAGCGCTAGCCTTATTGGGTTTTGTTGGTTGTACGGACCGAGTACGGGCAGAGTAGGCATCAAATCACGCCGAGTGAGAGAGAGCAGTCCCCTGCAAGGGCATCCCCGTGAAGGATGTCAGGCCGTGTTGTAATGTTCATGGAGGAGGCGCTTCTGAAAGGTCAAGTTGGCAACCTACCGCACCAAGAAGCACATGGCAGTGTAGGGCCATGGCAGGTCCCTGGCTCCAGCCCTGTGTCCAGGACACGCTGCAGCTACCATGCAGGCCTCAAGTTTGGGGGCACTACAGCTATACAGGTGCCGGGACCGCGGCTGCAGCCAAGCGACCCGAGGGCTGGGTACTCCGGCGCTCCTACTAGGAGGCGGGCGCGGGCGGTGCTGACTGCGGCTTTCTGGTGCTAGGAGGCAGGGGCCGGGCGATGTGGGCCTGGGGCGGCTTGGGCGGTAGGTGGGCTGAGTTGGCGTAGCTGCTTTCCAGGGAAGGATGGCCCGGGTATCGGGCCCATCCTGCAGCTGCCTTTAGTGGCTGGGTTGCGGGTGATAAAGCCAGCTGCACAGCAAAGAAGAACACAACACGGCGTGCTGCGACCAGTGGCCAACCGCCAACGGTTCAAACTTGTACGGAAGAGCAATATGAGTCAGGGCGCTGCCTCCTGGTTAGGTTGTCATAGTAAGCGTATATAGAGTTTAGCACGAAAGCGGTAACCAGTCACATTTCTTGCTACACACAGAGCTGTGTGGATTGCAGTTGGTCTGAGCCAAGTCATTTTCACCCAGTTGCAGCTGCACGTCTTTGAGGCGTGACTCTAGAAGAGGCTACTAGGCGCTGTCTGCCTGGGCAAGCAGCAGTCGCTAGGTACCGGTACTAACAATGCCCAAGCGCACAACTCTTACGTTTACTAGCGAGGACGGCCCTCGCGTCGACACAACTAAGCTTTTTATCTACCATTGTAAATACTCTGGTCGCCACGCTTTCACGATAGGTAGGTTGGACACGCTGAACTAAGATATGCCCTCGCCCTAGCGGTCATGTTCTTTCCAGCATGTAAGCATCTATTATAACATCCTACAGATGTCGACCTTAGAAAGCTGCCGCGGCGTCGGACGGATGGGGCATACGTAATCGACACCAACGAGCACACAATAAAGCTCTACACCAGCGATGGCGGCGTCAAATACATCCGAAGGTGCGCTCAGGTTAACATATAAGTTCGAAGGTCAAATGTCAGCAAAAGAGCCTCCCAGTATACCCCATCTTTTTCACCATCCTGCCACATGGCACCGGGCCAGGCAACATACTCTCTTCATTTCCTTACCTCTCTTTCCATGCTCCCTTATCCTGCTTTGAAACCCTCGCCCCCAACGTCAGGCAAAACGGCACCGTGGAGAAGCAGTACCGCCTGAACCTGGGTCAGCTGCCCATTGCCTACAAAAGCGAGCTGGACTCCCCGCTGCTATACATCATGGACGGAACGGTCACCACCTACAGCAACCAAAACGCACGCCGCGCGGTAAGCCCTGAATCCTCTGTCGTACGCATACCTCGGGATGTGCGAGACATCAAAGCCTCAGGGCTGTGCACTCAGGGGGCCGGCAAATAACGTGGGCAACAACAGAGCCACAGCCCCCAAAGGAATGGTGCCCTTCCGTTCCTCTGTGCTCCATACTCCCCCTCTCCTTCCTCCTCCCTCTCCACCCCCCTCCCCCTCCAACCGCCTCCCTCCCCCCACCTGCCAGGGCCGGCTGCTGGTCCCGCCCTGCATCAGCCGCTCCGAGCGCAGCGGGCTGGTTGAGATGCGGCTGGAGCTGGAGGACCGGTCGCACCGCTGCACGCTGTCGCGCGTGACGGCGGATGTGGTGCGGGTGCACGTGACGGGGCTGATGGGCAGTGATGCGGTGCACGAGGAGCTGTTCGACCTGTTCGCAAAGGTAGGGGAGGGGAGGGGAGGGGAGGGAAAGGGGAGCGGGGGAGGAAGGCGGAGGCGGGGAGGGCGGGGAGGGGTAAGGAGTTTGAGCCACGAGGAAGGGAATGGCAGGGGGGAGAGGAAAGGAGGGAGAAACCTTCATTGCTGGGGAAGGAAGGAGGCGGAAGGGTTGACGGGGCAGTGGGCGCCGGGAGGGCGGGAATACGGGAGAGGGTGAGTAATGACATGGTGGTGGTGGTTCGGACAGCTCGCAAATGAGAAAGGCGTCTGTTTCCTGCTTGTGGCTGTTCCCGTCCGCCCCGCCGTTGCTCTGCCTCCAGGGCCTTACTCCCGTGCTTCCGTTCTACCGCCCCCGCCAACTGCTCCCCCCCGCCCCCGCCCCCCTCCTCCAGGTCCTGAACGTGCGGCTGTCGCAGCTGGACCTGCGCCGCGCCAAGAGCTCCCGCAACCGCATTATGACCGTGGAGTCGCTCTCGCCGGAGCAGGTGGGGGAAGGGAGGGAGGGGGAGCGGGGAGCAGGTGGGGGAGGGAGCGGGAGGGGGAGCAGGAGGAAGCGGGATGGAGGGATGAAGGGAAAAAGACTAACGAGTGTGGAGGGAGGGAGGGAGGGAGGGAGCAGGAGGGGAAGGGAGGGAGCGAAGGATATGCTGCAGAGTGAAATGAGGGAGGGAGCGGAGGGGTGCGGTGAAGAGGGGTACCCGCATCTGGCAGGAGTGGGGCACATAGCGCCGTCACGACCCAGCTTTCCCGAGCTCCCCCATCCCATGACTGTCCCTTCCGCCGCCTATGCCGCCCTTACTTCCTTCTCCTGCCCCGCTCCCCGACTCCCCCGCCGCCCGCTGCCGCCCCGCCCCAGGTGTACGAGCGGTTACGAGAGGCGCTGAAGAAGCAGTCCATGGAGCGGGCGGAGAAGCGGCAGCGACGACACATGTGAGAGCGGCGGCATCAGCGCAGCGGTTCCCCGCATCCCTCTTCGGCTTGTGAGGCAGCTTGCGAGGGGTTCAGTGCCTTCTGCCCTGACACTAGTAGGGGTCACCTGCTAGCGGCACACCTTGCGGCGTGCTGTGCTGGGGTGGTAATTGGTTCATGGAGAGGTGGTTACATACGGGGGGATTGCGTGTTATGCGAAGCGGCGGGAGCGTGGCATGCCAGGCGGTTAGAAAGGCAACATGTGTTGTAGGAAATGGCGGGTTGGTGCTCTAAGAGGGTATGAGGGATTGTTTGTAGCAGTAGGTGTATACAGGGGGTGTACAGGCGTGGAATGGTGCGATGCGACAAGGAGACTGAATCTTCAACGGTTCCTATCGGCAGCTGTAGACCCTTGACAGGTTCAGTGGTGATGGGGGTTGTGCCATGTAGCTGGTGGCACACAGATGCTCAGCATGATACCACTCTCTGGCACCCAACTGCCCTTACATCGCATGCTGTTGTGTATATGCGTGCATGCAGATGTGTTAAATTGCACTGCACTGTATGCCTGCAGAGTATCTTGTTGTAGCATATGAACATGTCTTCTATTCAACCTTCATACCTGTCTGTGTCAGCCTTCCATCCAACCGTACAAATCCGGCGCCGCACATCACTCGCAAGTGAAAGCCCTTCACATCCATGCAAAATGAGCTTAGCTACGCACGACATTTCTCCCACACATTTAAAGCATGTTGCGGCTTTCAACCAACAAACAAACCGCAGACAACGTATATGCTGTCTCAAGAGCAACGACAGTTCAAACGCCTTGTAGCTGTTGCAATAAAGATATATGGGTCATGATAGTACAATACATGGGAGAGATGTAACACGAGCCGTACGTGCGGGGGGATTTAACGGGTAGGTGCCATCATGCCACACGGGGGCTAAATACCACAACACTTGGCTCGCGTTACCATCCATCTCGGCCCCTCTCTAACAACGAGAATCGTTCCTTACAGAGCAAACCGCTGCCGCTACTCCTCACGTCCTCCAGGACGTGCCGCGGAATGAAAGGAGAAACGAAAGCAAGCACACACGCGAATGGTACACGCCTGCACACACCAACAACACAAGTACACAACACACGCTAAGCAGCTCTTACTACAGGCTTTTCCGTCTTTTTTTCTCTTCGGGGATGCAGCCTTCTCCCTTATCACCTTCTCCTCACCCTCCAACTTCCACTGCCCTCACCTCTTGTCTTTCTTCTTCCTCTCAACTCCTCAAAATCCTCGCACGACGACGACCCCTCAACAACGACGCCGCTCCATATCCCACTCTCCGTCCTCACCCCTTTCGCTCAGGCGTTACCCCCCCTTCTTCCTCTTTTCTCGTCCCTTTCCCTCATGTACTTTCCCTGCTCCTCTCCCTCCCTCCCTGCTTATCAGCTCACGCCGTCGCCTGGTAGGGGATGCTCACCCCTGGTGCATCCGTCTTGGTGTACTGCCGAGCCGCGCTGGCCAGCACAATCTGTTGGAACTCGTCGCCGTCGATGTTTTCCTTCTCAATCAGCACCGCCGCCACCTTGTGCAGGATGTCAATGTTGGACACCAGCAGGTCCTTGGCGCGACGGTAGGCCCGCTCCACCAGCTGCTTCACCTCGTTGTCGATCTCATCCGCGGTGGCCTGGGGGGGGGGCAGGGGGGTGAGGGCGGCAAGGGGAGGGGGGGAGGGAGGGAGGGAGGAGGAATGCACCGAAAAAGGGCGATTGGCAACGGCCTCATCGCATAGAATGGCAGCCATGAATGATGATGCATGCCATCCCCCCCCCCACCTCCCCCCCCCACCTGAGAGAAGTCCGCGGGTTGCGCCGCCTGCGCCCCCAGGAACTGCGCTCCCCCGCTGCTGGACCAGGCCACCTGCCCCAGCTGCTTGGACAACCCCAGCTGGGTCACCATCAGGCGCGCGATGCGGCTGACCTGCTGGAAGTCACCCGAGGCGCCTGCGGGGGGGTGGGGGGGGGGTGACGGGGTTTCATAGGGATGTATTATTCCGCATTAGGCTGGATCGATGAGGGGGTTAATTTGGAAACAGAATCCGCATTACGCTGGATAGTTGATGAGGGGCTGGGGAGGGGGCGAGGGTTAAGGAGAGAGCAAACCCCAAACCGCTGCTACAAAGGAAACCGCAAGGAAACGTCACTCCAGTCACTCCCACCCCCGCCCCCACCCACCCGTGGTAATGTCGTCCTCCCCAAAGATCAGCTCCTCCGCAATGCGCCCGCCCAGCGCCACCGCCATCTGGTTCTCCAGGTAGGTGCGCGAGTACAGACCGCTCTCCAGCCGCTCCTCCGAGGGAGCGAAGAAGGTGAGGCCGCCCGCGGCACCACGCGGCACGATGGAGATCTTGGTGACGGGGTCGTACTCGGGCATGAGGGCGCCCACGATAGCATGACCCGCCTGCGCGTGTGTGTGTTTGGGTGGAGGTGTGGAGGACGCTGACGTTCACTGCAACGCCCTCGCAACACATCGTATGCTGAGCTACAGACCCAGTCAGTGTTGTGTTCCGCAGCTCGGTGCGCCTCAACCCACCCACCCGTACAACACGTCATACCTCCGGCTACGTTCCTAACACTACATTCCAAAACGTCCTAAAAACACACACACACATACACACGTTCCGCCTCGCGGCCACTTATTTTACCATACACACACCCCGGCACATACCCGTGCTGCCAGTTTTCGTAACCCACACCCTGCGCCCGCCCCCACCTCATGGTACGCCACCAGCCGCCGCTTCTTCTCGCTCATGACCGCCCCCTTCTTCTCCGGCCCCGCGATGATGCGCTCCAGCGCGTCCGCGATCTCCTCCTTGCTGATCTCCTGCAGGTTGCGGCGGGCGGCCAGGATGGCGGCCTCGTTCATCAGGTTCTGCAGGTCCGCGCCTGCATGGTGGAGGGGTGGGGGTGGGAGTATAGGAGTTAGGCCAGAGAGGGGGGGCCCGAGGGGGTTTCGGTGGGGGAGGAAGCGGGAGGGAGCGGGGGCAGCAGGGAGAGGTAAGGTCGTGAAGGTATGACACCACAACCGACGCCATGCGGCACCCGCCGGTGCTATAGCTGAATTGCAGTCATGTACCGATAGCCTAGCGCCCAGTACACCCCCACCCTCCTCCGTTGCTTCATACCATTACTTTCATTCCCCGTTTTCCCACCCCCCCTCTCAGCTCTTCCACCCCTAAAGCACCCTCAGCCCTCCCTCACCTGTGAACCCCGGCGTGCGCCGAGCGATCTTCTCCAGATCCACATCCTTGCCCAGCGCCTTGCCGCGACTGTGAACCTTCAGGATGGCCACACGGCCCTGCACGTCAGGCCGGTCCACGGTAACCTGGGAGGGGGGTGGGGGCAGTGGGGGGGGGGGGTGGGCGCGGGGGGCAGAGGGCAGTGCGGTTTGGGGAGGCGCGATATCCGGGAACAGGGTACACGAGCAGGACAATGCCACCTGGGATGCCTACCGACAGCCCCACCACCAACCTGAGCTCTGCGTCTTCCCTCTTTCACCTCACCACCCACAACTTCGCTCTGCTTTCCTCTTAACCACCTCCCGCCCCCATCGCCGCCAACCACCCCCCCACCCACACACCTGGCGGTCGAAGCGCCCCGGCCGCAGCAGCGCCTGGTCCAGCACGTCGGGGCGGTTGGTGGCGGCCAGCACAATCACCCCCGTGTTGCCCTCGAAGCCGTCCATTTCCGTTAGCAGTTGGTTGATGGTTTGCTCGCGCTCGTCGTTGCCGCCACCCATGCCGGCACCGCGCTGGCGACCCACGGCGTCGATCTCATCGATGAAGATGATGCACGGGGCCTTGGACTTGGCCTGCGTGTGGATCAGGGTTGGGTGGTGGTTGTGGGTGACAGGTGTGAGAGGTGTTTAGGAAAGGTGGAAAGGGAAGGGGGAGGTACAGTTTCCTCACAACCCACAAACCCGCGCTCCTCCCAGGCCACCCCCCACCTGTTCCAGTCTAGTACCCCGCCCTGTCGTCGCTCATCTCCACCCACTTCCAGCCCTCCCCTCCCCTCCCCTCTCCACATATGCATGTGCGCCCCCCTCACCTTCTCAAACAGATCCCTCACGCGCGAGGCGCCCACTCCCACAAACACCTCCACGAACTCCGAGGCGGCGCAGGAGAAGAAGGGCACCCCAGCCTCACCCGCCACCGCCTTGGCAAGCAGCGTCTTGCCGGTGCCGGGGGGACCAACCTGGGGGTGGGGGGAGGGGGAGGAGGAGGGGGAGGAGGGAGGAGAAGGGGGAGGAGGAGGGAGGGGTGAAGCAGCAGCAGCAGGAGGTAATGGGCTGTGATGTTAAACCCACTGCGCTTGTTTGATAACTCAGTAGTGCGAGGAGTTGTTCACTAGAACCCGGCGGACGCAGCGACGACGCAGGGTCCAGAAGCCAGAGCCCTCACCACATTCCCCCACCGGTTCCCCAACCCAATCCCCTGGGCAAAACCCCCCAGCCCCCTCCTCCAGCACCCACCAGCAGGCATCCCTTGGGGATCTTTGCGCCCAGTGCGGTGTACTTGTCCGGGTTCTTCAGGAAGTCCACCACCTCCTGCAGCTCCAGCTTTGCGCCGTCGCAACCCTGCGGGTGGCGGGAAAGGGAGGGGCAGGGCAGGAGACAGGAGGGGGAAGGGGGGGATGTGAAGAGGGGGAGAGGTGCGCATGCAGCAATCGCCATCTTGCACCCCCTAGCGGGAGCCAGCAGCCAACAGATAAATGAAGTGCAGCAGCGACAGCAGTCCAACATGAATGACCCAACATGTGCTCACCGCGACATCGTCAAACACAACGCCAGTTTCCGGGACCTCCTGGAACTTGCTCTTCGAGCGACCAAAGTCCATGGCACCGCCCATCGGGCCCATGGGCCCGCCCGAACCGCCGTTCTGGCTTCGGCGGAAGAGGAAGAAGAGGCCTCCGAAGGCGATGAGAGGGAACAGGATGTTGCCCAGCAACGCAACGTAGTTGCCCTGCTGATCGCCCTCCGAAACGGAAATGTCAACGCCATTCTTTGCAAGGATGTCAACGAGCTCAGGGTCGTTTGGCAGGACAACGGTGGCACGGCGGCCATCCACAGCGGTGAGCTGCAGCTGCGAACCGTCCTTGGAGAAACGCACGCGCTCCACCTTGCCGGCCTCTACGGCATTGACAAATTCAGAATAGCGCCACTGGTTGCCCTCGGGCAGCTGGTACTCCGAGCGAACCTCGGGCGCAACCAGAGGAGCGGAAGACGAGAACTGAATAGACTGCGGCGCCTGGGTAACGGTGGTTGTGGTGTTGCTGTCCGTTGGGGGCGCGTAGTAGTCTGCAGCTGAGGCCACGCCAGCGGTGGAGAGCGAAAGCAGGGAGGCGAGCGCAGCCTTTGGCAGCTTAGCTACCAGCTCCGATGCAAGGTTGTCTGACTGTAAGATTCAGTAGAGTGGGATCCACACACAGGCGCGCAGCCAGGCTTTAGTCGCGAACCCCTCGAACCACGCAATAAAAGAATCAGGTTGATCATCTGAGTTGCCAGGTTGCTACTGAGAAGTAACCCGTTGCTAGAGCAGGAGAAATAACATTGTAGCGAAAGTCGACAAGAACACACACGCAGATCGAAAATGTCGCTCAGCGCTCTTAAAGGGGAGACATAGTGCACTATACATTACAGCATAGCGCTCAACTTGAGATGGTGCTATGAACTTACGAGCTGCTTGGCAGAGAACTTTGCGGTAACACGGCTAGGGCGCTTGGGTACGCCCAGCAGCTGCGAGCGCAGAGCCTCCGTGTTGCGCGCGAAAGCACGGCGACCAGCCTTTGTGGCCAAAGCTTCAGGCCGCGTGGCGAAAGACATCGTGGCTAGTTAACTTGCACAATGCGCACAGTAGTAGTCTGAGCAGCGGCAGTAGGGCTAGGGCACAAGTTTTCAGTTGTAAAGTGTCGCTTTGCACTATATAAGTGATCGCGTGGTACCAGCCAACGCTTTATGGCGTCACTTGTGCCTCATTTGAGTGGCCAGGAACCGTGTGCCGTACCGTAGCCGAGGACTGCACCATGCGAGTGGCAGCGCCATGTAGGAGGATTATTTTGTCATATAATTGCTATATTAACTTACACTCATGCTATATTAAGGCGATTGCGGTCCGTCGCAAATGCCAGTCCCCGTGGGTCCATTTGCGCTGCACGCGCAACGAATTCCTAAGGAAGCACCCAACAGTCATCTAGCATCCCCACTCGCACTCCCCGACTCCCTTGCACGCGCACTGGCGACAGCGTCTCTTTACCTACATTTGCCGTGATGCGGGTACCGGTACGGTAGTAGGATGCCTGGAATGCCCAAACGCTCCACTCGACAAAATTAGCAACCAATCGTGCTACCAAACGTATTCGAGCTACCTGCCACATGTCGCTAGGACTTACTTGAAAGACACTACAAACACTCTCGTCACTCTGCACATCCACATGTGGCGCTGCTTGGGCCCAAAGCGCATACCCTCTGCCCTCACATACTCATAACCGCACAAAATTGACATGTGCCCTCAGCTCTACATAACCTCTCCGCATTCATATAATACAAGTGCTTCTATAAGCCCACACGCTGCTATCCTAACCGTCTGCAAAACAAGCTATAACTATCGCCCTCCAACACATGCTCCAGCCTCCTCCTCTTGGCACCCTAACCAAAAGCCCAATCACTTGCTGTTTTCCTCGTCCTTCTTCTTTCCGAGGTACTTGGCGACGACAGGCGTCAGGGCCACGGTCGGGGGAAAGCGCACAGGCGAAAGGGCCTTATGCGCCGCATACGCCAACGCAAACGTGCCCACCTAAGGGGAGGGAGGCGGGTAAGGCGGCAGGATTCACGCAGAGAGATACCAAACCGTTTCAGAGAGGGAGAATTACCGGTAGCGGAGAACGTGCCTCCATGCGTTCTTCTGTTCACCCCTCCTCGCATACTCCTCCCCGACGCACATGCATGCTTAGCACTCTGGCCCCCTCGCGTCCCCCTTACCCCTTCCCAGCCCTTCCCCTTCCGTCCTCACTTCTTCAACTCCACCCCCTCCTCCCCTGCCGTATTACCTTCTCGCTTGTATCCGACACCTGCAGCCCGAACCGGTCCAGCAGCGCCGCTACGTCCACACCTGGAGAGGGAGGGGGCGAGGTTGGGGGGGAGAGTACCGTATGACCAGGATGACGATGACACGGGGGCATAACCGGAGTTTTAACCGGCAAGGATGTAAATGGAAGACAGGGAGCAGCATAGCCCATAAGCTACAGTAACTCAAACAACATGGACGGGTGAAGGGAAGGGAATGAGGCCAAGCCTGCGCTATAGGCGGTATGGGTGATTCCACGTCATAGCCTCCCTCCTCATCCACACGTGACCTGGCCCATCTGCTCCCCCCCCCCAATTACAGCCCCCCTTTCCCTTACACACACCTGCGTCCACAGCAAAATAGCAGGCTGCAAAGGATACGATGGCAAAGGAGATGGAAGTGATGAGGTAGGCGGAACCGTACTGCGCCAAAAGCTGCTTGGCTTGCTCCGCGCTGCTCAGCTTGCCGTTCTCGTCCTTTGACGTTAAAGCCTGCATGAAATAAACCCAATTACTAGTTACGCTTGCTGTAAGTGGGTATGATGCCATGAACGCAAAGCACGTAAGCAAGGATAAGAGCTTCGACCTCCTACGCGACGACCAACCACAAGAACAGCCGCTGGGACGCACCTTCAGAAGTCCGGCCTCCAATCCATACTTTTCGGTAGCTACTTCAGCCTCTGACTTGGACTCTACCTTGGGCTTCTGCAAGCATGTTTCAGTTTGGCTGTTTCATACCACCCCTAGGAAACGTAGTAGCCTTCCACGCGAATTGTACCTCTTCAGTAGTCGGAAGCGCCCGGGCAACATGAAGCGAAGGACGGCATGTTGAAAACGGCCTATGGAACGCGCGTTAGGTAGTTAGCGTCGCAGCGACTGCACGATACAGCGGCATTGGACAAAAGAGCTACTAACCTATGGCTGTGCCTCTCATGTCGGCGCAGGACTGCGCCAGAACGCGACAGTTGCATGGAAACTTGCATATTTTCTTTATGCTTCTAGAACGTGGATTTGTATACTTATCGGCGCTGTTTTGTGGATAAATTGTTAGCTTGTTACGAAGGCGCAGAGGGCGGTAAACACTCCTGCTTCGCGGCTGGGCATTGGCGACCGGACATGGCCGTACGGCATGCCGTCTGTCAGTACCTGAAAGTTTGCCGTCGGGATAGCGCTGTTTTGTTCCTCCAATAGCTAGGTAGACAGCAGATAGGCTAACCTAAACGGTGGCATGCCGGATGCAGGCACTGGCTGCAATGGCTTCGGCGCCAGCACTGAGTCAGCCGAACGCCTTTGTAATGATGCTTTAAGCGATTGGAACGTTCTCTCTGCTGCTTTGAAAGGCAACTGTGAGGAAGCGTCACGGCATCTTTCGCATTTGCTACGATGCGAGCCGGATCTTGTGCGCAGCTTGCAGCTGGTGGACAAGCTCCGCCTTTACCTGGAGCTGCCTTTGCCGTTACGGTAGGTGGTCTTCCAGAGCAAGTTACGCTGCTTTCGATGGCCGTGGCTTCTGCAGAAGCCCGGCAGTTGGACGTTGGAACCTGTGGGTTTGTGATTAACTGGTACAGCTTTTCCTGTAGTAGAATATCCTACCCGCTTCTTTTGCAGTTGTTAATGATACACCATTGTATTATATATTGACACCTCCTGTGATCGAGCTTGCCGCCCAAAAGTCCAATCCACTTGCCCATCATCCCTCCTCCTTCCTGGGACGGCCCCCTTTCCAGGCTGCTCCTACATCAGCACAGCCTAGTGCTTGCGGTGCTGCCCCTACCGCAGCTGGTCAGCTTGCTGGACTCACCACCCGAACAGCTGGCAGCTGCTCTAGACGAATTGGCACCGCCGGTGTCGCCCTTTGCCGTACATCGCGGCAGCCACAGCAGCACTATTTCCGGAGGCAGAGGAGGCAGCTGCTCAGGGGCCAGATGGGGTGGACCGGGTGAAACGTTACTAACGTTCGTGCGAAGCGGATGGTTGTCGTACGATCCGGATTGCCCTGGGCTTGCTTCATCATCACTATCACCATCACCAGCAGCAGCAACAGCAACAGCAACAACATCGGCACCAGGAGTTGCAGCAGCAGGCGCGTCGGCGCTGACTCAGCAACAGCACCTCACCTGCTGCCTTCCCCCCCAATCGCAAGAGCAGCAACGCCACCCCGGCCACCTGTCATCACATGCTAGCAAACCGCATCATCACCATCAGCAGCAGCAGCAGGGGCGCGGCGAGCACGTGTCTCGGTACGTGTGGGACCCTCATCAGCACCCCACGGCTGCGGCGGCCTGCGTTGCCTCCCTGGAGTCGATGGCGAGAGCGACAGCGACGGCAGTGGTAGTTGGTAATAACAACCCTACCAGACATGCGGTAACGGTTCCCGTTTGCCGTACAATAACCGCCGTCGTTGGGCCGCGGGGTGTGGCGCAGCACTACTCCGAGACGGGTTGGTTGCGGTTGTGGGGCGGCGGGCTGCAGCAGCAACGTGTGCAGGGGCTGGAGCGGCAGCGAGCACAGGGGCAGGAGCAGCAAGATGGGCAGGCGCAGGGGCAGCAGGGGTTGGTGCCGCCGCCGCCGCCGCAGCAGCAGCAGCACCATGAGCGATTGCGCCATAAAGGGAAGCAGCAAGAGCGGCAGCATGTGCAACCGTTGGAGGTTGGTTCGGAGCGGCAACAACCGCACCCCAATTGGGAGCAACAGCACCACCAACAATGCCGACAGCGGCCAGATCCGACAACGGCGCCGGCAGCCGCAACGTTGGCAGAGGAGAAGACGGAAAAGCTGGAATTCAATTCTGGTGGTGGTGGCGGTAGGAGTGGTAGCAGGAGTTGTACGGCAACATCGGCGGTACGATTGATGCGGGTGGAGTACGAACTGTACGACAGTCCTGGATCCCACCTGCAACGCCACCCGCTGCTAGGTGCGCGGCTGGGAGCTGCGGGGCTTTGCATGTGACATGCCACGTGAGGGGATAAGGAGGGGCTAATGAGGGGCTAACAGGGGAAGCAGCCACGTGCAGCGTCCACTCGTGTGGGCGTCCCGAAGGGGCTCTCGTGTCTCGGCGGGGGTTGCCTCACGAATCATATTCTGGGGAGCAGGATGACGAGAAAGAAGGCAGCACCCGACGTGCCAACGGCTTTCCCCTGCCCCTTCCGCCTTCTTTCTTTCCCCTTCAGGCGCCTCCCTGGACCGACTGCTCTTCCTGCGCCTCTCAGCGCACTTGCGACCCCGGCCCCGACCCTGCTACGGCCTGCATGCCGGTCATGTGGCAGGTGGTCGCCCCCCCCACCACATTCCCCCCCTCCTGCAGCAGCGGACACCGCCCGCTACCCCGACCGGCTACCCCGACAGCGGCGGCGCTGCCGGTCATGTCGAAAGTGGTAGCAGCAGTGGAGGTGGTGGCGGTGGCGGTGGAGGTGGAGGTGGCGGTGGCGCTGATGATGCTAGGGGTGATGTGTTGGAGGCATTGCTAACACGGGGGTTGGTGGTTGCGGGTCGACACTATCGACGGCTGGTCGTTAAAGACGCGGGCAAGGCAGGTGAGAAGGTTTGCTTCTACGCTGCTGACACGCTGTCAGGTGACGATGTCCGGCATGGGTTTCGGAGCCTGGGGCCGCCGTCTGCCGTACGGCGGCTCGTGGCTGACGTGGACACCGCATTGGGCGCTGCGGCGGCGGCGGCAGCGAAGACAGCAGCCTACCTGCCTTCAAGTTCCTCTTCTTATCCTTCAATAACAGAAACGACTCAGTCCAGTTTAGCGACAACGACAGCACAAGCCGCGGAGAGAGCCGCGGCCGCACGGGCAGCGGCGGTGGCAGCAGCAGCCAAGGCCTCAAGCAGACCCGAGCTCTTCCTGAGTTCCACTTGGCCGTTAGCGGTTGACGCCGTACGGATTGCCTACGAGTACGACATTTGTGGGGCTCAGTACGGCAGTGCCGGCGCCGTGCAGGACAGCAATGGCGGCAACCGTGACAGTAGCGGCGGATCTGCCGCCGGCGGCGGCAGTGTCAGCTGCATCAGTAGCGATGCAGGCGGGAGCAGCGTCAGCGGCATGGGGAGCGGGAGCGGCAGCGGGGCAGTAATGACGGATGGTAACGGCCTCATTTGCGCCCGGTTGGCGAGCATGATCCCAAACATATCACAGGGGATGCCCATGCAGCACCCGCTGTCCCTGTTGGCGCCGGAGATGCTGCCTGCCTCGCCGCCTGTCCTACCTGATCACCTAGCACAGGCCACAACACCGCTGGTACCAGCCCTTAGAAGAGACCAGGAAGTCGACAGGGGGGTCCTGGGCCCGGAAAACACACATTGCGAGGCTCCTGAGGCGCCTCATGGGATTTCGCAGCCTGTGCCCGCTGCCGCTCCTGCTCCTGCTCCTGCTGCTGCTGTTTCCGAGCCGGCAGTGGTGGTGCAGCTGCGCGTGTACGACCCACGGGTCGGTGCGGTCATCAAGGGGACCTTCACTCCCGTGGTTTCGGGGCTGCCTCCGGGCGCATGGCTGCTGGTGCGCGCGTCCCAGGTGTGTTCAGCAAACTGGCAGCGGGCTGATGAGGGGTGGAGGTGGTGACCTTGGGTGGTTACTTTAGAGCTGAGGAGACGAAGGCAACTGGGGGTGGCTGGGCTGGGCTGGTTTTGGCAGATGTGTAGGTGGTGAAGGTGAAGGGATGGGGAATGGATTCAAGCTTGTCATGTGGCGACGATCTACCGGTCTTTTCACCCATTGCGCGTTACCCAGTTTGATCTTGTGTAGTGAGCAGGTTTGGCCTACACGTACCGCCCCCCCATCCGGCCCCATCCGGCCCCAGGTCAAAGCCCCCAGCTGGAGTCGTGTGGCCGCCCTGATGGGCCGTACGGCACCCAACGGCCCCGCCAACCAACCACCGCCGACCCAAGCACTACCGTCACCACCCCTAGCAGCGACGACAGCAGTGTCAGGCCCTCATCCCGCTCCGCTTGCACATCTTGCTCCGCTTTCTCAGCCGCTCCAACCAACACATGCACCTGCACCAGCAGCAGCACCAACAGCAGCAGCTGGGAGATCTTCGCAGCAGCATCCGGCGCCTTTCACATCACCGTCATCCGCTGCATCACTACCACAGCTTGTCGTCGTCCAACCGCCAACAACCACCACTAACCCGCAACCACCAATTCAAATACCACCACCACCACCACCACCACCACCTAGCAAACGCCCGGGCTGCTCCCTGAAACAGCAACAGCAGCTCCTTCTCTCACGCCTCTTGTTGCCGCAGAGGAGGATGCAGCCTGGGGCAGCACTGGCCTCTTCCTCCGCCACTGCCGCCGCCGCCGCGGCAGCAGCAGCAGCAGCAACCGTGACCCAGGGGACTGCTGCCGTTACCGCAGCCGCCGCCGCCGCTGGCGTTACGAGTCCCGCCGCCGTAACGCCTGCATGGTTGGAGGTCGTTCGGAAGCTGCCATCACGCGTGGGATCCGTCGCTCGCCTCAACGGCCCGCTGCTGCTACTGCTGACCGCTTGCTGCGTGAATGCTCGTACATTATACGACATTCTCGAGGAAGAGATCCGCCGTATCCTTATCGTACAACGGGGGGAGGATCTGACGACGGCTCTTGAGATGGCTCGCCGTAATGGCGACATTGCCTTGGAATCCGTACTGACGGCTGAATTATCGTACGGCAGCAGTGGTAGTGATGTTGATGGTCATACGAATGTACTACACGATCCGAATGGATCCAGGAAAGATCCGCGCCCGGATCACAATGTATCTGGTTCCGGATCGCCATCTGGGTCCCCAAGAACATCCGCAGTGGGCTTCTGGCTACGAGAGTTGTTGCAGGTGAGGAGGGCTTACAGTGCCGTTGAAATAAATTCATATCCTTGGTTCCTCTGTCATGATTACTTCTTCCGCTCTGCTGACGTGATCACTATTCGCCGGGATTGAATCTGCCCTCATCCTCCCCCCATTGCTTTGCCCTAACTTGTGGTCTCCTATGGTTTGGTATGGTCTTTGACCCCCCACCCCATTGTGAAGCCTAGTCATACAGCTCGTCAGCTTCCTCTCTTATCCCCCGCACCCCACCTCGTTTCCTTCTTTCTCCCACCCCACCCCACCCCATTCCTCCCCTCTCTAGGCCTGCGCCAGTCGGGCCTACCAGCAGCTCTGGTCGCTGCGGCTGCCGCTACCGCGCAGCGTCACCCTGCCCGGGGTGCCCGACCCCAGCGGCAGCGTGCCGGAGGGCTGCGTGGTGGTGGTGGCGCTCCCCCCACCCGCAGCAGCAGGAGGGGGAGGAGGAGGAGCAGCAGCAGCAGCAGCGAGATCACCGTCGCCGCTGCTGCAACCGCAGCATCATCCAACTGACAGCGGACGAGAGGTGGTGGTGTACAGGTGGGCGGGGAGTGTGCTCTGCCAGGTGCTGGGACGTAAACCGCACCGCGCTGTACCGTCCCATGGGTCACCTCTCACCCGTACATGGCCCACACCCCGCATCTTGGCCCGTTGACCGTACCGGTATCGCGCAACTGAAACACAGCTCCCATGATAAGGTACACACACGGCCAGTTATTTTAACACACGCATGACGGTACAGTTTACTCCCCCCCTCCTTCCGTCTCCTGCTGCCACCCTAAAGGTTCCCCGGCCTGCACCCTCGCGACCTGCGCAAGCTGCGACTCATCCCGCCCCCCCCGGAGCTGCTTCTGCAACTGGGGCTGTCGGATCCGGCGGCGACAGGCGCGTCCCAACCAGCAGCGGGTGCGGGCGATACCGTTGGCAATACCGTTGGTGGTGGTTGTTTCACCGTTGCTGGTGGTGCTGGTGCTGGTGGTGCTGGTGCTGGTGCTGTTAGTGCTGCTCTTGCTGGTGCTGGCGGTTGCCCCGGCGGTGGCGGCAGCATGCTGGTGTTCTCCACTCGGGGTGTCCGGCCGGCTGCCGGGGAGCTGGCGGGGGGGGACTACGACGGGGACCAGTTCACCCTCATCTGGGACCCGCGGGTGCGGTGGGGGGGGGGGGGGGAAGGGATGGGGGGTAAGGAAGGGATGAGTCGCGCAAGGAAGGGTATTGCTGCTGGGGAAAGGGCTGCACCCGATAGTTGTAAGCCTCGTATTAACTACGGAGGAAGGGCACCGTGTGTTGCAGTGTAGGTGTATCGGTTGCATCCTAAAGCTTGGCGATGCAGTCAAGTAGGGATGTGCAGCGCGGGGGCGCCCGGAGTTCCAACACACACACACAGTACGTTCCTACTCGCGGCCAGTTTTCTTAACACACACAGTACGTTCCTACTCGCGGCCAGTTTTCTTAACACACACACACACCAGCATCAGGCCCCACCACACCTGCTGCTGCTGACCCGCGTTGACCCCTGCTGCCCGCTGCAGGTGGTGCAACAGTTTGAGGAGTGCCCTCCTGGTGATCTGGAAGAAGAGGAAGGAGGGGCGGAGAAGGAGGGTGATGGCATGTACGCCGGCTCCTCCTCCTCCTCCTCCTCCTGCCGCGCTGAGCCCTTCACAGCGGAACGCGTGAGCCTGCAGCCGCCGCTGCCCCCGCTCAGCACTGCCACAGCACCTGCTGCTGCGGCTGCGGCTGCCTCGTCCTGCGCCAGCGGAATGGCAGCGGACAGGCAGCCACCGCAGCTGCCGCATCCCCAGCAACCCGAGGAGGACCGGCAAGACCAGCGGCAACAGCAGCCGCAATGGCATGAGCTGAACGCCCGTGTTGCCGCTGCTCCTGCTCCTGCTGCTGCTGCTGCTGCTGGCAAGCACGCAGCGGACACCGCTGCTGCTGCCGCCCGGGAGGAGCTGGCGGAGGCGGAGCTGGCGGAGGAGCGCTACCTGACACAGCGCTACCTGTTCTGCCACGAGGCTGCGGGGGCGGTGCAGGAGGCGTACAGGCTGTGGAGCTGGGCGGCGGACGAGTGGGGGGCGGACCACCCGCACTGCCATATGCTGTGCAGGTGGGGGTGGGGGGTCTGGGGGTGTAGAGTGGGGGTGCATGTGGGTGTAGGGCCGGGTTGAGATGGGTTTGGGATTGGGAGGGACGTAGGTTTGTGTAGGTGTGTAGGTTTGTGTAGGTGTGTAGGTTTGTGTAGGTGTGTAGGCGCGGTGGCGCGGTGGGGAGCGCACCCTCAAATCAGCCCTTCCCCAACCCCCCACAGCAAACCCTCATAGCACGTTTTCTTAGTTCCATACTGCAAACCCATGTTGTACTTCATGCGCCCATGTTTGTTACCTGTTGCCTTCTGCGCCTGCCCTCTTCCTCCTCCCCCTCCCCAGCTTGTACCAGGAGGCCCTGGATGCGCCCAAGAGCGGCTCCTTCCGCCGCATCCCCCCCCAGCTGCGGGAGCGGGTGCGACCCCCCCACTGGGCCCATGCGGAGCAGCTGCTGCCCCTGCCCCTGCCCCTGCCCCTGCCCCTGCCGCTGCCTCCTTCACCGCAGCAGCAGCAGCAGCAGCAAGTGCAGCACCCCGGTACACACGCAAGACAAGCAGCAGCAGCAGCAGGGGTGGTGGCGGCGGTGGGAGCAGGCAGTGGCGCTGCTCCCCCGGCGCTGCGAGGGCTGATGCAGCGGCGGCAGCAGCGGCTGCAGCTGCGGACGCAGGGGGCGGCTGGAGCTCCTGCTGGAGGTGGTGCGGAGGCGGCTGGTGGGGCGGCGGAAGCGGGGACGTCAGGGCAGAGCCGGGAAGGAGTGTCAGGACAGACGAACGGGGAGGAGTTATTCGTTATGCCAAGGTAACAGTGTGGAATCAGTCTCGTGCAATGGCGTAGTAAGCTTCGTACTACGGGTAGTACATGACCGGTAGTACATGCGCCTTCTCTGCGGTGGCCTTTGCGCATGGGCCCCCGCATCCCTTTCTCGCGACCCACTTTTCGCAAATGCGGTGCGCCTCCCGGCAGGGGCCTGCCCTCCCTGCCGCCCTGGCAGCAGCAGCGCATGCGCACATCCACGTCCGTGCTCGCTGGGATGTACGAGGTAGGGAGCGAGATTGAGCGAGAAACCTACATGTGTTTGCCGTGGAGGTGTGCGTGCGAGGTGCTTGCGTTCATGTCGGTGATTACCGGTATGATGGAAGCTCTCAGTAAGTGCGGATACCGCTGTGCTTGTCGCCTGTAGTCCTTATTACAACATTCTTCTGCCCCTTCCACTGCTGCCTACCTACGCACGTGCGCGTTATTACAGTTACTCCGACACCCCGAGTACCGGCTGCCCCAGTTGGACCCACGGGTCATCGAGCAGGATCTGCCGCTGGTACGGCACGCCAGCCAGGTGCTGGCGACCCACGGGTCACTCGTGCGGCAGCGACTGCAGGACCACTGGCGCCGCGCGGCGCTGGAGCTGGAGCAACTGACGTTTGACGCGGTTCGCGCATCGGTGCGTGGGACTCCCCTTTATTGACACGTTTGCGTCATCAGAGACGTAGCTTCCAACATACATTATGGTTGATAGCAAAACACGTCTAGGGCTCTAGTATCGATCCGTCAACCCTCTTACCTACGGCTATCTTCGCCTTCCTGCTTTTTTACTTCGTCTGAAAGTGTAACAAAGGCACCCATCCCGCACCTTCCCGTGCACATCCCACCTCCCCCCAGGAACCTGATCCCTCCCTCCTCTACCAGCACCAAAGAGACCGCCAACAACGCCCCGCAGGCAGCAGCAGTTACGGCTACAGCTACGGCGGCGGATCTGGCAACAGCCCAAATGCTGCTGCCGTACATTCCCCCTCATCGTCGTACCTTCACCCTGCCCTCCTCACCGCTGCTTCCATCATGACGACGAAGACGACGACGACAAACAGGGTGGCCCATGCACACCGCCAGCATGCCGACCCCCAGTCGTCTCTTGGTGACACGACTGCTACTGCCGCCTCTGCCGCCGCCTCCGCTGCTCCCGCTTGCTGCTCCCCCTCCTCCTTAACCGCTTCCCGGACGTCCGAGCAGTCCCCGTTCAGCTGCCCCTGCTGGTCCACCCTGCTCCGCATGCATCCACCACCGCACCCCCCTCCCCCCCCGTCACCCCCTACCCCTCCTCCTGCCTCCCCACCTGCCGTTGCTGCAACCGCTCCCACCACACCCCTGCCACCACCACTACCACCACCGCCAACAACAACAACCTCACCACCACCACCATTATCATCACCACCACCACCACCATCACCATCACCAACCACTCCTGCCGCTCCGTACCCCACCACCTCCCTGTGTCCCCCCGACCTCTGCCGCCAAGCCGGCGCCTCCGGCCGCCCCTGCGCCCAGCAAGCCGCGGTGAGCTGTCTGACGGCTCTCACCGAGCAGCAGTACGAACGGGCGGTACGGCAGGCGTCAGTGCAGGGCGGGCGGGTGAGGGGGGCGGCGGGGGGGTACCGCATGCGGCTGCTGTGGCAGCTGTTTGGGCGGGTGTTGCCCGAGGTGAGGAGGCGGGCGGCTGGGGGGTAGGTGCTGGTGGTTTGTCGAGTGGTTGGTTGGTTGAGGGGTGCTTGGTTGAGTGGTGGGTGGTCCAGGTGCGTCGAGTCAGGTGGGGGGTGTCCCCAGGCAGCGGTTGTATTGCGAACATGTGAACGGAACTTGGAGCAGGCGACCCCTGCTTCATTAGGTCTGCATGTGTGCTAAGGAAATTGGCCGCGAGTGCATATGTTATACTTATAATGCATGCATGCATGCAAGAGGGAGGGGGAGGGTGATGTTGCGCATGGCATTGTGATTTTCTGTGCGATGCGTGTACGGCAGGTGATAACAGGTATAAGCATTCTTACAAGCTTGGTTTGCTGGTGGTCTGGATTTAGTTTGCTGAAGTTGTGTTATTGAGGAAGGCTGAGGAAGGCCTGAGTAAGACCTCTGATCCCGCTTGCTTGGCAGCGTCCGACACCAAACATGACTTCAATGTTGATCATGGTCAACCACGATCCATGATGCGGCGCTGATGTAAACACCTCCTTTCCGCTCTTGTTACATGTCCGCCCCCCCCTCTCTCAAGTGCCATCCCCGCGGCCCAGCCCCTGTAACACAGCAGCTGGCTGAGCCACCATGCATGCAGCCCACATCCGCATGTTGTCGACCTCCTTTCCGCAACCCCACACCAACCACGCCCACCTCAGCAGTCGCAGCAGGTGGGGACGCTGTCGGCGGCCCAAAGCCCGGCAACCTCTCAGCCGCAGCCTCCACCGCCCCTCCTGCTCCCCCGCTCGCCATGCCTTCCCTCGCTGCAACCCCACCTCTCCCCCCCTCCACCTCCTCCTCGGCAGCACCCGCGACCGACGTGCCTCCGGAAGCCGCAACGCCGGCTGCTGCCTGGGATATGGGCTCCGCTAAAAAGCTGAAAACAGGTCAGGATTTGTTGGAACGGCGACTGAGCTGCCCCCTTCACCAAGTCAACAAACTCTTTCGGCGTGTCATTGGAGTACTGACCGCATGTACATTAGCTTCATGCCGACACACGCATGCGGCATTGCGCGCACTTGCCGAGTTACCCCTCTTGAGCAACATCCATCCATGTGGGGTTAGAGTCGACCCCCCCCTACACCTAACTGTGCATTACGTCAATGTGCCACAGTCGCCGGTCCCAAGGCAATGTGGGATTGTGCGGCAATTTCGTCCAGTCGCCGGATGGTTGGCTGGCTGGGTCTGGGCTGGGCTCTGGGTGTTGACAAATGTCAAGCCGTAAATGAAAGTTTACAGCCTCATCACTCCTTATTGACAGAACTGACCCCTGGCCGAAACCAGTAAGCAACGTTAGCCCGAAGGACCACAGATTGCTAGGCAACATACCTTGCTTATCTCCTCGCTGTGTGGGGCGACGTGTTTCCCTTAGTGCATAGCAGAGGGAAAAACGTCGCCCCACACAGCGAGGAGATAAGCAAGCAAAGAAACGAAACCCCATACCATAGCCTCAGTTATACAGGCGGTCCATGCCCATCTGCTGCGGCAGCAACATGAAAATGAATCATATTGCGTACGGTTTTTATTGCAAGAGGATGCCTTTCCTCACAGGAACTGCCAGGATATGCGGGGCCACAAGACCCAAAGGTGCAAACCAAACCTTTCAGTCTTGCGGCCCCTCACATCCTGGCAGCTCCTGTGAGGTAAGCCATCCTCTCACAATAAAAAGCATACGCAAGCAATAAGACATCCCCCGACTTATTCATGCTACTACATTCAGTAACGCGTTGTGGAAGCATGACACACCAGCTAACCACCCAAAACACACAACGTGCAAGCTCCAACCTACGGAATAGGCATGTCAATGAAACGCAGTAGCGTGGCTGTGCCCACGGTAACACACTCCAAACACGGTAACATGGCATTCCGGAATATGGCGGTATATTGCGCTGACAAGTGCAAGCAACAAGCCGTGTCTCCCCCCACTACCTTCAGCCACCCTAGCTACCAGCCAGATGGCGATGTTGTTGGTGATGGCGAGCATGGCGCCATAAAAATCCTCTCCTGCCATCCCTTGTTACTGCCCGACCTCTGCTTGCCATATACTCCAAACCCATTCCCTAGACCAGGAAGAAAACGAGGGAAAAACGCCCCTCAGCGAGCAACGGTGTGGAACCCATAGCCGGGTGTGCTGCCACGAGGCATGGGTTCACGTGCACATGCACTGATCCCATGTGCATGTTAGTTTGCCTGTCATCCCAACGCCAACAGATGGCCTCTTGCTGCCCTCCCTCAACATCCTCCTCCCCATTGACCAAGTGAGGTTAAGCGGTCGCATTACTCCTCACATTCCAGTACACAGTCGCAACAACCCATACCTCCCCTTCCCGCCGGCAGGTGTCTAGCTTTCCTAAGGAATCCTCGCGACCCTCACTCCCAAACGTACTGCACCCTCCGCTCCTCCATGCTCGCCGTTCCCGCCCCCTCGTCTGCCGTACGAGTTGCAACCAGGCGCACAAGACAGGTTGGCATCCAACAGTTGCCGTACTAGCGCCCGTAGCGCTGCCGTACCACCCGAGATCTTCAGCTCCTCCAGTTTGCTGTACTCCAGGAAGGCGTGGCAAGGGGGGGAAAAAGGCACGAGGAGCGATGGTAATGGTGAGGTAGAGGGCGGTGGCAGTAGTGGCGGCGCTGAAGGCCAGGACGGTAATGAGGGAGGAGATGGAGGTGCAGGGGAGGGAGGAAGGTCCTTTCTGCTAGGGAGGGGTCGGGCAGCGAGGGACGGGGGGGAGCTACCGAGCATTGGACGCCGGGCCGGGTGAGAAGTGAGGAGGACGCAGCTGCTGCTGCAGGGTCTCTGAAGCAGCTCCGTTACCGTTCGCAGACGAGATAGACAGGGAGGAAAAAGTTAGTAACTGAGAAGTGCAGGGAGGAGGGGCGGGAATTGGCAAGCATGCAGTACGACGTGAGGTAGCATGGAATGAGTACAGAAACAGGAAGGAGGTGTGCACACGTTATTCGTATGCTGTAACGAGGGTGCAAGGAGCCCGGGGGGACGGACCAATGCTACTGTGCAGTCGTCTCACCAACACACCTAAGCCCGTATGATCATCCACCACTTGCTGCACTAAGTTCCTATAACCGCTCCCTCACGACCCCACCATTGTCCCAATGTGCGCACTCACCAAATCACAGAAAGCGGATCTTCACCGTCTTGAGCGGGTAGTTCACCTCAAGCAGGCACTTGTTGTCCGCCAGGAAATCTGCGCCAAGAATGGGGATGTCCCTGTGGTTGCTGTGCTCCCCCTGGTCGCAAAGCCGCACTCGTGTGCGGCTGAATCCGCCGAGGTTGACGATGGCTGCCTTCGGGATGGTGTCGCAGCCCAGGGCAGTGAACACGCTCGGGCTGAGCTCCGTGACCGGCGCGCTGGTGTCGACCAGCAGGAAGACGTTGACTGCTTTGCCTTTACACAGCTGCACCGGCAGGCAGACGAGCGGCCGGCGCGCCGGACCCCAGAGGATGCCCTCAACCTCTTGCTGGACATCAATGCTGTCGGCCTCCGACAAGTACTTTATTCCCAGAATGTCAGAGACCTTCGCGTACAGGTTGGTCTCCTTCAGGTCAAGGAGCTCGTAAGGGCCGCCTCCGAACATCCCTCGCTGAATCTCCACCAGAGGAATGATGGCGGCGTCTATATGCGACAGCATAGGGTCCTTGTCAGGCATCGCTGACCGCTGGCTCGTCAGTCGTTGCAGGCTCTCCTCTAGCGACGTGTCGGGCCCCAGTCCGTTACGAAATGGCTCCGGCAGTTGGTTGACAATGACCTCGAGAGCACGAGACGCTCTGGATGCGACCGGCGACTCGGGGTGCTCTGCAAGCCACCGCAGCGACTTCTTCGTCGGCGACTCCATTTTCCGTGTTACACACGTACAAAAGCGACAAGGTTAGGTTTTGAAAGCCAGCAAGTACTGAACTGTAGCAGTGCCCCAAATCACGAGCGGTCCGGGGTGCCCATGTTAATCGCCGTTTGCTGTTACGAACAAGCAACTCAGCCAGTATTAACGAAATGAGGATTTGCGGTATATTGCGCCGGTTTGAGCTTTACAATGCAGCTACGTGGTGTCGATGTCAGAGATTGAGCGCAGAGTTTACAAACAATGAGAAACAACCACCCAATACTTGGCATAAATCCCCTGAGTCGGTCTTTGCAAAAGGAAGCTCTTCTTAGCGGTTCTCGGTCGGCCTGTATGGCGCCAAGACGTACGGCGGTCCGGACAGAGAACGGGCATCTTACTGCCTCGCTTGTTATCATGCACGCCCCTTCGTTGCAGCAGCAGCAGTCGCAGCAGGTGGGGACGCTGTCGGCGGCCCAAAGCCCGGCAACCTCTCAGCCGCAGCCTCCACCGCCCCTCCTGCTCCCCCGCTCGCCATGCCTTCCCTCGCTGCAACCCCACCTCTCCCCCCCTCCACCTCCTCCTCGGCAGCACCCGCGACCGACGTGCCTCCGGAAGCCACAACACCGGCTGCTGCCTCTGGCGCCAAACCGCACTTCCCTCCTTCCATTCCATCGTTATCATCATCACCACCACCAGCAGCAGCCCCATCCGAGCCGCCCCGCTGCTGCTGCCCCCGCTGCTGTACCTGCCGCAGCTCCCGTGCCAGCAGCGACACCGCCCGGCGGGTGGCTGCCACATCGGGCACATCCAGCTGGGGGGAGGGAAGGGAGGGAAGGGAGGAAGGGAATGGGGAATAGGGCGGGAGGAGGAGGAAAGTGAGGAGGCGCATGGACGGGGAAGAAGCTTCGGGGCGGGGACCATGTAAGTAGTGATGCTGCATTCGCATGGTGAGGAGGCTCACAGGCCGTGAAGCGCAGGAACCCTTCATTGCCACCGTTCTCCATTCCTAGCAACACGCCCCTGCATTCCTAGCAACACGCCCCTGCAGAGCCCTCCCCGCTCCTCTCCCCATACCTCACCTGCTCCAGTACCTCCGTATCCATAGCCTCCAGAGCTCCCAAAACGACCCGTGGGTCATGCCGCTGCACCTCAGACAACGGCCCCCGGCCTGCCACGTAGGCAGCAACCGCGTCAAACGCCGCCTCGGTTTCAGAGCCCATGCCATCACCACCGCCGTCACCACTGTCCCCGCTGTCGCCGCCCCAGCCGGCGGCGTGACGCAGCTGCCGTACCACCTGCCGTACCCCGCCTCTCAGCAGCGCCGCCGCCTCCACCACCAACACCAGCTGCGGTGGGGGGGGTGGTGCGGTGGCGTCAGGGTGGCGACTGGGTGTTAATGATGCCCGGGAGGCTGCCGGGCTGGTCTTGATCCGCCGCATGGTTGAGCGACGTACGATCATGACACATGGATAGCCCAGTCAAGATACGTGCTGGTCGTGTACCACTTCAAACATTACGCGCCCAGTCAAGAATACAAAGCTTATGAAAAATAACTCTGAGAACACCCCCACCTCCACCACCACCTCCGTACACCGTCGTACCTTGGCCACCCCCACCACCACCCGCGCTATCCGCCGAGCCCACCGCTGCCGCTGCCGCCGCGGCGCCACACGTGCCGTACGAACCCCCGCCGCCGCCGCCGCTGCTGAGTCATCCCCCGTGCCGGGCAGTATGTCGTACCGTAACCGAGTGGCCCCGGGGAAGGTTCTGAGAGTGGGTCGGGCGGGGGTGTGCGGGTCCTGCAGGGGTACTGCCAGCTGGCTGTGGAGGAGGAGGTAGGCCTGCCGGGGGGTGGTGGGTGGGGGAGTGCGGGTGAGGAGTGGGGGCGTGAGGGGGGAGAGGTGTATGGCAGCATGGGTCGTACGGCATGGATGTACGGAGCTGCGGAAGTCATGGGTTTAGGCAGGCGCTGGGCGCGGCTACTGGGCACAGAGGTGGGCATTACACGGTAAGCAAGCAACCAGGCGGGCAAGCGGAATTGTTGGAGACGGGTGCAGGGTGCACGTACCCGCATGCGATAGTCGTTTGGGGGGGTGTCTGGTGCCCGGGCCAGAGCTGCCTCGCATACGTCCGCAAAGGTATGGCAGGGCAACACCTGTTCAGGAGGAGCAGGAGGAGGAGGAGAGCAGGGCAAGGTTGGATGATGGGTCCAAATGGGTCCTGGGCTACGGGCTCTGATGGGGTGGAAACGGGTCAGGATGACCTCAAGCTATGCCTTTTTCACGCTGGGCGTCCTGCTTACGCAGCCCGAGGCCCGAGGCCCGAGTCATACCCACCTCAATTGGCAGGTCAATTACAACTGGTGTGCTTTGCCCCAGCAGCTGCACCGTCACCAGCATATAACCCGGGGGTGGCGCGCCAGAGCGCGAACACGATGGAGCTTCAATCGTCGCGGTTTCGCCTTGGCGTTCCCCGCCCGACTCCATGCTGCTGCTGGCGACATCGATGCCATCAGTTTCGACTGGAGATTTGGTTACAGAGTTAGACGCCCCAGGTTCGTCCATGGCTTCTTTCTACTTGCTAGGAGATGGCGCCGCCGCGACAGGGATCACAAAGGAAAAAGGGCTATACGGCAACAGGTCATACAGGGCAATCAAAAGGCCAATTTACGTCCTGCGCTTCAGGAGCTACACGATTTTCGTTAAGCGGCATGGGGTTTCGGAGGCAACGTTTGCATCTACCGCATGTTCTACGCTATCCCTGGCATGCAGGTGTTGCATAAGCGTGCTCGGCGTGATACGTTTGTATTGTAAAGCCCCTATTATTGTGTAAGTCTCTGCGATGGCGGAACACCCATGTGGAATCGAGCCGTGGGGAAACTATTACATGAGAGGAGGCGGTCCAAATATCCGCGACGCTGGTAGGTAGAACCCTTAACCAGCGTGCTGCCGTCCCAACACTTCTTGGGGCCCACTTGCATGCTTGTACATCCTAACTGCGGCCGTCGCCCTAGCACCGTCTTTCTTATGTGCCGCTTGCGCTTCCGTTTTGCCAACCGCAACTTCAAACATGTAAACCCATAGCCATAGGAACCTCGACCGGGTCACGTGCCATCGCGCCGCACGCATCGACTCTCCCTCTGACGCTGCGCCGCAGGCCTCGGCAACCTGTCCGTGATAAATGATGCGCTCATGCTCGAGGTCCTAACCAGCGGCGTGCTGCGCGCTCCCGACCTGGGTCGTCTAGCGCTAGTCAGCAAGGCGCTGTACTGCTTCGCCAACCTGGAAGACCTGTGGAAGGGTCTGGTGATTGAGGTGCGCGTTACCAGCGGCTTGGTTTGACTTGCCACACCGCCATGTTTCGGCAGGACATCCTTCCCTCCTTCCCTGCCTGCCGTACACCTCATTTTCAACCTCCTCCCGCCTTCCCCTCCTCCAGGAGCTGGGCGGAGGCTTCACCTGGTGCGGCAGCTGGCAGCGCACCTACCTGGTGTCCACAGGCCTGCTGCCGCCGCCCGGGTCGCCGTCCGGGGGGGAGCAGGCGGGCAGCAGCGGTGAGGAGGACAGCAGCAGCGGCAGCGGCTGCAGTGATGAAAGCGAGGAGGAGGAGGAGGAGGAGGAGGGAGAGGAAGAGGAAGAGGAAGAGGAAGAGGAAGAGGAAGAGGAAGAGGAAGAGGAAGAGGAAGAGGAAGAGGAAGAGGAAGAGGAAGAGGAAGAGGAGGAGGAGGAGGAGGAGGAGGAGGGAGAGGAGGAGCCGCCCGCAGTGTCGGCCGTGGCGGTGGTTGAGGAGGGCGACGAGGAGGAAGAGGAGGAGGGGGGTTCCAGGCGGCGGAGTAAGCGGCTGAAGCTGTGTAACGGTGCTGGCCCTGCTGCTGTTGATGGCAGCGGCACCTCACAGCAGCAGCAGCAGCGGCACGAGGGCCTGGAGCCCCTCCAGCAGCAACAGCCGCTGCAGCAACAGCAGCAGCAAGAACAGCAACAAGAACATGCAGAAAAACAGCCCCAGCAGCCCCCCGGCAAGCGGCGGTCGCTGCTGCGGTGTGTTCGCGGCTGCGGCCCGCAGCGCTACCTGCGAGTGCGGGGCCTCTACTCGGACCTGCTGTACCAGCCCTGGTTCTGCGCCACGCTGGAGCCGCCGCGGGAGTGGATGGCGGTGGACAACATCGACCGGTGAGGGGGGATACCGGTAACATGGAGAGGGGTGTGCGGAGGAGGTGCCAGAGGACTGGGGTTTGAAACCGCCTCACCCCCCCTCCCCCCTCACCCCCCCCCTCACCCCTCACCCCCCCCTCACCCCTCACCCCTCACTCCCCCTCCTCCCTGCAGTCGCGCGGGCCTTACTCCCGAGCAGTTCCGCCAGGAGTACGAAATACCCAACCGACCCGTCATCTTGACGGTACGGCAGCTAACGGCAAACAGCATTGCAGGGTTTTGATGGGAGGATACCTTACTGGGTGGGACGAGGGTGTGCCTCATCAGGATGATAAAGACGTTGCCGTGCAGGCGCGCAGCAGCAGCGCTGTGCACTGTACACGCTCCTCGCCTCCTCCCTCGCCCCACCTCCCCCCCCCTCCACGCTTGCCACCTAGTTGACCATTGCCACTAAAACGAATCGGGTATGCTTCTCCCCTCCCCCCCCCCCGCCTCCCCCCCCCTCAGGACGTGATGTCCCAGTGGCCCGCCGCCTCCAAGTGGCGCCCCGACTACCTGGCTGAGGTGTTTGGGGGGCAGGAGGTGATCGTGGGTGAGCGGGCTTGGGGGGGAAGGGGGAGAGCGGGGAGGAGGTGTTTGGGGGGCAGGAGGTGATCGTGGGTGAGCGGGCTTGGGGGGGAAGGGGGAGAGCGGGGAGGAGGTGTTTGGGGGGCAGGAGGTGATCGTGGGTGAGCGGGCTTGGGGGGGGGATTAATAGGGATGCAGATTCCGCTTGGGGGGGGGAAAGCGGGGAGGAGGTGTTTAGGGTGGGGTAAAGAGGGAACAACTAACTGAGTGAGGGATAAGGCGTCACATGGGTGTCAACATGTGAGCCAGCCCGACCCGCCCAGCCCGAATGAGTTAAGCCAGTTTGGGTGGGGGGGGGGTCGTTGACTCCTGCAGTGGGAGGGTGGAGGGGTGCGCAGGCAGGTCTCCTCGCCCTCCTCCCTCCTCTCCCCGGGACCCTCGTCCGTCTCCTCCTTCCCGTCCTGCTCAGCCCCCCAACCCGCACCCTCCTCCCCCCCACCCCCAAACCCACCCTCCCTCCCCCCCAGGCAACATGCCCATGCCCTTCCCCACCTACCACTCCTACTGCTCCTCCAATCGGGACGAAATGCCGCTCTACCTCTTCGACCGCCACTTTGCAACCCGCGCCCCCGCACTGGCCGCCGACTACTGGCCCCCGGAGCAGTTTGGGGAGGACCTGTTCGCGCTGCTGGGGCAGGAGGGCAGGCCGGATTACAGGTGGGGGGGGAAGTGGAAAGAGGGGCTGGGGTGGCTGCTGCGTGCTGTGTGTTTTGCCGTACACCCTGACTCCCGGCCACAGCTCCCCCCGCCTCACCTCACCTCGCCTTTACCCCACCCGGTGCACTACCGCCCCGCTCAGTAACCAACCGACCTCTCACAGCTCTTTTCTCACCCCCAACCACCACCACCTTCACCCCCCCACCACTACCATCATGGTTGAGTTCATTTCTCCCCCCTTTCCCCGCACCACCACCTCCCCTTTCAACTATTCCCCTCCCGCCCCCCCCTAGGTGGCTCATCTGGGGTCCCGCCCGCTCCGGCTCCTCCTTCCACGTCGACCCCAACGCCACCTCAGCCTGGAACGCGCTGCTGTGGGGCGCCAAGAAGTGGGTCATGTACCCGCCCGGGGTGGTGCCACCGGGGGTGCACCCCTCGCCGGACGGCGCGGATGTGGCCACTCCGCTGTCCCTCACGGAGTGGTTTGTCAACTTCTATGCGGCAACCAAGGAGACCAAGGTAGGGGGTGTGGGGGCTGGGGTGATGAGCAGGAGGCTGATGAGGACTGTGTGACGAAGCAGCAGCTGGTGAGGTGGAGAGGGGAGAAAAAGAAATTCCAATGTGTGGTGTGGTGTGGAGAGGAGCGGGGGAGGAGGGGGTGTTCCGCTCACATCTCTTGGTGTTCCCCAAACCCCTGCCCCGGGGTGCATCCACCTGCACCACCTGCTCCTACGGTGTGTATCCTGGCCGGCGGGGTTACACACCCTCCCCAACAACTGGGCCTTCAGTATCTTCTTCCTGGCCGCCCGCCCGCTGCCTCACCCACCAGCCCCCCATGTTGCAAACACCATGATGATGCCTTATCACACGGTCAGTTAGTTGTTTCCTCTTTACCCCCCCCCCCCCCCGCACCCGGCCCCCCTCCCCAGGTCCGTCCCATCGAGTTCGTTGCTCGACCCGGGGAGCTGCTGTTCGTCCCTCGGGGCTGGTGGCACTGCGCACTGAACCTGGAGGTCAGAGGGGGGCGGGGAGGAGGGAGGGGAGGGGTAATGGCATTGTCCGCAAGGGGTGGGGGACGGAAGTGAGGAGGACGACGACGAAGGAGAAGGGGGTGGAGGGAACATAATAAGAGGGAGCTCCCTTCCCTCCTCTCCCCTTCCCCCATCCTCCCCCCCCTCCTCCCCTTCCCCCCCTCCTCCCCCCCAGGACAGCTGCGCCCTCACGCAGAACTTCGTGTCCGCTGTGGGGCTGTCCGCCACACTCGCCTTCCTGCGCTCACGCAGACCGGAGATGGTGTCGGGGTGCGCTCATGAGAGCAGGTGGGGGCGGGGGAAGGGGGGGGGAGGGCAGCGGGACAGCGGGAGCACACATGCTCTCCCTCACACGCATGCCCCTAGCTGATGTGCGTCTTGTCTCAGGCTTCCGGCATTTCACACCCGTGCTCCAAGGGTCTGTTGACCCGCCAATGCTCTCCCCAATTCTCTCTCCCTCCTGGCTCCTCACGTTGTCCCGTCCCGCCCCTCTCCCCGCCCCTCTCCCTCCTGGCAGGTGCAATCTGTACGACAGGTTCGTTGCGGCACTGCGGCAGCACCGGCCGGACATCCTGGCAGCGGAGGAGGCCAAGCAGGAGGAGGCGCGGGCGCGGGCGAGGGAGGCGAACAGGTGGGAGGAGGGTGAAGGGGCGGGGAGAGGCTGGAAGGGGGGAGGTACCCGTAGACCGTTGGCAACGAGCCTGGCTGGAATCGATGGGGAAGATGCAGCTGTGCCAGGCGACTGAAGCATACAACCCTAGACCTTTGCTAACACGTCGAGAACGCTGACCTAATCTTCTGCTGTGCGCCCCGCCTACTTCCCTTTTTGATGCATCCCTCATGCTTCCCTCGCTCGAGCAGGCTCGCAGCGCTGTTCCGCGCACCTGCGGCGGCCCCTCAGCAGCCCCAGCCCTCACAAAGCGCTACCCAGACAGCGAGAGCGGCGGGTGGCAGAACGCAGCAGGAGGGGCAGCAGCAGCAGCAGCAGGCGGCAGCTGTTGCGGTTGCAGCAAACGGAACCCCAGGCACGGGGGAGGAAGCGACCCACGGGATTGCTGCTGCTGCTGGTGGTGCTGCCGAAGGGGGGTTGTTTACGTTTGGGTTCAGCGTTGGGGCTGGTGTGAGTGCTGATGGAGGCACGGCAGCGCCGGCGGCAGATGCCGGGGGGTTCAAGTTTGGGTTTGGTTTCTGAGCGGTTCTAGCTCCTTTCAGCTCACCAGCTGGGCACCCAACCGCAAGCAGTGCATGCTACTTGACCACTTAGCCAGGCATTCATTCCTTCTTGAAGTTACCGTGGAGGCTAATGAGTGGCTGTTATGTGGCTGTGTGTGCGGGAAATGTACACATTGGTTAATAGCTTGCGAACAGCCCTTGTATGAGCTGGTATTGTTGTGCTATCTGCTGGCAAGAAGATGTGGTGAAGATAGATGTAAGATTTCCAAGATGACGTTGTAGTTTACAGGCAACACGGATGTGTAAGGGAATGCACCACAGTACGGGATACACACACCACACTTAACCTTACATTAGGCTGTCTGTATACCGGCATAAACATAAGTCAACACACCATACACGCCATATAGTACACATCTGCTTCGTCAGCGTTGTCGGGCACTAACTCATCAACACAACCGCCAAACCGCAGAGCATGTTACTCGTCCAATGAGTCCCATTAATTACCCAGCTAGGCGCCAGTAGTAGTTTACATGCCGACCGCCAACTCCTGGCAATGACCCACGGGTCACCTAACCGCACTCAAAATGACACAGGCGTCACACAGACAACTGTTGCCGACATGGGTGTACGAACATGACACAAGACACCACCGGGTAATCCACAAAGACCACAACGTAATCCGGCAAGCCTTTTGACCATCTGCAAGCAACCACGCGATATTGGCCACTACACCCCAGAACTGTGTCTGTGCTACTGCTCGAGCCGCAAAAGTACTCTAGCCAACAGCCCGACCACGACCCCGCAATCCGCATGAGACACAGTGCCGTTATGACCAACAGTGCAGTGAAGGTGTACAGAGCGGCCTTGAGGAAAGGACTCGATAACTCCAGCAGGTTCACAGCAACCCCTACCATCGTGACAATAATCCAGCCCATACTGCCCAAATTGCGGTGTGGATAGCAGCAACGGTACCCGTAAAGCATAGCAGCGCGCACCTTGACAGAAAACGGCAGACAATCACAACGAGCCATGCCAGGCGTCCCAATCGATCCATGACCCCTGCTTTCGAATCGTCCCACCGCCGACCTGGATTTGTTGAACTGAAGAATATGATGACGGCTCCACTGCAGAAGGTGCAGATGGCCACGGGCAGCCGCCAGGTCGCCTCCATGCGGTTCCAAAAGAGGATTTCTGCCGGTGGTAGCACCAGCAGGACGAACATTGAAAGCACCGCCAACATCACTCTCCGCGCCGGGGTCAAGCCCTGCAGTGAAGATTGGGACGGGGGGAGGGAGGGAGGGAGAGGGGCAGGGAGGGGGGTTGGAGGGGAAGGAGGGATGCCACAAGAGTCGGTGCTGCACGGGCAGGACCCATGCAAGCTAAGAAGCACGCCTGCGCTGCTGGCTTGTCTGGCAGCAACAAGAAGTACAGCTTCCCGCTCAACGTTTCCACAACAGCCAACCCTGTGCACATTAGCTAGAGGACGCAGCATCGGTGCATCTATCCTGGCACCCACCTGGAAGCCGCCTGGGGTCAGGTAGCGCAGAGCAGCTCGCCTTTGCTCATCGCGCAAACGAACTGTGGCGGCAAGCCGCTGCGCCTCTGCAACGATGAGCAGAACTTTGTTTCAGGGAACCAGTTCAAGCTTGCCCAAAAGGTTCCTCCTGCTGGGTGCTTACCGGCTTCGTCGTCCATTCGTCGCACGTGGTAAGTCCGCCGCCTCGGTTAGGAGCTGACTGCTAAGCAATATGGGCGGCGGCTAGCGGTGGCTATATCCTTACGAAGCTGCGTTGTATGCACTTGATATCAGGCTAAAACGGCAAGCAGCAATTGCGCATTGTTGTCCCCGTAGCTCGTTTCCCGAATCGTACCTTGATCGTAGAAAACGTATACGTAGTGTACCGTTTCGGAGGAGCGAAGCGGACTGTAGGCAATTGCGCATAAATGTACTTTACCTGCACTAACTGGCCTGCTGCATTTTACCTTATTGCCGGTGCTGTACGGGTGATGCCGTAAACTAAAAGTCGCCTGACCCACACCACCTTGGAGCTCGTCCCACCCATCGTCCCATGGGTCGGTCCAGGCTCCAGAGCGGTGTTGCGCACCGCACCTAACACCATACTGAATTATCGCACGCATAAATTTAGAGTCGCTACTAGGAAAAACAGAGTGCCGTACATCGTGCCATCCGGCTAGCGGTCCGAGGTGCGCTGATTCATCGGTTTAGCCAACATTGTTCTCTCTGGATCCCGATTCCAGGCTGTAGCAAGGCCCACCCCAAGCATCTTGGTAAATTGGAGGGAAATTGTAATGGCGATGGTTTTTTCGAACTTGGCGTCTCTCAGATTGCTGGCATTTGCAAGAGCTTCTTGTGATATCAAGCGGCGCACGGGGAGGGGGGCTAGGGGGTAGGAACGAGGGGAGTATGTGTGCTGCATGCAGATGTGTGATTGGGAGGGGGTGGCATGGGAGGTGAGGGCATTGTGGAAAAATTGGCGTGCGGCTGGGTGCGCGGTAGGGGGTAGCTAGGGTGGTTGTGAGGCACTGGGCGCTCCGCACCTGCAGCGTCTTCCGCTGAGCAAGGTAGCTTTCTTGTATGCATGATGTTCGGAGCCTGCCGCCCTTGATTGCAGGCGCTGCGAGAGGCCGTGCTGTGGAAGCAAGGAAAGCACCTGGCCGGAAGGTGAGTGGGTTCGAAGCCTTCACATTAAAAGGTTCGGCATGGGGCATAAGGAAATATATCTTGCCCCTTCCCCTGCGTACAAAAAGCTTGTCGCTAGCAACGTCCTAACTACATGCATGTGGTGCACCCTATACGGTGGTCAGCAAGGTACTTGCTTGCTACAGTTGTTCTAACCATGAAGCAGAGGCGCTTGGCTGTTTTCCCACCAAGTCTCTCGTAAGCACGGACAGTACCACCACGGACAACTGATGCCCCAAGACATGAATAGCAGTACGTAAACAGGTACCAAACAGCACAACAGCACTAAAAAGGACACTTCAAGGGTTTCGCTTCCCATATATATTTCAGGTAAGGCAGGCAAACAGGTGAACAACCGACCACAGTCTTGAATACACAGTGCTGAGGTTTTGGCGTCCCAATGGTGTCTGCATGCCACCTGCCTATGAACTACGACTAGTCATGCGTTCTACCCACAGCCATGATGAAGATGCACATGGGCTGCAACCTCTGTTGAGAAAATTGCAGGACTGAATGACGCCCAATGGTCCTAGATACAAACCCGCACTCTGAGCACCGCCAACCAGCAATACGAACTGGGGCAACAAAAGAAAGAAGTCTATGCTACAATACAAGCATCAGGCAGAAGCTGCGGCGTCCTCTGCCTGCCGGCGCCCGCCCTGACCCGTGGGGTTCGGCTGCCCGGGGGCAGGGGAAAATTATGAAGCAAGTGCAAACAACTAGAGTCCCAATCCCATATCCGGGGACAGGGGGATTAAAGCAACCATGGCCCAATTCCATGTCCCGTGGCCTTTAGGAGAGGAAACTGACGGGGGAGTAAAGAGGAAACAGTACTGACCGTGTGATAAGGCATCATCATGGTTTGCAACATGTGAGCCAAAAACTGACGGGGGAGGGGGACGGCAGTCCGTCAGCTGCGGCGGCCGCCCTCTGCTCCGCTTGCGGGTCCTCACCCGCTATTGCCTCCCCCGGCAGACCAGAGCCGCTGCGGTAGCCCTCTCAATCCTTCTTGATCTTCTCAGAGGGCCGCTGTACAGGGTGAGGGAGGGAATCCAAAGCTTACCAAGCACTCAAAACGGTTGAAAAGCAAGCAGACAACGAAGCGGCAATGAGGCTGATTTCAGGTTTCATAAGGACGGGCTGATGTAAGGCAGTAGAGGTGGCTGCAGCATCGCTTGGGGCGTGGAAAGCCATATCGGGTTGGCCCATGAACAACCTTTCCGATCTAAAGGAAGGTGGGCAAAACATGGTAAAGAGCACGTGGAAAGCGATTTCAGCAAGTCTACGAACTGTGAGACATAAGGTGTTGTTGAGCGATTGTGGGGGGTGCAGGGTGGCATTGCAGTTCCCTCGACACAGTTGTCTTAAGGACATCGTGGGAAGAAGTTCAATGCTTTCGTTCGCAGCCTCAGTCGCTCAAGCGAGCTGACACCTTCGCGCAGCTTCCTGTCGTATATGGGGGACAACGGTAAACGGAATGCAAAGTATCGCCATTGAGCACAGGCAGCCGCTGGACAGTTTGCGTAGTATAAATGCAGGCAGGGCAAAGGCGGATCCTGGCTAAAGTCGCAAGAAGGCTTATTGTACTGCATTGCAGCTAGCAAACAGCAGCTCCTCCCATGACAACAGGTAGCATTTGACAAACGCTGCTATAGGAAGCTAACGTGAGGCATGGCTACGGCGGCTGCGGAAGACAGAATCTTTAGCATCGACGCCAACGACATGCGCTCAATAAGCGCAGTCCCTTTCCCGACCAAAGCACGCTGACAAATCCAGGCTACTACAAGCAGCGAAGCAACATCAAGTCGCAATGGTTCCTCAATCGTATAAGACCCGTGCTTGAGCACGGACTCCATGCCAACATGAAAGGTGCAAATAAGCGACAACAGGTCACTTACAGTGAGGGAAACGTAAGCATTAGAGATGTTTGCAAGGTAGCACCATGTGCGCATACATGTAAGGGGGGATGGGGGTATGGGGGAAGGGGCACCAGCCCCTTCCCCCACCACGATGCATACGGTGCCAAAGGAGACATGAGCTCCACAGACGGCTGCGACACTCCACGCTAGTTACCATGCCCAAGAAGAACCCTCGAATGTTTTCGCGTTGTTACCCCGGCCACACCTGCGCCATTAGGGCCTTCTCCGTGCGAACATAACTGTCTCTTGCAAGCTTCAGATATTCAACAGTTTTCTTTTCGACTAAGCTTAAAGTCCGCCCTGCAGAAGAAGAGAGCACGTGTTTGAGACAGGGCAGCGCGGCTAACAGGGAAGAAAATTGCATACAGTACCGGGCTCCTCGTACTCTTGAAGCATTTTCTCAACCTTCTGTCGACTGCGCGTTGCCGAGGCCAAATCCATCCCTTTTGCTTCGTAGTAGGCAACGAATACTGACACCTCCTCCTACAGCGACGTTACTTAACTAAGTAAAGCTCCGTGGAGTTCTTGAGTATTCAGCGAAGCCGCACGTTGATATTCCAAGCGAAATCTGCTGCCTTTAAACATTTGTTTTGTGTCCTGTGTCCAACAGCAATAGATCCACATGTGAGGCATGCACCCTGGCAACTCTTGCTCGTCTAAAGTAGTGAGGTCCATTCGCTTCCTGGCTGGGCCTTACGAGCTTGTAATAACTCTGTGTCCCGGGCTCCTCAAACAACGTGTTGCGCTTGTCTGCAATGCTTAAGCCGTGTAAGACTAGCATGGTAAGCACTGACAGACGTAAGGCTCATACCCGAAGCCCTTGTCGCCACAAGTCCTGAAGCATCATGACTGTAAAAACCTCAGCACCACCTGCACGTCATAACCTGCTGCGACTAATCCTAACCGCCAAAAGGCGCCGTAGAGGACAAAAGATCTTAAATTTTCCGCAGGCGTCCATTCGCCGTACCATTGTCGCCTGTGATTGTTGCCTTGTCAGCCCAGTCCACCCCCTACTGCGTACCCCTTGGAAAAACGGTACGGCCGCTACTTAATCCCAACGTCCCCGATATTCTTACCAACGAAAAACTTACACACCAACACGAATGCATCATCTCATACTGCTTCCCTCGCAATTAAGCACGGACCCCAGCTCGCTGCAGGGCCAAGTCCTGCACGAGAAACACGAACTGGCAGCATGCAACACGGCGCCTTACTTGGGGTCCGGCCTACCTCTCAAAGCCTTAACCTGGCGGCAGCACCACAAGCACCCAGCAGGCGCCCTGACAAAGCTCCCGAACATCTCGTACCCCAATAGGTGCCGGCCGCCCAACCTCCGTACCCTGCTGTGTCCTCCTCCCTGCCTCAGCAGCATGTGGTTGTCACCAGTAGTTCCTTCCATCCCCTACACACTACCTTCCGCTGCCGCCGGCTTTCTCTCCTTATCTGCATGTTTTTCCTTCCAAAGGCTACCGCTTCCCCCACCGCCGCCTCCCAGTCCTATCAATCACAGTGTGATACTTCCTTCTTCTTTCCCCCCAGATCCGCACCCCATCCCCATCCCGCCCCCGCTCAGCATTCGTCCTCATTAAGCAGCATGTTGGGTATCCCCTTGGCCACCGGGAACTTGCGACCCGTCTCCGGGCACACCAGCGCACCCTCCTCCAGCGTGACCTGCGGACGCAACCAGCGGCCCAGCGGGCCAGCCAGTCGGTTAGCCGGTTAAAAGGTCGCTCACAGCATCCAGTCGGGCAGGCAGGCAGGGGCTAGCGACACACACGGGCGGCCCCAGTACGCTACCGTGGTAGGATTCCTCGCTCACAACTGCCACGCCTTGACAGCGCCCTTCCAGCTGCGCCCAGCTGCACAGTTCCTAGCTGACCCCACCCGTGCCAACACCAGCAAAGGAGTTGCGCTGCTTGCAACCCGTCTAGAGCCCCACGCTGCCCGCCGGGCTGCGTGGCAGCACCGGCATTGGGCATCTGCTGGTGCGCTGCTAGCCCGCCCCGGACCCGTGCTCCTCCTGGCCCCCGTCCAAGCCTCAGCCACTGCGCCCCAGTTCCCGGCCCCCCCGCCCCAGTGTCCCATTCTTTTTACCCGCCCCAGTTCCCGGCCCACCACCTCACCTCCAGCAGCGCATGGTGGAAGGCCTTTTGGAAAGTCTCGTCCGCGAGGGCGGCCTCCTCGGGCGCCTGCTCAGGTAGCCCCGCGCGGCAGCCCATCTGGGTCGGCCAGGGAGGGGAGGACAGGCAGCAGTGGGTGAGGCGGGGTGCGGGAGGTAAGGAGGAGGAAACCTAGGTCCCCAGCGCCCGCATGGGGTGCGGGAGGGGGATGAGGATTGGCGGTGTGGTGGCTGAGGTCGTGAAGGGGCATGGACGTAAGGGCCGGCAGACGAGATGAAGGAAGGGTGCGCATGGTTTGGAAGAGCGAAGGGGCAGGGGAGAGCGCCTCGTGAGTCCCTTGTCGTGCTTGCGAGCTATTGCATGGGGCACGACGCTGGCTCAGGACGGGCGTTATGTGTAGGGGCATAGCAGCTTGCGCTGGGCAAAGCCGACGCCCAGCACTACGGGCCCAAGGCCTACGGATCCACGGGACATACCGTTTCAGCCGCTTGTACGAAGGCAGGCCAGTTGATGCGAGGAAAGATGTGTTTGAGGAAATCTGTGGCGGAAGGAGTGGGGCGGGGACAGGAGCAGGACAGGGTGTTGCAGCGGCGAGTAGCTAGCTTTGCCGTGGGCCCAGGCCCAGACTGCGTGAGTCCTCCGACAGCAGTGCAGGGGCTACCGCGCTGGCAGTATGCAGCACGTGAGTGCATGGGATTGGGGTCCATGGGGAGGGACTGGAGGGATTACGAAGTCGGGCTCGCCCGTGTTCCTAGCAGCCACGCCAAACCAGGTTTGCCTAACAGTTGTAACGCTAGTAGCCGAGTGGCGTTCTGTTACCCTACCTGGGTCAAAATCCGCTTCGTGCTCGGTCACTTTGCCTACTTCAATAAGGAACGGGTATCCATTTCTTACACCCTTTATATGGCAAGACAGCATGTTATGTGTTAGCAGCTTCATCTTCAGAAAACGAGCCCACGGGGCGATGGTGGTTGGCGTCGGTTTCCAAACAAGTCAGTGCGGATCGTATTAGTCTTTATACGTGTAGTATTGATCGTATTCCATGCCCTAAACAACTTAGCAAGTACGCAAACGCACTGAAGAGAGTAGCAGGGGGCCTCCTACTGCCGTACAGGGCGGCGCAGTGATTATTGCTGCTTTCAGCACAGGAAGTCTCCCTCTTTCACCCTTCGTCCGTGAGGAAAAAGGGCGCAGCCATGGTTAGTTTCGCTTACACAGGAAATGCAACTTTAGGTAGATTCATTTCGCTGAGCTTGTGGGATTTGCTTATGTCCAGGGTATCGACCTCAAGGCGGGTGGCCGCAGCAAGAAGGTGCACCGCACCGCTCCCAAGAGCCAGAATGTGTACCTGGCTCTCCTCGTCAAGGTAAAGTAGCTGCGCCGCATCCCCTGGGAAAGTCCCTTTTTCACTTGAACAAGTTGTGCCTACGCAGCTCTACCGCTTCCTCGTGAGGCGGACGGAGAGCAAGTTCAACAAGGTCATTCTCAAGCGCCTGTTTATGTCCAAGACGAACAGGCCGCCCCTGTCCCTCTCCAAGCTGGCCGCTTTCATGAAGGGCAAGGTGCGAAGGATTCCCAATTTAACATTTAGCTAAAGCTATAAATCATAGCCTCTATCTTTTGTTTTGATTGAACCCTCTTTGGAGGAAGCTGAGAGGCGGCCATGTGGCGACTAACCTCTTCTATCGTTCCTGCAGGAGGACAAGGTTGCCGTGGTGGTGGCGACCATCACTGATGACGTGCGCCTCTTCGAGGTGCCCAAGCTCCGCGTTTGCGCTCTGCGCTTCACGGAGACCGCCCGCGCCCGCATCACCAAGGTGCGCTTCTACCTGACCCGCTCCATCGCATTGTTGTTTAGAAAAGAAATCAAGGCTTAGGTGTCAAGCTGGTGGAGCCGCTCGAACTTTGGCGAGAGCAGCCCGGCGGCAGGCGGCGGCCGAAATGACTCTTGCAGCAGCAGTTCGCCGCGGCTCAGGCCGCGGCGTTATGGAATGCCAGCCTTCAGCAGGGAGTACAACGCTGGGCACTTTCGCTGTGGCGCATTGTCGCCAGACAGCGCGTCGGCGTAATGTTAACTTGGCTCCTCGCACAGCTGCCGGACAGCTGCTGAGGAGCAATTTAGCAGTAGAAAGAGCCAATGGCATTATGGAGCTGGTTTCGATGGGTGCAGTTTGGAACGTGTATAGGCCTAGGTTCCATTCGGACAAGTGGGCTCCTACCAGCAACGCCAGCCTAAGCAGCAGTCGTGCAAGCCAGCGGCCCACGAAAGGGGAGGGGCGATGGGCGGTGGCAGCCCATGACTGCCAAACCTGGGCTGCTTGAGCGTCCAGGAGCCACAGCTTAATGCAGCAGCAATCTGCCCTGGTCCGCTCCATTACAGCCGTCCAACCATAAACCACCTCTACCCTAAGCATGGCCGCGTCTAATGCATGTAGAGTTCCTTTACGCGGCGCTCTAGTTCACCTTGCATGCATTGCCGTACGCAGGCCGGCGGTGAGTGCCTGACCTTCGACCAGCTGGCTCTGGAGCGCCCCACCGGCAAGGACTGCGTCCTGCTGCGCGGCCCCAAGAGCCACCGCGAGGCCGTCAAGCACTTCGGGCCTGCTCCTGGTGAGGCTACGTCGGGATTGTATGGGGGCCGGGTCATTTGGGGAATCAAGGGCGGGGTAGGAGTGGTAGGCTGTGCCGAAGCCGGTTGGTGGGCGGTGCGCAACCCACTGGACAAAAGAGCTGCTTGCTGTCTGGCAGCACATTTCTTGGGCGGGAAATGGGCCACAATTTGATCCCATGATTTAAGAAAGATATGCTTTCGGTTTAGGGCCTGTTTGCACCTGTTTCATGACGGGAAAAAGGTAAAAAAGGTAATCTTCTGGACGTGAGTGACAGTAGGCGCATGTGCATGCTACGGTAGCTAACGTCTACTTTATGGACGTCCGGGGAGGTAGTGCATAGACACCCATGTGATGTGTCACCACACAGCGGTAATGCTCTGCACTCCATGCCAATGGTTTATTTGTCCCGTCAGGCGCACTAACCATGGTCCTCCTCTTCCTGTCGTGGAACTGCAGGTGTGCCGGGCTCGACCACGAAGCCCTACGTGCGCGCCAAGGGCCGCAAGTTCGAGAAGGCCCGTGGCCGCCGGAAGAGCCGTGGCTTCAAGGTGTAAGCCGGGTCAGCGGCCACAAGCGCTGGGGCTGCTGTCGCGGCTCTGTGCTGGTTGGGTTCGCCGTTATTGGTGTAACGCAACATACCGCGATCGTGTTTCTGTCCTTCCGTCCCATCGCAACCTACCATGAGCTGCACATGAGCAGGACGGACACGACCCACTAATGCGGTCTGCAGCTTTAGTGGATCCTTATTGTACCATCAGACGCCCCTTATGGCTTACAGTTATCATGTCACCTCTTTAGGACTGACTAGCGGCCATGTCGCTCATTTTCCAACCTAAAACCAGGCAGCACGGTAAGGCGCGCCAATGCGCCGGTGCATTTGACCAGTCTGGGACGATGCTCACACGCATAGGTGTAAGCCACTTTCAGATACCTTGTCTAAAGGTCAGCGCGTCCTGTTGTAAAACCCAAAGCGAAGCAATCACGTTGCGAGCATGCGTCAATTGTACGCCCCATCACGGCGGGAAAGGCCACCCGATGCAACCCGCTCACTAACAATCGTAAGCAAAGCAACATGCAAGTGTATGCCTGTAGGCAGGTGTTCCAGCCGCCACAGGAGGCATGCTAGTACTAGCGCATGGGGCTATAACATACATGATTTAAGATATGCACGCCAGGGCTAGGCCGACAACCAGTCCAATACAGACTAATGGATAAATTGAAGTGCTGCTTTGCACACTTCGCCAGCAATGAACTATGACAATCCACTACAGGGCATGGTATTAGCATGCTAGCAACCGGGTCAAAAACAGTTAACTGTAAAGGCCACCTGCGCAGTCCTCATCAAGCACACAGCAATTCACCCCCGACTAATGGGCAAGCCTCCCGTCATCGTGCCGTTGCAGCCATCGTTTCAGGCGCATGACCCGCCGACGGGTACGTCCTCTACCGGCGTCTCCCAGCCTCTGCGGCTCATCAGCCGCTGTTCTCACTCCCCCGCCCTGCATTATCCCATGCAAGCAAAGCTGGCTTGCACGACCCCCCCTATACGCCACTCCCCTCTCAGTCCCAAGCGCACCCCACCGCGCTCTCTCTGGTCTCCCCATCTAGTGCAGCAAAGCAAAGCTCGCCTCACCCACAGCGCCCTCACAGCGGGTCCCGGTACACCAGTACGGCGCCCTTGCAGGAGCGGATAAGGCCCAGCACATGCCCGGGCACTCCCTTGCTTCCCAGCGGCAGCTGCATTCCCACCAGGTGGATCCCCTCCTCGTCCGCCGCCGCAGACAGCGCTCGGTCCAGCGAGCCGTCGAGCTGCAGCCGGGAGGCCGAGTGGAAGCGATGACCTGCGGGGAGGCGGCGGCGGCGGAGGGTGTAAGTGCGGCCTGAAACAGACTCTTTCGGTGTTATCAACAGGCAATGTACGTACTAAGTGTGTTGTGCGTGTTACCGTATCGTAAGGCGTAGCCCCAAAGTTACAGCCAGGCAGGTGGCGCATTCCCCGCACTCCACACGCACGACTTCCCCCCCGAGCTCACTCGAGGCAATGTCCGCGAAATTGTCAATGAGGCGCCGCTGCGTCTGCTGCTGCTGCGAGGTCATTTGGCGGGTGGGGTGGTGGCCCGCCAGCACCAGCCGGTCGCCCCGCATGGGCTCCATGCAGGAGGTGCACAGGAAGTTGAGGGCGGGCCGCGAGGTGGCCTCCACAACCGCCATGCAGCGCAGCGCGGTGCCTGCGCGGGGTGAGGGTGGGACAGGGGCAGCACCGTACAACCGTGTAATCACGACAACTTGTTGAAAGGTAGGGTATTCAGAGGTGCGACCAACACGCTGGTGGCCACTGACCAGCCACACCAGTGTCACCCGCGTGCCAGGCGCCCCAGCCTCCCCTCCTTCACTCACGCCGGCACTCCCCACGTAGCCATCCCCCGCCACTATCCTTCAACCCCACTCACGCCGCCATTTCCACCCACCCCCATCCCCTGGATTGGGATTCTCATTTCTTTTCCACCCCTGCGCTCAACCCCCCCCCCCCACCAGCCCCACTCACGCCTCTGCGTCAGCACCAGGTTCCTGCTGTTCGACGTGACCACCGCCACGGGCAGCGACAGGCGCTTCAGCACCGACAGCGTCACGCTGCCCATCACGGAGGCCGTGTTGAGGTTGCTCATGGTGAGCGCCGAGGAGGCGAGCACCACCAGGCCGGGGGACAGCCGCTCAACCGCGGACTCCATCATCTCCAGCAGCCCGCACATGCCCTTGACCAGCACCTCCGCGTGCGCCTCGATCATGGCGTTGGAGATCTGGGTTGGTGGGGGGGGCCGAGGAAGATGGGGAGGAGGTGGGTGGAAGGGAGGGATAGAGCTGGGGTTGGGTGGAGCTTCTCGTCAGCGCTTCCGAGTAGCGTTCAGCGTCTGCGGTAGCGGTAGCAGTGCGCATGCACTGAAACAGCAGCAGTAACATCAATAACAGCATTGCGTGCGTTCGCTCCCCTCCCTCCCTCCCCTGAGGTGAGACCCCTTCTCGACCATGTTCCTAGCACGCACGCACACGCCCGTTTTCTTAGCACGCACGCGCACACACCTGTTTGAGGTACTTGAGCACCAGCGCCTGCCCGGTGGTGGTGACCAGGCTGTTGTGAACCACCGTCACCAGGTGCACCACGTCACGACCGGGGCTGGGGAGAGGGAGGAGGAGCGCGGGGGGGGGAAGAGGCGGGGCATGGGGGGCGTGGGTCGGGGACAAACGAGGGAGCAAGGCCGTAGATCGCGCGAGAGGCGTCGCGGAAAGAGAAATAACGCGATAAAGGGCGCTCCCTTGTAAGCTCTAGCGCCTCCTAAGAGGTCCCGTGGGCCCCCCTTTTCTCTACTATACGCAACCCAATACTCCATCCCAGTGCGGAACACCCATCCTCTCTTACCAACCCCTCACCCTTCTCAATATGTAGCAAACCATGGTGAAGCCTCATCATACAGCTTGTCACGTGTTTCCTCTTTACCCCCCTTCCCATGTATCCACCCCACCCCTTCTTACCGTGCCATCAGCAGCACCAAGTTCACCGCCAGCTGCGTCACGTCATTGGCCGCAACGAACAACAGGATGCGGATGCCGGGCTTGCTGGCCAGCAGCAGTGCAGGAGAGGACACGATCTGGGCGCCTCCAAACGCGCACCCGCTCATGCTGACGCTGCCGTTGCTGCCCACCGTGAAACCGCCCATCACCGGTCCGAGGCCGGGGCCCAGACCGCCCGTGATGTTGGCGGGGCCGCTGGCGTCACCGGAGGGGCCGTAGGAGGAGAGCAAGCCGGGGATGAAGGTGGGGGTGATGCCGGTGTTTGCGGCTGCGTTTATCTGGGAGAGGATGTCTCTGAAGGCTGCGGAGCGGTCTTGGGCGAGCAGCAGCGGAATGAGGTCGTCCACCTCCTGTGATGAGGGGAAAAAGGAAGGGGTGGGAGGGGAGCGTGTGTCGAATCAGCTGAGCAGCGGGTGTGTGGGGTGGATGGGAGGTGGCAGGTACGGCAAGGTGGTCGTCAACATGCGCTGCTGCTTGTTTGCTGGGCGGAAGTGCTCGTAATGACCCATGATGCCCCCCTGATGCTTATGGGCCATGTCATCCCCCTAGGATAAGGCCCACATCAGATGGTATAGTACGGCATGGGTTACAGCGGGAGGAGGATGTGGACGGAGGGATTCCTAAACCTCCTACCCCCAGCCCCGATGTGACTCACGTTGGGGCTGGTGAGGATGGCGGGGCTGTTGCGCGCCTGCACCGCCACACAAGCGACCCGTGGGTCAGCGGTGATGTCCCCCGCGTCCAGAGACAGCCGAGCCACGTCACCCGACATGGCGAGCTTGGGGCGGAAGATGCCCAGGCTGTTCAGCAGGCCTGCGGAAGCAAGAACCGGAGACAAGCAGGGAGCAGGCGAGGCACAGATGGCAGCGAGGTGTGAGAAAGGGGGGGAACCCTTGCGAGGACATTGCAACCTGCCAGAAGCGCTTGACGCCCACGACAATCCCCCCTAACCGCTACCCTCCCCCATCACGCCACCAAATTCCCTTCCAACCCCCTCCATCCCTCCCTTCCCCCCACCCCACCCCGTTACCACCCACCATGCAGCGTGGGCACATGCATGATGGCCCGCTGCAGCCCCACCCAGCCCTCGTGCCCCGCCTGCCGCCGCACCCCCGCCACCGCCTCCACCATCACCGGGCTGCTCAGCTCCGCGACCCGCAGGTCCACCACGCCCGCAGCGCCGCCGCCGCCCTCCACCCCCGCCGCCCCGGCTGCCATGGAGGCTGCCCGGCCGGCGAAGGGAAAGGAGTTGGAGGAGGTAGTGCTGGTGCTGGTGGTACTTGAGGAGAAGGAGGAGGAGGAGGAGGAGTTGGAGGAAGAGGCGGTGGAGGTGCGTTTGAGGGCGAGGAGGGTGGAGTCGTAGGCGCGAGGGATGGTGAGGGAGGAGGCGGCAGCGGCCTGAGGGGTTGGGCAGGTGGGAGGGCGGAGCGGGAGGGAGGGGAGAGAGCGGACGTCATGGCAACATCACATCACACCCGCATTTCTTCGTCGGCACCCTCCATGCCACCCACAAACAGTCCCCTTGCCCCTCTGGTGGAGCCCGTACACAGCAGCTGCCCTCGTCTGTGCCGACATGGAGGGCGCAGGAATGTGTCCTCCCTTTGCCCTCCTCAAATCCCTCTCAACCGCCAACCCCACCCAGCCACCCATGCTATATCCCAAGCTCCCCATGCACATCCCCCCCCCCCCACCCCCACACCCCCCGCCCCCACCACCCACCTGCAGCACCACGTTGCCTCCATGCCGGTCCGCCGCATACATCGCAAACGCCAGGTGCTGCAAGTCCAGCACGCCCTCGGGCGTCAGCAGCGCCAGGTCCCTCGCCCTCCGCGCCACCAGCCACTCCACCCGCCCCTCCGCGAACCGCTCCAGCAGTGTGCGGCCCATCAGCATCTTGAGCTCGCCCTCCTCCCCGACGGAGAAGGCGTCACCCAGCCAGGCCAGCTGGCAGAGGGAGTAGCCGCTGCCGAGCACGAGCGCAGGGGTGGTGGGGTCCTGCCGGGGGGGGGAGGAAAGGGAAGGGAGGAAAGGGGCAAAGGGGCGGTGATGGAGGAGATGAGGAGGAGGAAAGGGAGGAGGGTGCAACCAGGAGGGTGCGAGGGTATACTCGGAAGCCATGCAGGTGGAGGCCATGCATGTTGGGAACCCGGCAGTGTGTGGGTGCACAGCATCACCTCCATCGCGGGGCTGGCCGCCAGGGTCCACCCCGCGTCCCCCCCCCCACGCTTGCATTGCTTTAACCACCGTTTCGGCTCGACTCACGGTTGATTCCACCAGGGATTGTCAGCAACTTGTATCGTTATCACACCACACTTTGGAATTTCTTTTTCCCACCTCCAGGAAGGCCTGCGCCTCTCGGTCGTACCGGTAGCCGCAGCGCTTGCGTTGGGCGGTCAGGATCAGGTTCTCCGGCTTCAGACTGCACCGGGGGGAGGGAGCAGGGGGAGGAGCAGCCAGGCAACGTGACGAAAGCGGCGCAGGGGAAACAGGGGGAGCAGAGAACCAGTACCTTTATGCTATCATGCCATATCACTGCAAGTCGAGGTCATTCCATGCCATATCGAGGCCATGTCTTCGCCCCTTCCCCCCACCCACCACCCTCCCCCCTATATTTCCCCCCCCTTCCCTTCCCTTCCCCCCCATCCCTCTCACCCGTAGGACCTGCTCCTGATGATATCCGCCACCACCGCGTTCCGCTGGTCGTCATTGATGGCCAGCACCACCTGCAGCCTGCCCACCGCCTCCCGCCCCGCCAGCGCCTCCACCGCCAGCACCAGCTGCTGCAGCGCGCGGGCGCCCAGCGGGACGCCCTCAATGCGCTCCGACAGCGGCAGCTGCGGGTGCGAGGCGGCCGGGGAGCAGGCGGGAGCAGGAGGGGTAGGTGGGGGTTTAATGAGGAAGGGAAGGGAATGAGAGGGGTGGGAAGGGAGAGAGGAGCATGGACGAGGTCGGTGGGGAGCAGGGGGGGGGGATTAGTGAAAGGGGAAGGGGGAGGGAGCATGGGAGGGGTGGGTGGAGGGATGAAGGCACCGCCTTCACCACTGGAGGAGAGGCTCCAGAAGCTGCGACCCCACCTACACGCGCATGCCACCCCTTCTCTGCCGTAATATCTTCTTTCATGGCTTTCGACTCCCCACCGTTCCCCCATCACCGTTTGGGTTCGCCCCCCGGGATCATCGAGGGTGCTTTTCTTCACCCTCGCCCCGCCCCGCCTCGCTTACTCACGCTGCCCGGCCGCAGCTTCTGCACCAGCGTCCAAGGGTCGCTCGTCCAAAGATCCAAGCTCGTCCCATCCTGCAACTGCACGGCATCCGCGCATGCATCAATGTGCACCACCAAGCCGCCCGCCTTTAGCAACCGCAGTACATTCAACTTGTACGGCACCCAAGCATCCGAGGCGCAAAACGCCTCTTGCTCCGAAGCCGACAGCACCGAGGGCGCCCCCCACTGCTGCCCCTCCGCCCACATGGCGTTCACGCGGTTCGCGTACATGGTCATCAGCTGCTGCGCCTTGACCAGCCGGGCGGTCGCCTCGGGCTCCAGGCTGGCTGTGTTGATGCCCAGGCTGTCCAGACTGCGACCGCTGCGGGAGCGCTCCAAGCTGCCTACCCCGGTGTTGCTGCTGCTGGTTGGGGGCGGATTACTGGTAGCGGTGGTAGCGGCGGTGGTGGTGACCGCACCTGGGGGCAGTGGTGGCTTTCCTCCCGTTGGTGCCTGCTGCTGCTGAGGCTGCTGCTGCTGCGGCGGCGGCTGCGAGGCGGCAGCAGCAGTGGAGGAGGGGGGTAGCCCGCATGGAGACCCTCCCGCGCCCAGGGGAGGTGACAAGGGCGCACCAACGAGGGAGGGCCGACCCGGACCAGGGTACGCCGGCGGAGGGACGGAGGGCGGCGAGGGGAGGTGCCGGTAGACAGGCGACGGCGGCCCATCCGCCGGGTCCGAGGTGCTGATTGCAACACCCACTGCGAGCGGCGGCGGAGGACGGGCAGCCAGACGTGCGGATTGCGGCAGCACACCCGGGCCGGTATCACTGGCCGCACGATTGATGGTTTCGGAGCTACCCCCGCTGACGCTGGTGGTCGCCAGACGCAGCGGGCTGGTATCCAGGGATGCCGTACGGCCGGCGCTGCTGCCCACGCCGCCGATGCCTCCGCAGCGGTAACCCGGGCTGTTCAACGGGCTAGCCGCCACACCCAAGCCTGCAGCAGCCGCCAACGCGGCCGCGGGTCCCCCATCCCTGGACTGCCGCATGAGGGAATCGAGGATGCTTCCGGCGCCTGCGGGGGAGCCCAGTGGGATCTTGTCCGGGGAGCGGCCGGCGCATGCTGCGTTGCCCAGCTTGTGGCTCGCGAGGCCCGGGGGCCGGGGGGACATCCTGGCGCCCTCCTCCACCACCCCCACCGGGCTGTTGGAGCCGTCGGCTAGCAGCCCCATGCGCCGGGCTGAAACAGGGCAGCAGCAGGGAGGGGGAGAGCGCACAAGGGAGGACAAGAAGGGAATGAAACTGTAAGGGACTCTCAAGCATGTGGAAATCTTGGAACAAAACTATCTTACAAATCCCGACCGAGATCGCTTACAAGCCCCGGCAATGCGAAATGCCCTTGGGAGGAAATCCGCTAGTGATGCATCAGTCTACGGGTGTGTGCCTACCTACCTTGTGCAAGCGCCAGGGTCTTGGATGGGCTACACACCGCACCGCTTCCAGCTGCAGCACCGCTGCTCCCCGCACCTCCGGCAGCGGCACCGCTGCCGCTTGCACAGCCCGCAGCGCCGCCCCCACCCGCGATGGGCGGCAGGAACCCCGGCGACTCGGGCGCTAACCCGCCGCCCAGCGTGATCGACCCGCCCGTCTCGCTCCGTCGTCCCTGCAGGGGCATCAACCCCTGCTGCTGCCCCGGCGCCGTCACGGACACCACCACACTCCCATCCACGCCGTTGCTTTCCCGGGCCACACGCGCCATGCCGCTATCAGTCACGCCGGCTCGAGGGTAGCCTACTCCTCCTCCTCCTCCGCCGCCGCCGCCGCCGCCGCGGACCACGCGGCGTTCCGTGGCGGCACCGGCGCTTCCTGCCAGCAGCGCTGCGCCTGCTGCCGCCGCGGCGGCAATGCCCGGCGGTAGCGGCACCCCAGTCGTGATCGAGCTATCAGACTGCCGCCGGCCGGAACGTGCCGTACCGGCGGAGCTAACGCGACGTCCTGCCTTGGCTCGAGCCAGCCGGGCCCCTAACGACAGCGCCGATGACGTTCCATCGGGGGGCGGCGTGGCGGAGAGGATCTGCCCCGGGGCGGTTTGGCCGGAGGAGGAAGCACGGCTGCCGCCGCTTGCGGCTGCGGAGCCGCCGCCACCGCCGCCGGCGATAGCGGGCAGCCGCGTTCCGAGGCGGTTGCTGCTCATGGGGCGACGAGCGCTGTACGGCACATCCGCATCAGAGGAGTGCCCCAGGGCCACTGCGTGGAGAACACCGGTCGATTATGTAGGAGCAGGTGGGGAGTAGTCAATACGATATGTAACGTTCTGTTCAACACAATCCCAAGCGCTTTTTCTGTGTAAATGAGTGTCACCCCAATTCCAACCAGTAAGAGGCCCGCTTTGTCGCGTCATCTTACCTGACGAGGACTTGAGCAGCTCCGGCCGCTTCCTGGCCCGAGCACCGGGACTCCTTCGCTGCGCCTCCCCGCCCGCAACCGTACCTGACGACCCCGAGATGGTCGCCGCACTCCCGCCGCCCGCTGCACCTCCCTCCAGTGCTGCAGCCGTGGCACTTGCCGTACAGCCACTATCCGATGCACCACGTCGTGCGGGTCCCCGCGCAGCTGCCCGACGCGGAGTCGGCACCTCCGCCCCCTGCTGTTGCTGTTGCTGCGTGGTTGCCGTCTCCTCTCCCTCCTCCCCCTGCTGCTGCAGCTGCAACCGCTCCTGCTCTATCTGCTGCAACACCTGCTCCTCTAGCTTCGTCACCTCCGCCTTTATCCGCGCCACCGCAATGGCCTCCTCGATAAACCGCTGCGCCTCGTCGCCCAGCACCGCCGGGATGTAGTAGCTGAATGAGCTAACGCGCGGCAGGCGCTTGGGTCCCGGCCGCCGCGCGAGTGCCAGCTGCCAGCGAGCAGCGGCCGCCACCACTAGCATGGTGCGGCGGCGCGCCTGGTGGACCCGCAGGCGCCATTCCGCGGGCTGCGCGGAGGGCCCCGAGAAGGCGATGATGCTGCCGTCTGGGGCTTCGCCGCCCTCGCCGAATTCGTCATCGAAGTAGTAGTCGCCGGTGAGGGAGTCTATGCGGGAAGGAGGGAGGGGGCGGGGGCGTTTGGTGCAGCAGAAGATGAAAGGGAGGTGCGGCGGGTGCTACCGGTATTGCAAATCGCGTCGCGTGCATGCTTGCATGCGGTGAATGCACCCTTGCCCGTCCGCTCCCCGTTCCTCGTCCGCACAGGACCGCGACAGGGGAGTTGAGTCGCCGCGGCCATGTTTAGTTCCTTCATTTCCCTTCACCCCACGCCATTCCCGAGCCGGTTGGTATCACTTTGACCCCGCCATCCCCCATTGACTCACCCCCCTCGCTCCTCCAGTTGGCTGCCACCTTGGAGCGGATGGCAGGCAGGTTGAGCGGCTTGATGGCAGGGGCGCCCTTCACCACGTTCACACTGAAGCGGAGT